CTTAAACCTCGCGGTGAATACGACGCCACGTGACGAAGTCAATCGCGCGTGCGTTTTTTATATTTCGTTGGTGGGGTCAGTACGCTCGTACGGCGTTGCTTGCATAAAGTGGCACAGCTGGCCGAATCTCTGCTGGACATTTGTTGGGAGGGAGGGGGGGGGCGGAAAGCTTTACTGCTCATCGGATTCCTCCAGTATGAATACATATTTTGATTCTGTTGGCAGGGTGACTCTCCGTCCTGGAATGGTGCGGTCACTCTTCTCGTCCCACACATCTGCTCCCGTACCACACGCAGTCAAAACATTCAAAATAGTAATAAGTGTACATTGTCTGAACACGCGTAAGGCAGGACTAGTAATTAAAATGTATACGTGTCCTGGAGAACCGTAATGGAGTTTTTATTGCGTAAATATTTCAAGTTATCTCATTGCATAAATAGGCTATAAATCGTAAGCACGGCGTTGCCATTTGATACGTTCGAGTGCAAATTCAGCCGCGGAATGTTGTTGGCAGGTATCGAGCGTGCGTGCCAATGCCAATCAGACAACGAGCCAAGGCTAACGTCCCCAAAGCCAGCGGAGAAGACACCTAATGAGGAGGCTACCCACACCATTACGGACATCGCGTTGAGGGTATGCGTCCTGGGCTCTCGGCCAGGACACGATTCTCCACGTGCATCGCAACCATCCGTGTTGCGTGGTTCAATTAAAGCCAGCGATGCTCCCTCCCGTCATGTCGATGAGCTTCAGCGCAGTTAAGGCTGCTGCGGCTATTTGTTAATGGAGCCTTGGTGAACGGGGCTGTCTCGAGGGGCTTGATCCCAAGCCATGCCTTGCCGTACATTAAGACGTGGACAGTCTGTGCGCTGAGCTTGGCACCGCTGGGGTTGAATGCAGGCATGTGATTAAAAGCACATTTCAAGCGTGGTGAGTTGATGGTTTCAGCCCGGTCACCAATGACTGCACACACACACACACAAAGACACCATTAGATTTGGGGGTATGTGCTTAATTTGGATACATTCCAGTTCTGAAATTAAAACATCGGATTCACTGCCATGCGACAGTCACGCGAGGGTGGGTGGGAAAGCGCCGCTCTCTGCTGTGTGGGCCAGAGGTCACTTGAATGGATCTCAGAGGTTGATCTGTAATATCCGCCTCTGTGAGTCGTTCCCCAACAGGAAGAGTTTCACCGCCTCGTGTCACTACGCCCATAGAAACCATTCGCATCGGAGTGGGAGGGGGGGGGGGAATGACAACATTTTTAACAATAAATGTAAATAATTCACGATAGGTACCCGTAGACCAAGCGGCGACCAAATTATGCTCGATCTTGTGTGGCCACGAATATTGCCCCCGCCCAACCCACCGTTTCCCTTGCAGGGTCTGTCGTTTTACGTAAAATTCCATTCTTTTTTGTGAACAAAAATAAACATTCTCCCAATAACACCATATTTAGGCGCTACTGCGGCACGGCCTGTTTTGTTTGGCTTCTTGTCTCAATGTTTTCATGAGGCCAGTATAGTCTTAATTGTTTGTATGTTATGGATATTAGGCGATTATAAAACTCGAATTAATTTCAGCCGGGTGTATTCTGATGGGAAACATATTCCTGCACGCTGGGCACCACATCAAGTACGTCTGATTAGCTCGGTTAGCTACGTACGGTGCAGAAGAAGTTCAACATAGCTATGTACAAGTATAAGACATCTCGCTGTGGCTGTGGCTACTATTAGTCAAGTGCCTACTCCAGTCTACCAGCGACTCAGAAAATATTAATTGAGAAATGAATCCCTGATTTAAACTACACGCTATTAGTGATGAGAGTGATGATGATTGTCAGTAACCCTTACACGTACACTACTTTGTTGCGTACATACTTAGAAAATACATTTAGTATGGCGCCAAAATGTCTTTATATGTTGAGGGTACTTTAAAAACGAATACTTTCGTATGAGCTGCCAGCTTTAGATTTCATCGCATGATTGGTATGGCTTATTGAAAATAGAAAAGCCACCTGATCCACAGCTTAACATTGGAGACGTAAATACATCAATAAAGAACTCGCTGCATGGCATCTCTCTCGTAATAGCAATCACTAGAGCATGACCCACATGTTTTTTTTACGTTTTTCTTTCTTCAAATTAATTAAGCTTCAAACTTGCGTTGGACAGACCTGCAAACACGTCAGAGGAAGGTGCTACAGGATAACACGCAATCACTACCGTGGAAGTGATTGTGGTTGTACAATTCCTCTCCACGTACTGATGATAACTTCTTCGCGAACTGAACTCAAGGAAGTGCAGAAGCTCCCAGGACGTGGAGAGAAACGACAAACACCGTGCCAAGGAACAACAACAGCACGCAGTACACCCAGAACCACATCGGAAGACCTGCGAGAGCTATTTTTTTTATTGCGCCTTTAAGCACGCACTTAATCCGATGTAACGGGCTGATGATTGGTGTTCCAACTTCCCTAAGGCTCTCAATTTGGCACCTCCAGCCCAGAGTCTTGCTCAATCACACTTAGCTGCCCATCGCAATTTCAGACCCCCCCTCCCTCCTGCCGCGCGCGCCGCCTCTCATCCCCCCCCCCACCACAATCTTATTCAAATTGTACTATCGACATCGCGCCATCGGAAGATGGAGATGTACATTTCGTAACTTTCGCAGCCAGCAGTGCACACAACCCTGTATGAGACGAATGGCCAGGGCCGGGACGAGACAAAAGGTATTTGGGGGCTCACTTTTTGGAGAAGACTTTTATTTTGTTTTGCCCTGCACAGTAAGTGTCCGCCGCATACCAATGTACTCTCCTTCTAAAATCAATTATACAGGATACCTCTGTTCACGCTATGAATATATATATTATATACACTCTGCAAATAATGTTTGTCGGGTACGTTTTGTTGAACAGAGCAGGAATAATCTGAACTAAGTCGTGAGCCGCAATTAAAATAACGTTTTTTGGGGGGGGGGGGTTGCAGACATTGGTGACCAGCGTGCAACCATTAACTCGCTACACTTGAGAACGGGGTGTATTCTATGAACTATAAACAGTTTTTATTTTATTTAAGCAGCTAAGGCCCATTGCACTATGTAGCTCTTTTTCAGAAGCGACCTGGCCACAAATGATCGCTCAACAAAGTGGCTTATCACGTGCAAATGTATTACAGCCAAATACTTTAAACGCACGTTTCTAAATGTGGAGGGATACTCCGGAGGAAGATCCACGCGACCAACAAACTCCAAATAGACAGCAGCAGCAGCAGGCGTCAGGGTCAGGATTCGAACCCACGACTTCCTGCATACCAGGTGAGGGAGTTAACATCTCACCACAGTCGCCGGCTGAAAGGTTGATCCGAATCCAGGATTTCTGCTGTGCCCGCTTAGTCCTGACCCCTGAGTGAACTCAACTCGATATCACATTTGACGTTGTGCAGAGTGAAAACACCTCTGACATCTTGTTCTGCTCTCGTCAATACAAATTTTCATTTTGTACAGACAAAAAAAACAATGTATGAATAACGTCACGTTCTGGTTAAATTTCGATGGAAAAAAAATGTGTGTGTGTGTATCTATATACATTAATTAACAGTGAAAACGTTTCGGGGAATTGCAAATGTCCTACAAGCGAATGGCTCTGAATGTGCCAGGACTTGTCAGATCTCAATAGCTGAGCACAGTTGAACCTGGTTAGTACTTGGATGGGAGACTGACTGCCTGTGAATGGCAGGTGCTGTAGATTTGAGCTGCGAGGTGGCTGCGACGCGCTGTCATTGTACAACAATGGATTCGTGAATGTGTCCGTGCAGATTTACGAGCGTTATCTCCTTGTGCGCATGGTAGGGAGTGCTATCGGCAGGCGAGAGATGGATTGGTTACAATTCAGGACGGTGATGGATCTCGACTGCTTGGTAGAACACCCATCCAACAGCGGATTGATCCTGGCTGGTGGTGACAATGCCTATATTCATCTCTTCTCTCCCGCATCAGCCACACACGCATCCACTCTTGAATGGAATTGCCAAAACAGTCCCAAATGCATGGACCCTCCTGAAAATTACCATCGAGACTCACCGAGGCTTTCCTGGGTAAATGTCAATGAAAGGGAATCACCTCGAACAGAAGTGTTATCGTGGAACGGTTACTCACATATTGCATGTAGGTCAGTGCCGGATGAAGCTAGTGCGAGGTCTGTAGCATATGTTATAAAGGGGCCATAAATAAAAAAAACACAAATATTAAAACACAATTTCTTTTTTACTTGCATCGTAAAGTAATTGTATTTTTTCATTTGCTATACAGCCAGAAAATACCACAAACCGCTAACCTTTAACACCCAGTCGTTCATAAAAAGTTGAAGGCGCTATAGTACTATAGCAATAGAGCAAGTACAGAATCACTGAACCGGAATTGATAGCTTGAAAGCATTTTAGCGCGGGCCCTTTGAAAGCGCAGGGCACGTAGCGTGTGTAGCTACTTTAGCTACGAGGATAATCCGGCACTGATGTCGGTGCCTTGCGACAGAGAACGAGAGAGAACGAGAGAGAGCGAGAGAGTAAGCGAGAGAGTCAGCGAGAGAATCAGCGAGAGAGTCCGCGAGAGAGTCAGCGAGAGGTGGGGGTTTTACATAAAGCTAAGTAAAAAAAAATTACGAAATGATGAACGAAGCAAAGTGCCGAATACACCGAGCATCTTCTTGTTTCCACTGATCGTAAAAAATAAAAAAGAGACGCAACGAGAGGAGCGAGCGCGTCGTCACCCAGCCACGTGGAGCTGCAGCGTCCCCGCGTGGCCGCGATTAAAACCGCGGCGGTGCCACGCGACTCGCGCAGCAGCGGGGGGGGGGGGGGGGCGCCTTTCCTGGGGGGGGGGGGCGGTGGGTGGGGGGGTACCGGCCAGAGACTCCGCCCAGGACCAATAAAAGCTAAATAAATAAATAACTGTCACCTCCAAAATCCTCCCCGCCACCACCACCACCACCAACCCCCATCACAAGGCACCACAAGCCTCTCCCAGTCAAAGCAAAGCCCCTCCTATCCCATCAGAGCGCCGCCCTCCAACACCAAATTCACTCGCGCTCGCTACAAGTTCCAAGAGCCGGCGTCGGCACCGTTAAACGCACGCGGAACCTCCTCCTCCACGCGTGCTTGCGGGTCAGCTACATTTCGAGGGTTCGTGGGGTGGGGGTTGGTGTTGGTGTTTCCACCAATTTTCCAATGGGAATGTCCAGGGCTGGAGCCAGGGCAAGATCCCGTGCGGGATGTGCAGCCCTGCCCGCTGCCCTCCTGTGCCTGGCCGCTGCCCTCCTCGGCTGCGCACGCGGGCTCAGCCGGGATGAGCTGCTGCAGCACGGAGAGAGGTCGGGGGACCAGGTGCTCCCGAGCGGAGACGACGCAAGCTTCGGACCGCTGCGGTTCGCTCAACCCCTGTTCCTCTACTCGACGCCCTACAGCGAGCTCTACGTGAGTATTACGCGAGGAGGGTGCGCGAACAGCGGCAGCGAGCCCGGAGCCCGCTGCTGCTGATGCGCATTACGCAGTCTTCGTGTAGGGAGCGCGCGGCGCGACGCCACAGCGCACGCGGCGCACGGGAATCAATGAACGCGTTCGCGAGAAACACTGTCAGCCCTGCGCCGCAGCAACAGATTGCGCTTATCTGGCACAGGTCGATGTTCACATTTTGATGAGTGTCGTCGTGGTTGCTGGTGGTTGTGTTGACTTTTGTTTCGTTATTGTGCTATCGACCTTCTGAGAATATTTTTTTTAGATATATATCTATTTTTTTTTTAACGATGGATAAGAACGCAGCGCCGGGCTTGACTCTCTGTCGAGTTGGCAATTATGGCGCAAGCCGGTAACACGGTCGAAGCTCTTCGCCGGCACTTCACACAAGCCACGGATACCGACCGCGCTATTAGTGACGAGCGAGCAACTTGTTGACGCTTGTTCGCCAACGCACAATACACAGACCAACAGCAGCAGCAGCAGCACTGCGAGGTCAGGCGAGACGCCTCCTCCTCCACCACCATCGCTCCACGAGCCGCGCTCGTGCGCACGGATGCAGCGGAGCGCAGCGCTCTTCATTGGGCGGCCAAGACCTGTGTGGCGAACTCACTGGCGAGATGCGTGCCCTTCCGCTTGCTCGTACTGGGCACGTTTACCAATTACCACTCTGTATAGCACCGAGCTGCTGCGCTGAGTGTGTGCGTGTGTGTAAACCAACCCACAGAGTAGTAGCCTTCGCCATGCCTATCGCTCACTCACGGTGCAAGGCATGGCATAAATATTGGAGGAAGAAAAAAAACCCAATCAAAATTGCGCGCGCACGCTCGCGCAATTATAAGTTTTGGCTGTTGGATTCTAAGAGGTCACACAGCAACACACAAGAAGAGGGGTTATCGTTCCATGTCAGGCTGCAGCTGCCTAAGGAATCGTTAACAACGATACAGTGCTAACTTACAGACATTGGTGATGAACGACTGCCCCAGCATGCCGTGCGTCGAACCTGGGGGGTTGTTTGACCATGTTTTAGCATGCTGGTCTGGGAATCGAACCCAGGATCAGGATTCATGGTGCAGCGTGCGATTCACTGCCCTATCGCTCCTCCCCCAACCCATCATACGCACTGCGATAACTGTAGAACATCGTTTCTTTATGTAAATTAAAGCCAATGTCATTTTCTTGCTTGGCCTTTTTGATTGGTGATTTCATCGCTATTCTTTACGTAACGCGCACGAACGGAAAAACCCGATCGCTTAAGTTGTAATTCCCGGATATACCAACTGGCACCGACCAGCGTGTGAAGCATGGTCGACGCGATCATCCAACAGTCGATTGGCGGGGGGTAGGAAGGGAGGGAGGGAAGGAGGGAGGGATGGATGGCTGCAGATTCACGCGCAGCGAACGCTGCGATGATGAATGTGGAGAAGCCTCGCTGCTCCTCCGCGGGCTTGAGGATCGCTCGCTTTGAATGCGCTGCGCACGCACCAGGTCCCGATTCCAGCGGGCACGGCACGTGCCGTGCTTCAAGTCATAACGCGTGCGGATGAACCAGCAAACTTCCAAACTTGGATAACATCTTGGCCCCAACTCAAAACTGCGTGGGACTACACACACACGCACACATATCTTTGTTTTAATTGAACGTAAATGCGGGCGGTTGTTAAGAGCCTCAATAAAACGGTCTGTCGACCTATCGCAAAATGCGTTGGTTTCACCGTTTGAAGTTCCCTTGAGAACGCATTGCGTGCGCATTGCTGATCTTATCCGCCTCCTTATTAGGAGGAACAAGCCTCCGAGCTGATGCGGGGGAGCGCGGGCATCTGGCACTCGTTACGCATGCGAGTGTCCAGCGCACAGTCGGGGCAATAGAGGGTGTCTGGGACGTTTCACACACAGCCAATACTCTCGAAGCCGACACCTCCCTTCTCCTTCTGCTTCTGCTCGACCTTGCTTGTATATGTTTTTCGGCATGTTTTTTTTTGTTGCATCTCTCTCTCTCTCTCTGCCACTTTTATCCCCATCGTGCTATCGGTGTCACAGGACGAAATATGCATCGGTCCATATCCGTCGCAGAGTGATGAAGCTCTTTGTGCTACAAAATGACCCACGGAAGTGGTTATTACAGAGCTAGGACATTTACATCCCACACAGCAGCATTTTCGCACCCATCCTGCACATGTGCGAGACTGACAATTGAGCCCAACGTTTACATTGTCAGTGCTGGAAATTGGCGAGATTAGGTGCAGAACCACACCTCGTGTGATGGGGTTTGTTGTTATTGTAATTTTTACTCCATAGGAATATTCAGGGAAATCATCGCCCACACCCCCCCCCCCCCCGCTGCCATTACTGCGAAACATTGACAGAAAACCTCCTGAAAAAGAGTCATGAGATTCAGTGAGAATTCCCTGGATGAAGAAGCGTCAATAGTCATCTGAGAACCCGATTGAATCACAGGCAGCTGCCTGGATTTGAATCGCTATCGTGTTTTTGTATTGTTTTGTTTGGTGTAACGTTCTCACCCGCCCCCTACTGGACATCTGTGAAAAAGAGCTTCATAGCTCATCGGATTCCCCCCCCCCCAGTATCAATACAATATTCTGAACCCAGGATCTCAGCAGCACCGGCTCAACGCTCTGTGACCTCTGAGTCACCCCGGCACCTCTCGCTCCTGTTAACCCTGAGCTTAATCTAGAATCGTGAGTTTAATTCAATTACTCACGCGGATATATGCATATTTTAAAATAGATAAGAATACACGATAACAATGTGAGCAGAAGATATATTTTGTTATTACATCTGGTGTCAATGTACTAACTTCAAAACGATTTGTCAATCCACTGTTCTATATCGGTCATAGGGGGTTGTTTGACTGCACTTCATCACTTCGCTCGGTGTGGGTTGAACGATGCGGGTGGGCGTTGGGGGTGTGGTGGGTGCGGGTTCAGATATCGCTCACCACTGATGTAAGCCATCAGCGGGACACAAACTCAGCCTGGTTCCTTGCATCGTACATGCATGAATCACCACCTCCCACCTTGCCTCTTCCCCAGATTCAGATTCCAAGAACACAGGATGAGATGTTACTATCCTTTGTGCAAGCACTTCCAAGAGTTCATGAACAGTGAGCCTGGTGAAATTTGGGGAGCGCATCGTCAGTAGTGAACCTTTGGTTCCTAGGGTGTTTCGGCCTTTCACACCATACACCCTCCCCAAAGGCGGCCAGCGACAGGGTGATCAATCCTACGCTTGCGTCCCATTCCCAATTAGTCATAGGAGTTGCCTTGTTGTTGATAGCCAACATCTCATAGTAATTATTGTACATATCGAGCCCATTGTCATGGCAGTTATTTGACCATACTTCACCACGCTGGTAAATGCTGGCTGGTGAAGGTGGGGAGCATCGATGTGAGAGCAGGGGAGCATGAGGCAACTGATGATGTTGCTGCTGCTCCATTGCCTGCTGTGTGGCCACAACATAGACCTGTTCTACACTGTGGTCACCCATCTAGTACTGTCCAGGCTCAAACTTGCTTAGCTTCCGAGATCTGACCACGTCGGTTGCATTCAGGGCGATTTGTTCACAGGCACAGTAATTCTATATTGTGTCAAATATCGTTGTGCTAGAAACGAAATCAATCTGTTGGTTTAATATTAACCCATTAAAGCTTCGCCATTGCTACATTATTTGTATGAGCTCAATGCATAACACGAGGAGGACACAATCCCCAATATACTAAAGAACTGGCCGAGGACGTAAAGCAGCACCCTCATGAAAAGGGCCTTGACTTTGACATGAGGCGGCGTCCCTGGGTTTATAAAAGAAGCAATCACACAAACAGGAACAATACAATGATCGAATGTAGCCATTGTTGGCTGTCCTCCAACGAACATAACGCAGGGATACCGAGATTATCCTCACACGCTCTTCTACTGTCCAAACGAGACCTCAATTCATCAATAAGACCTGAAGGAAATCAAACTCCGCAGCGCGGATCTAAAGGAATACAGAGGCGTTGCGAATTACAAATCTGAATACCAGACTTGACCTGCCATATGCTCCCTTGTACAATGCAGCGGCAAAGCAGAATTACTGCGACGCAACACGCGTCGAGTATTTATATCGCTTTGTAACAATCAAACAGAAAGTGAGCGGTCGTTTGTATGCATAAATAGTGCATGTTTCTGACAGGCAAAACCTTCACTGTTGTGCCTGATTGCTGGCTGGGCTGGGCCATCTGCACTGCAGGGTTACTCCGGGGTGGTGGTGAGGATTGTGGGGGGGTGGGGAGGGGAATTGTCAGTCATTTTTTTTTCATTTTCCAAAGGCCACGTGCTGTACGAGTGACACCCTCACAGGCCAACCCCCGAGAAGGAACACAGGCGGACGGACTGTGGTTGTTTTTTTCTCTCACCCCGGGGCTTCAACACAACTCTCGCTCGCTGCGCCTTTCGCGAGATGCGCGCACGGCAACCCGCTCCGCGGTTTTTTGTCCCTTCCCCCCCAACCCCACCCCGCGTAAGCGCACGTCACGAAGAAAAGAGGGCCTCATTTGAACACCGACGGCGGATTGTTTTGTCGCGAGCGCAAACTACCACGAACGCGGCCGCTATCAAATGCAAACGTCGTGTGCCAGAGTAACGCGCCGGCAATCAGCCGCAGGCAGCATCGTCCGGGGGGGTGGGGGGTGGTCTTGCCGTGCAGTGTCAGGCACAATGGGTGCTGAGGACAACGACGGACACGCGTGTACGTGTGTGTGCGTGCGCGCGTGTGTACGTGCGTGAGTGCACGTGTGCGTGTGTGTGAGGAAGGGTATGAGATGTGGAGTTTGGTGGAGGCTCGGCGGTGTGTGTGGGGGTGAAGTTAAAGGAATAATGTGTCAACATTCCACGGTTTTGAAGAAATCCATAACCCCGAGTGCTGCAGCAGAGATAAGGCGTCAGGGCAAATGTGCGCGGTGTGGTAATGTGTATGCTTTGGCATGTGACCCCTACACCATCACAAGGACCTCACTGTAACCGGGATGATACATCTCAGTTGTGCATCCAGGAGAAATATGTAAAAAAGCACAACATCTAAGTGTGTGTGCGTATCGCATGTATATGCATTTTTCTTTGCATAATTTTTACATTTTACGTTTTTCTGTCATTGCCTTCCCATCTTTTTCTTTGAACCCTGTTGCACTCAATGGCTCGCAAATGTTTTTTTGAATGCCTCAGAAAATATGGGCGGATGGTTTTTTGTTCACCCTTTCTCTCCTTTGTTCAAGAAACACTCGCCGTGTAATTTCATGGCTCAAAGTCCATCCTGCTCAACCACAACACATTTTCCCCTGTTCCAGAAGTCCACGCTCTTCATATTTTTTCTTCACAACCGCTGCGCGCGCTTTCAAACTCGAACAAATAACCCACGGCCGTAAGTTTCCCCCGCATATTCATTCCGGATAATGTGTCCGTCACACCGTGCCCTTGAGAATAACCTCAGATCTGAGCTCAAATGACTAATGCGGCTGGCATCATCATTACCCTCTAATTAAAAGTTGCGCGCTCGCGCACACACCCTTGCTGATTGGCAATCCACCGCCCACCAAAGGTCTCGCGTCGCTCGCGACTCCGCGGGGGGGGGGGGGGGTGGCGAGGGACTCAAGCGGGTCGTACGTTACGTGGGCTACCCCGCCACTCTTCCGGCCTCGGAGCCCGTCTTTTGCTGCTGCGGTGGTCACTGCTCCACGTGGCCTTGGCCCATCGAGCTTCTCGCTGCTGCTGCTGCTGCGCGTTCAGCAACTCGGTCTCGGCCAGACAGACTCGCTCACCTCGTCCATCCCAACGCCTCCGCTGGTGACCTCGTCAAGGAGCGTAAACGATCACGCAAACTCCAGTAAATCCTGTGTAACACTCTCACGACCAATATTATCCATAATAGAGGTTTGTGGGTTAGATTGCGTAATTATTATGAAGGGGCCATCCATTAAGTACGTACGCATGGAGGGGGGAGGGTGGGGGGGGGTTAACCCAAATGTGTACCGCTTGCCTATGGGGGGTCTGCTGACATTGTACGCATAGGAAACGGGGGGAGGGGGTGTCAAGCCTCGATAATAATTTGTCTACGTCGGCCTTCAACTGAGTCAGAGAGTCCGGCGGTGGACTATCTGTTTGCTTAAACACGTTCACATAATTCATCCTTGATCGTTTCTGCGTGGATTAAATATCGGCCGTTCGATAGAATTCGGGGGGGGGAGGGGGTTGGTGCGTCAAGCTGTATGTACGCAGGTGGGGGGGGGGGTAGGGGTGTAAAAAGTCCGCGTGCGTACAGGGAGGGGTCAAGTTTTGACAGATTTTTGCGTACCTACTCAATGGATGGCCCCTAACGACAGATTAATAATGTCGTCACACCCGCCATTACCCGACGCAGCCAATTAGTAAGGTTTGTCTAACCCAAAAACCTTCATTCCAGTCATCATCACAGCAGCGGCCTTTTGCTAACCATCGAACAAAGACGGTCACCGCATCGCGCGCTTTCAGGCGCCTTTCTGCGGCCGTCTGGAACGCTCTTCCTTCCGATGTTAGGAAGCCACCGAAGCTATGAACTTTTAAATCTAGATTGCATATTTTTTCAACTGCGTTTTGTGTTTCGTTTGTTCAACTTCTTTTGCATCTCCGATTAGCACGATTGGTTACGTACGGTGCGAAAGAAGTTCAACATACACACATATTTCCCACGCTGTCTTCAACCACTACCATCACCACCAAGCAGGCCACAACACTTCTCTTTCTGCTTCTTCCCAAGCACTGCACGACCCGGGGATTTCCTCCCACCGAGCTCTTCCATATCCTTGCTCGACTCAAGAAATGTACGAACTACTCATTCGTTACAACTTTAAAAGTGCTCTGTATTGCTCGATGCTTGCCGTTTTGGGCCTGTGCTGCACAACTGAGATTTAAAACAATAAAAATAACAACGCTTCTGCTCTCACCCGACAGGTGGGTACGAACGGAGTGCTCTCGCCTCTGCCGCTGCCGAGCCAGGCGCAGTACGTGGACGAGGGCTTCCCCACCAACTTTCCAGCCATCGCCCCTTTCCTGGCCGACCTGGCCACGTCGGCGGAGTCCCAGCGCGGCCGGGTGCTCTTCCGGCACGAGAGCGTGTCGGCCGCGTCCACCCAGGCCCTCTGGAGGGCCGGGGAGATGGTCCGCTCCGCCTTCCCGGCGCTCGTGGGGTTCTCGCCCGGTGAGATTGTCGTGGTCACGTGGGACCAGGTGGGATCCTACCAGGAGCCCGATTCGCACAAGGTCAGCCACGCACGCACGCACACCTTGAACGTTTGAAAGCTAACGATAATTGGCTTGCCATGGATGTCCGACGTGTCTTCCTTCTCTGGGTCGTACCGTGTGTCGTTCAGCACGACGTCTGACGTTTTGCTTCGCGCGCTGGGAGATTCTTAACCCTTTCTTGTTCCGAGACGTCTGCGAGTTGCAGGGTCGGTGTCCCGTTCACCGCTCCACCTCGGAACACACAAGCGGTTCAGCGTTAATTTTATTCAGAGAGACGTAGCGCCAATGTTTTTAAAGTCATTGTCCTTGCCACAGAGAACTGTAGCGACACGACCACGCTCTATGACAGCTGGTGCCAAACTGTGCCACACGCCCTCCCGCATGGCCTTGTGGGAGCCTCGCTTCGTCTAGCGACCTGAAGACGTGTCGATAAAATGATTTGATTTCATTTTAATTCTGATGCCGCATGTGTACACACGTCATCGGAATGCAATCGGAATAAAGACTGAAGACGTACACGTACGTACTCGTGTACGTCATCGGAATGGGAAAGGGTTAAGCGGTCTTTAGAAAGCTGAATAAGCTCCCAGCATTGTGAATCGAAGCGTCCGACATCGTGCCAAACAACAGGCGGTACAACCCAAAAAATACTTCGGTGGGCTGTACAGCATAACTGCGAAAACCCTACACCGTTGCTTGCAACAGTTTTTTCTATTCAGTAAAAAAAACAACAAGGCTTGATGCTCATTGCCAAAATTCAGACGTTTTTCAAAGAACATCTGGCAAAATTAAGAAGGGAGGGAGTTGGGGGACACATTGTTGTGTATTAACAGCAACCATTAGGAACCTTTTAACAGAGAATTACCTAACTTAAGGGCTAAATGTCTTTCACAGCAAGCGTGACACAAGCCTTTGCTCTTGTATAATTAAACCCCACAGGAAAATGTTACGGCAGGCCACAATAAAACGATATTTTAAATTACTTTCGCAAAAAATATACACGCGCGTACAGTGCACGCACTCTCGCAGCGATGCGCACGTAGTATCCCCGTGGAAAAGAGAGAGGAGTGCGCGGCACATTCGGTACGCTCCACCTGCGTTGCTTCACACGTGCCGACGTGACCGCGCAGGTGTAGGAGATTGAATTTGAAGGGTTCCTTTTTTTGTGTGCGTGTCGAGCGTGGCGGCAAGGAGTTGAACCGCTTATGCTCGTGTCCCCTGCACGAGTCATTAGCTCTGCTCCCCGCGGTCTATCATCAGCAGCATTTGGCGTGCGGCTTCGTGCGTGCGCGCGCGCGAGAGATGGCCATGCAAAGAGGTATTTCTTGCCTCGTCGCCGCATTGCGTGCTGTTTGCTAAGCAGCAGCAGCAGCCCAGTGCCCAAGAGGGGAGCGCGTATCTGTTTACATGTGTCAGGGCCGATACACGTCTGCAACAACGACAGCAAAAAAAAAAATTTAAGGAATAGAAACAAATAAATATATAAGGGATCGAGTAACGGGGGGGGGGGGGGGGGCTTGCGCGTGGTTAGATCCGAGAGCGATTTTGAAATATCCATATATGGCTGAGTTTCAGCGCTCAGGACGTCAACGTTTCGTTGTCCAGGCTCGTACGAGCATTAAATTGCCTCTGACCGTGAACAAATGTGTTTCAAAACCAATAGTGGTTTATATTCGGGGATAGATCAAGAATGTTTCCTTTCATAAAAAGGATTTCCTACGGAGTTGGTTGATAATAAAAGTATATGTAGAAAAAGTTGCTGAGGGGGGGGGGGGGGAGGCGAGTAGGGATAGGGGGGGTGGGGTCAGGCAAAGTAAACGAAATCCTCTTAAATGAATAAAGGGCCACAAGAAGAATTTTAAAGCGGCAATTCCGCAGGACCGCGATCATCGGCGAGCAATTTTGCCCTCGCCAAGCGTGCCCGCCACTATAATCCCCCCCCCCCCCCACCACAAATCTGCAATTCAACATGCAAAGCGTGGCCGCTTGTTGCTCCCAACGTATCGCCAGACGGACGAGACAAAGACGCCGGCGAGTACGTCGGCAGCATCTCTGTCCACACTTTCGCACCTTCCGGGCAAGGAGCGTGCACACCCTCGCGTCTGTGTGCGTCGCTCCGGGGCAGTTTCAAGCGGGAGTCACGAACACCGGCCATCCCTTCTCGCCGGGATCGCCGCGCAGAGAAGAGCCTAAGTGGAGGCGGCCCGGCCGTGCACAGCTTTCCGTCGGCTTCGGCGTCATTCGCCACGGGAGGGAAAATTGCTCGGTTCGCCGATGATGGGGGGATCAGCTTTTTATCGCGAGGCGTAAAGCGACGTGGAATTTTAGGCTGAGCCCACCCCCACGAGTGAAACAAACCAAAAAAAAAACCTCAAGGATGTGAATTTTGCCTGTTTAATTTTAAGCATGAGATCGGCTGTAGTCGTGCCAAATTTCAGATTGTATAGCTCTTGTGGAGCATTAGAACTGACATCGGTCAGCCACGATTGTCAATATGTATGGCACATGGTAATATTGCGTTGTTTACATGTATGTTGGCGTGTACATGTGCGTGTGTGTGTGCGAGACGTTATGAAACCACATATTGCTTTGTTGCTCATCGTCAACAACAACCGTGACCATGATTAAGTCCTCCCTCCACCCTCACCATCGCTCTTGAACCCACGATGCCACTCCTGCACAATGGCTCATCTCATCGCTCCACCTCAGCGGTGATCATCCTCTCTCGGCGGTCCGTTCTCTCCCCTTCACCGCCATTCCGTCACCAATCTTTCTCCGTCCGTTCCGGTGATGTGTCCTCAACAGTCAATACGATGTCTCTCCCATTCGCATTCGTTCGTCGATCCATGCGTTTGCCTTTCTCTCTCGCTCCGTGCAATTCCCAGCACGCATATCCCCGTGCTTCTCCCGAGCACTTTTCGGCTTTTGTTTAACGTTCATTGTCAGAGTCCACGTCTTTTTTTACGAGCCGCACGTCGCGGGCAGGTAGTACGTGCCCACTGCCGGATTAAGGCACGGGGCTTTCGGGGCTGCAGCCCAGGGGCCTCCGACAGCTGGAGGCCTTTCAGAGATTAAGTGAAAAGTTATTTCATACTATTAGGTTTCTTCGGTAATGTCACGTAGGTAAAAAAAATAAAATTAAAATTAATTAAAGTGATAATAGAAATAAAATAATATAATAAAATGCTTCTATTATTACTTTTATTATTACTTTTATTAATTTTTATTTTAAATAAATAAAATAACAATTTATAAAAGTAATAATAGAAAAGAATAAATAATAAATATTTTATTACTTTTATTAATTTTATTTTAATTTTCTTACCTACGTGACTTTACCGAAAAAACCTAAGAGTATGAATCCTTGCAGTCACGAAAGCTTCAAATCTAGAAAAAGTTATTTCATTTGTGAATGCTGAATTGTATTTGCTGTTAGCCTTGTAAAAAAAGTACGTTACATTTTTCTTTAACTTTGTTTTTCCTTTTGAAAATATTACCGGGGGCCTCACACTACCTCTAGCCCAGGGGCCTACACAATCTTAATCCGGCCCTGTACGTGCCGATTGAATTTTGTGAAAACCTTCTGCTGCACATGCACCGGCATGTTGCTTTTCACTTTATATATTTAAATCGGTTGCACAGAATTGCTATTCTGGAACGAATACCGACTGCGTATGTTGTTCCGCATGACTTTGATGTTTATCAAGTGTAGCTTTCGAGGAAAGTGATTTTGTGCGATCGTGCATATTTATCCTGCTTGAAGTAACGCATATCACGCCCCTCTCAACGATGCTTAAAGACACACCAACACGGCAATGGGCTCACATTATTAGATTTAGGTTATTTTGTATCAAGAGTGATCCAAATTGTGTTCACAGTACATGTGAACACAATTTACTGCGCCGGTGCAGACGGATGGGTGAGTTTAACACTCGCACACACAGACTCGTAATTCACACGTGTGCAAGAGCGTTATGGTTTCAGTGGAAAAAAAAAATTCCTCCAGTGCCCTGTTAAGCGCCGAACCTGGATTGGCTGTCATGCTTCACACTATATATGTTGCATCCAGCTATTCATCTTCTGGGACCGAATGGCGATTGGAGTAATGCGTGTGTGTGCAAAACCCCCCCACACACACACACACTGCCACACAACCACACTGCCACACAACCACACTGCCACACAACCACACAAAGACAAAGACAAAGATCCCCCGTATAGCCTGAACAGACTGTAGGGGCAAGTGCTGTTAGCGAGCACCTATGAAGGCCGGAACGGTACACGAGGGGGTGGGTGGCCAGCACCACGCCCGACCGCCTTTGTCTCCCTAGTGGCCATGTTTACACACCGCACCAGGTACTCATTTTAAGGCTGAGTCGACCTAGGGGAGGCCCAGGACCGGTTCAGATAATCGTCACTGGTGTTAGCCGTGAGCGGGAATCGAACCCGGGTCGCCAGGTTCATAGCGCAGCGCGCTAACCGCTACACTACCGCTCCCCACACTGCCACACAACCACACACACACACACACTGCCACACAACCACACACACACTGCCGTCCCAGTACTACGGGGCATCTGTTTAAAATGTTCCGTCAGAAGGGTGGCCTCGTGGCCTCGGGGTTAGAGCGTTGAGCCAGCGCAGCTGAGATCCCGGGCATCGAATTCTGGGATTCAGTCGCCCGTTATTGGATTGTAACACAAACAAACAACAAAAACAATCGTAATCGGAAGCGCAGTTGTGGAGAATATAAGTTACGCTATAAATAAGTGGACAGAAATACTTACATTTTGTACGTGCAGAGACATTATTAAACTGGGAACTCAAGTGTAGCTAATTCATGGTCTCTACCCAGTCTCAAATGACTGTGCCCAAAAAAAACACACACTAAATGTGGGTTTTCACTAATTTGAGCAAAAATTACAGCTTTAAGAATGAAAAAAAACTATTTAGATTTGTATCCAGCACCCTTTCCAGGGCGTATCAAAGGTGGATCAAGAGACCCCGACAAAGGGATTTCAGGAGGAGCTCTGCAACATGATCACTCGGGGGTGTTCTCTCGCACCAGGTGGTGCACTGCTCGCTCTCAGAGTTACGAATGGAAATTTGACTTGACGCCGATGGTACAATTTGAATAAACTGCGATTGGGAAAACTATGAAAATGGATAACCTTAATCTTAAAGGGTTTAAGTGTTTCTCTGTATAACATTCACCCCCCCCCCCCCCCCCCCCCCATAAATGATCAGGATTTAGGCACTGGATATTGCAATACTTTACATGTACGTGTTACGTAAAACTACAGCTGCGAACTTCATGCAAAAAAGTATATGGTGGAGAATTGTAATTTTCATTTAATTGGTAGGCAAAGAAAATTAATGGGTGCAGTGAATTTCTCAATATTCAGTCCATTTTCCCAGCTGGTGGGCATTAGCCCCTCGTGTCTCCCGGCGTAGTGAACGGCATCTGCACGGACTTTTTTACGGCTTTTATTCTAGGTTTAATATATTAAGTTCAATTTCTGTCGGTTTCTAAAACGCGGCGGTGAAATCCATTCGTTCTGCACGCTGAGGGTGCTCGTCAGCCGCACTGCTTTATTAAATTGGGTCTCATCGCCCGAGTTCCAAATTCCACCGAGTTTGCACCAAAGAACTCGACTCGTTCCCTGCTGTTTCCCTGTCCCCTGCCGCCTGTCCGGCACAGCCCCCTGCTCCACTTCTGAAATGACTTCACGTGGATTCCTCCCTTTCATAATGGCAACCGCATTTTGTGACAATTAGCGAAAAGCCTGAGTAAATAAAGTGATGGATATTATGATCGATTATGGGCGATGACAGTGATGATGGCAATTGGGATGATGATGTTAATAGTGATAATAATTGTTTTTGATGACAACACCAGTGAGGATTTTCTGAACCGGTCCTGGGCCTCTCCTCGATCGACTCAGCCTCAAATTAGTACCTGGTGTGTGCGGCGTGTAAACATCGCCACTGAGGAGACAAAGGCGGCCAGGCGTGGTGCTGGCCACCCACCCCCTCGTGTGCCGTGCTGCTTGCTAATATCACTTGCCCCAACAGTCCGTTATGGCTATATGGGGTGGGCAGGGGGGTCTTATATATAAATATACGCTCCAAGCATGGTGCTGTTTCATTCAGACGCTGTCTCCCCGACAGACCTGGTCTTCACCTGAGGACGACTACTTGCGTTGTGGCCGAAACGTCGTGATAATTATTTTATTATGTTTTATTTTATTTTATTTTCTTCTTGGTTCTTTCGGTAAAGTCACGTAGAAGGGAAGTAATAAAATAATAAAAATAAAACATAATAAAACAATTCTCACGACGTTTCGGCCACAACGCAAGCAGCCGTCCATATTTTTATTATTTTATTACTTCCCTTCTACGTGACTTTACCGAAAGAACCAAGAAGATGAATCCCTGCAGTCACGAAAGCTTTAAATCGAAATTTTATTTTATTGTTTTATTATTTCCATTCTACGTGACTTTACCGAAAGAACCAAGAAGATGAATCCCTGCAGTCACGAAAGCTTTAAATCGAAATTTAATGCTGCTGTTGTTTACCCTTGCAGGCCAACACGTTCCAGGCAGTCGTTGCGTGGGACCATGCGGACACGTACGCTCTATTCCTCTACCCGGAGGACGGCCTGCGCTTCTTCGGGACGCGGCCACGCGCCTCCTTCTACGCCAACCTGGAGTTGCCGGCTCGCGTCGGCTTCAGCGGCGGAGCGAGCGACGGAGCAGCGGAAGGTCGCGCCTACTCGCTCACCAGCACGGAGCAGTCAGTGAAGAACCTCTACCAGTGAGTGGCACGCGATCACGTCTCTCGCTCTCTCTCTCTCTCGCTCTCCCTGTTTAGTTTTAAAGTCCCGAGTTCCGTTTTTTGAACGGGGCAAGAAGTCCCATTAACGCGTTTGCAAGCGTGAACTTCTGTCACCAAATTGACAAAATAGCAGAGAGAAAAAAAGATGACAACACGTCACAATCAATTGTCAGTTACCGTCGTGATTGTCAACATCAGCACCGTCATCGGTGAGTCAGTCTTTATCAGAATTGTCAAAAATCACTCGTCCCAGTCTCTGCACCGTTATCATCGCCATCGTCATCGTTGTCAGCAATCGTCATCATCAACAAGTCAATCGTCGTCATCATCAGCAGCATCATAATTAAAGGTTCGTCATTCTCAACATCATCATCTTAAATCCAGTCGTCGTTGTTATCATCAGCGGCAAGTTAACCATCATCGTTATCATCGTGCAGTCGTGTGAAATGGTTGCGTTATAAATATAACTGTGTTAATCTTTGATCATGCATGCAGGCACAACACTTGTTTTGTACACAATTAGCAAGTTTAACGCAAACAATCGCTATCGTTGTAGGTGTTTAAATATCACACTTTTTTTCTTTCTGCCTAATTTGCTTTTCAAACATTATTATTTGTTTCATGCGATCTTCACTACCACCACCACCACCACCATCTTTCCAGTTCAGTGTAATTACACTCTCATGTGAATCTGTTCATTACTTAGCTATTTTGGCAACATCTGCTGTGAGGAATGTGTAAATAGCATTGCAGATAAATCTGCTGCTGCATCAAATTGAACAGCCCCGTACAGAATGCACCTCCTTATCATCAACTCATTGTCTCGAGATGTAATTGTCTGTACGCGTAATTGTCGCTATATGTAATTGTGCATTCATCTTCATCGGGCGCAAGTAGCTCTATATCTATCATCACACAAATAGAATTAGTTATTTTTCTTCTTCTTCAAACTTCTGTATCCATGGCCACTATCACCCTGGTGTATAAAAAAACCCAAATAATGTGCTTCCTCTTGTCATTCCACGATTTCAGGAGTTGCCTCCCCATGCTGCGACGGTTGGCGACGGTTTGGAGAGGCTTTCATCCGGCAGTCGATTTACTACGGGGGGGCAGTGAAGCTGACTGACGCACGCGTTGTGTGAGCTCGCGAATAATGATGCTCTTGTGGCTCTCTGTCACTCCACTGCCGAATGAAGGCCTCCCTACACGCCGTTCCGTGGTGGTTGTTTTAGCTCCACTCCGCAGCGTTGGCCAGCGACGGTTGATGAACGAGATTGAGCGAGCCCAGGACGGGGACAAAAATCAGTCACCACCCATGCTAGCCGTGGCCTAGAATCGAATTCAAGCCACAGGATTCGTGGAGAAGTGCGCTTACTACTGCGCCGCCGCTGCGACGCCCTTACATTACGAGACATCCCTTCTCATTCTGCCTTCTTAGACGCGCTGTTCACAAAAAACACCGCCTGTGTTCTGAGTGCTAAAGCGGGCTAAGGAGGTATAAGCACGTTTCCGCATGAAACTGCCCGAGTAAATCCAAGAGAAAGCCGCCTTTGCCGTGAATACGGTTGTTGAGTCGGCGCTGGCATTATCCTCCCGATGACGGCAGCGCCCTGCCGAGCTGTTGACAAAGCTGCCTGTGCAGGAGGCGTGCATCCAATCGTCGATTAGAATCAATTCACGACGTGCTGCATGGTAGGCGTGGTGTAATCATGAAAAATAAACGCAAATGATAAAAGTGAATAGCGCGACCCTTTAACTTTTATCATTTAACGGCGCAGCTTGGCACTTCGGTCGTAAATTACCGCGAGAGACATTTTAATTGCTAAAGGTTGAACGGTGAAGGCGCAGCGCTGCAATTTCTTATTCAGACCACCGCTGGTGGCGGGGCCTCCCCTCGAGTGAGCTCTGGAGAGAGCCCCTCTGGAGGGTATGAGACGCTAACGTTGGTGCCCGTGTCACACGGAGGCTACTGTAGCGCACAAAGCTGAAATGATACAAAAAAAATTGGAGGATCGATACAAATTTGGACTGTAAACAAAGAAAAGACCCCCCCCCCCAAAATAAAAAAAGTAGTCGATCTTTGTATTGAATCACGACCCCCCAAACCAATCGGGACTGGCATCATTGGTGGGGGGTCAGGTGGGACTTCTCGCCCCGTTCAACAAACGGAACTCGGGACTTAAAAACTAAACACGGAGAGAGAGAGAGCGGGAGAGAGACTTTGACTTTAAACAATTTTTATTGCCGCCAGCAGCAAAAGCACTGGAAGCGATTTCGATATGAAATGCACAAAGCCACCAGCAAACAAATGAAAATAAACGCTACAAATTCACGCGCTGTGGCGCTGAAAGCATCGCACACAACACGAAAGAAAAGTCACGTGGTGGTGGTGGTGGTCATCGCGCACGCCACGGTGACGAGCGAGCGCTTCAGAAGGTGAACACGAGGGTGCCGTCCACGCTGATACAGAGAGTGGCCTTTCTGGCTCCCCAGCGTTCGAAGAAGACGTGCACATCACCGACATGTGTGTGGTACGCGTGCTCCAGCCGGAGCCGCGCCTTAAGCAGGCCTCTGAACACTGGAAGCTCCACAGAGCAGCCGTCAGTGTCACCCTCCAGCATCTTTTTGAGAGAAAGAGCGACGTGCTCGCGCGCCACTCACTGGTAGAGGTTCTTCACCGACTGCTCCGTGCTGGTGAGCGTGGAGAGGGTGGTCTGTGTGGGACTGCCGGTAAGAGTGCCTGCCAGGGCACGCACCGACTCCCGGGGGAGAGAGAGAGCCCTGAGTCTCGCTCGTCATCTGCGCGAGGTTTGTTGGAGCGCGAGAGACAAAGAGAAAGGATTTGAATGGTGCCTCACTTTGCTAATCCTCGCTTGAAGCAAAACACGTGTTTGCTCGCAGGCGAGGGGGACTTGCACTGGTCTGATTCGACGGATGAAAACTTCCATGAGACAGTTTTTGTTGGGTTAGATCGCGTAAATGAACAAAGATCGACTTTTTTGGAGGTTTATTTTTGTCCCAAATGTACGCGACCTAACCCAAAACAACCTGCACTATGGATGATATTGGTAGTGAAAGCCCACCGCGTGTTAAACGGACGAAAAGGTCCTAAACTTGAAGCTTTCGTGACTGCAAGGGAATCATATTCTTAGGTGTTTTCGGTAAAGTCACGTAGGTAAAACATCAAAATTAATAAAAAATAATAAAATAAAGATCACGACGTTTCGGAGGCAACATGACGGAGACTTGTGTTGCCTCCGAAACGTCGTGATCCTTATTTTATTTGATTATTTTTATTAATTTTGATGTTTTACCTACGTGACTTTACCGAAAACACCTAAGAATAGGACGAAAAGGTGCCGTCTCCCCGCGGTAATTGCAATAAACCCGAGCCGCAATTACGAAGGAAACGTCACAGCGACGCACTCCGCTGCTGCCGACGCAGTGATCTGGCTTCACTACCTGGATGTGAAGTTCTAGTTGTTGTAGTTGTTGCTCTGAAAGAACAACATTGCAATACAACGAGAGAGAGAGAATCGAAAATCTACGCAATGAGTCCCCTCGTGGCAACGCGGCTTTCTGCCTAAGCACGACGTCGGGGCTACAATCACCCCATGCGAGAGAGAGAGAAGAGCGGGTCACGTCCAAAATTCCAAAAACGTTGAGAAGAAAATGCTTGTTCTCTTGTTCATCTCTGGGGGCTCCTGGCAGAATGTGGCCCATTCATTGCTGGTGGAGGCGGGGGAGGGGGGGGCGGGGTCGGGGAGTGTTTTCAATTAGATGGGAGCCGCGAGTTACGCCCGCGCCACGCCGCTTGTCGTTGTCCAGCAGAGACAGTGAGCCATTGAGGAGCGTAACATGAGGCCCGTTTGTGAGCGATCATCCTCCGGTCGGATACCATGGGGGGGCCCCCCGTCATGCCGGCCCCCTCCCCCACCGTCCCGTACCCCCACCCCTCACCCCCCACAACCAACCACCACCCCAACCACCGCCACCCCGAAGCAGCTGAAGGTGATGAGCACAAATGCGAGAGAATCCAAATGTTGCCGCTGAGGATGGCAACTCCGTGGAGAAGAAATCATAATAATAATGATGATGATCCCTCTGCCCCTATCCGAGTGACGAGCGCTCGGCTGACGAGCACAGATTGTGCACGTTCTTGTGCTCCTTAATGTCGTTACTTTTAAAAAGTGCTGAGAATCGGCCTTGCATAGGCAGAACGTGTTTGCCCAATATCTCTAATAATTGTCAGGTCTGTTTAAAAATGCATTTAATCGTCGGTGCGTCATTTCGCCTCTCCCCAACCTTTAGCAAGCAGGTGAGGAGTGGCTGAATTAGCATCGCATCTTTGCACGCGTAATGGCTCGCACACTGGGCTTGCAAATCCAGAAGTTTCCTCTTCGATGGCCCCAGTTTCTTAACCCCCCCCCCCCCCCCCAAGCAACCGTTCAATCCAGCAGTCCGCACACGTGGATTCACCACGGCGAGCTGATCGGCCGTTCGCACGTGGCAGGGTTCAAAATAATATGCGGGCGCAGTACGCTCGCCTCCTCCAAGACGTCTGGCCAGCGGCGTGGAGGAGTAGGCCAAGATACGCTCGAGAACGGTTCCCGAGACAGGCCCTCGAGTGGAAGTCCTTACACCAGTGGTAGCGCAAAGCAAGCAATGGAAGTGCTGAACCTGGATATTGTTGTTTTTTTTATTTTAACCTTTTAAGTCGCACCTGGGGGGATTTAATTTTTTTTTGGTTTGTTCGCACGAAAGTGCACCGGGTGCGTTTAAGCTACATTGATAGAGCCACTGTATATTTTAATGATTCGCGGGGCAAAGCGTATTAATAATTATGCACGTGACGCAAGTTGCTGCAACGCGACGCGTGTGTGTTTGGGAAGCCGCCTTCGCTCGTTTTAAATTCCCCTGCCGTAGGTCACCGAGGTGGTTCCTCCTCCGTTTCACCCCATTTATTGTTTTGAAAATAATGATAGTAATTCAGAGCACTTTGTCAAAACCATTGCTGGATGACGGCCTCCCCCTTGCCGCGTCGGTCGTGGTAGCGAGAGGAGGGGATTGTGTGTGTGTGTGGGGGGGGGGGGGGGGGTCACTGGACCATACTTCACCACTCTTGTTTCAAGTGCCCGTTAGGTGGGAGGGTAACTCTCACTCGCTCGGCACTGGAATCAAACGCACAGCGCGGCCCTCCAACCAAAACCACTTTGCGACACGACCACCGACCATAATTCTACGGCAGATTGTGCGACAGAACGTGCATTTAGATGTCCACGTGTGCCGAGCATGACGAGCGATAATTATTAAAGATCCACCGTGCCCCCGCCTCGTCACGGCCCTCGCTGCTGGGGTTTGCAACTAATAAGCACACGGGGGGGGGGGTAGCTTTTGTTAGGCCACGGAGAGGTAGAAAGGGCCCCCCTCCCCGGCAGGAGGAAACCTGCTGGTTTATTGGCCCACGGATCTCTCGCCGTGATTTTGTTTTCAGGGCCCATGCTCTTCAAAGGTACCTCACCAAAGTTTGGGGGTCCCGTTGTTGTCGCTGCTGCTGCTGTTATTGTTTTATAGAAGAGGTGGGAAAGAAAAGCATCCTGTGGTTTGCTTTTACACATTGATTCAATCGCTCTGGGACCCAGTTCGTTTAAAAACTTTGGCAGAGTGGGGGCGGTGGACACATTGACGGTTTTACCCCTTGAAGTTTCGTTTTTCTGCAACTGTAATGCACGTCGTGCCCTTGCACGGTACGCCTATGCAAGCGGTGATGGGAACTGTTTTTCTTGTATAAGGTACATTTTATTTTAATAAATTGATTGCAAAAGAAAAAAAAAATCCATGAACCTATTGCTGCAGTCTTATTGTGTTTTAATTATACACAAGAGGCATATTCCGGGCAACACAATCGATAGAACTTCCCTTTATGTGGAGCAGGGAGAATTTGGTTGTGAATGTATGTGTGTGTGCTGTATGTATGCATGTAAATGTCTCAGCAATATCGAATAATGTAGGCATATTTCAACGTTTGGAAGGTAAGCGGTGTCGCGGTGGTTCACGAGTTCGATTCCCGACAACGACTATCTTCAGTGCCGAGTGCATGCGAGCCGGTTTTGGGTCAACCCATTCACCAACCCACACTGAACCAGCGCGGTGAAGAATGGCCAAACTACTGTCTTAGCGCAGCAGCACAGGGCGGCCTTTTATCCACCCGTGGATTAACAAAGGGCTATACAATATGTAGTGTTATTTATATATATATTCATTATCCACAATATTTCATTCATCATTACAATGGAACGTAATTTTTATTTTAAAAAAAGTTTGTTATCCCAAATCTTCTATCTTAGTTCTGTACACACGGCTTGGTGAGGCTTTCATCTAACAGTGGAGTGTTAAAGGGCTGTATATTTTAGATTGCAATTTCAACGCGTGCGTGTATTTACATTGCTATTTTTCAGGACGGGGAACTCTGGAACTCAGGGCGTTTGGGTTTTCCACATAGGCAGCGCCTCTGGATTAGGGGACATTGAACCGGCGAAGAGGACAGAAGAAGTGTGGCAACTGCAACACCAATACAATCTTGCTCCTTTGCCCAAGTGGGACCTGCAAAGAGCCTGCCAACGGGAATGACGACTTCTACCCGGTGTACACCGACGAAACCGACCTCGATGACCTGGATGAGCACCCGAGGCCCGCGGCGCCCACCCAGCCCGCACCCCGCGCCCAACCTCCACCTTACCCGGAAACATACCCGTACCCGGCACCCGACCACCGCATCACCCAGCACTACCCCGACCCTCACGGCGCCGACGAGCGGACGCAGCAGCTTCCCGACGGGCGGCAGACTCACGACGGTCACCGAGAGCCGTACGGGCAGCCGGAGCGGCATCCCGAGCGGCAGTGGCACGAGCAGCCCGGGGAGCACGGCCGTCGAGAGGGAGATCCGCAGCAGAACGTCGATGAGCGGCAATATCACGTCCAGCAGCCTTACCATGACCCCCAACCACATCCTTACCCTGACCAGCAACCACAGCCTTACCCTGAGTACCAACCACAACCTTACCCTGAGTCCCAACCACAGCCTTACCCTGAGTCCCAACCACAACCTTACCATGACCCCCAACCACAACCTTACCATGACCCCCAACCACAACCTTACCATGACCCCCAACCACATTCTTACCATGACCCCCAACCACATCCTTACCCTGACCAGCAACCACAGCCTTACCCTGAGTCCCAACCACAGCCTTACCCTGACCCCCAACCACAGCCTTACCCTGAGTACCAACCACAACCTTACCATGACCCCCAACCACATCCTTACCATGACCCCCAACCACAGCCTTACCCTGACCCCCAACCACAGCCTTACCCTGACCCCCAACCACAGCCTTACCCTGAGTCCCAACCACAGCCTTACCATGACCCCCAACCACAACCTTACCCTGAGTACCAACCACAACCTTACCCTGAGTCCCAACCACAACCTTACCCTGAGTCACAACCACAACCTTACCCAGAGTCACAACCACAACCTTACCATGATCCCCAGAGTTACCCAGAGTCAGGCAGAGGCGATGTCGCGCAGGTGCCGCGCCACAACCACTACGGTGAGCAGGACCTTGCACACACTCAACGAATGAAAATGATATGCAAATGGGTATAAACGTATACGCTACCTTTATTCATGCTCATGAGAGAATGTTAGTAAATACACACCGCGCAGGCAGCTTTGGCGGCAATGCCCGGTGCTGGCATCCTTTCACCACAATGGATGGAAGACGAATGGCTTGCGATCCCCACTCTCTCTCTCTCTCTCTCCCCTTCGCCTCGTCCATACATGCACGTCTGTGCACTCTCTGGTATTTGCTCCATAATTGTTGCTTTGAGACTTGCAGATGGCAGAGAGGCGGTGCTCGCCGTGCCGTTGCTTGCTTAAACGTTGCTGCCCGCTTTTGCAGGTCAAGTCGCTCGCCCTCGAACGATGTGGAAAGTCGATTTATTTTCGTGATTTCAGGTTATTTTCTCATCCGATAGCTTCTCGAGCTATCACCAGAATGGCAGGCAAAACAAACAAACGTTTTTCAATTCATCAATAGTAATGGAATTCAAATGGAATTAGAGTAACATCACTTTTATCGTGGGCATGTAGCAGTTATTCACCAGTGCCATTACGTAAAGTTGTTTAGTTCAGTGAGCGGTAAATTTGAAAGAAATGTATGGAATGTCAACACCTCAACTCACCACCTGAGTTGGCACTTTCTACAGCAATATTTACATTCTGCAACGTCTCACATCACTCGCCGTCGTTATTCCACATGACACGCTCCGCAAAAACGAAATTATATTCCACGTGCTTATGGAAATACATGTGAGAATTATTTTAATACTAATAGTGTTATGGCGGTGATGAGAGTTGTGGCGGTGGTGGTGGTGGTTAGTAGTGGTGGTGGAGTGGTGTGAAAATGATGGTGGGACTGTGGTGATGATGATGGCGGTGGTGGTGATGGTGTTGTGATGATAGTGGTATTCGTGAAAGTGTTGCTGTTCATGGGGTGGTGGGTAGTAGTTAGCGGTGGTAGTAGTGGTGGTGATGACGATATCTCTGCGTGTGTGTGTGCAGTCCCCCCTCGTCAGGGCTGCGACACGGGCCGTGCGGAATGCTCCCCCCTGGCCGAATGCACGGAGCACGCGACTGGATTCTGCTGCCACTGCCGGTCGGGACATCTGGGCAACGGCAAAGACTGCTTCCAGGACGGGTGAGCCATGCCACACGAAGCCAATGTGATCGTCAGCTTGTATCTACCGGTTATAATGTCCCATCCAACGGCAATGCTCTGCCATGGTGTGACGGTCAGCACACTCGGACCTGCAGTCAAGAGGTCACCAGTTGGGTTCGATCTCCCGACGCGGCGGTCGCAATAGTAGTGCGCCTTTCTCAAATTCGACCCCCACCTCCGCCTAACCCAGATTCACAAGTGGGGGGGGGGGGGGGGGGGTGAGGGGACAATATTTAGTCGTTCGTCAGCTCGTGGGGTAAAGTGTGAGTTACTTCCACCTCTTCCGAGATGTCTGGCCGATGTGGAAGAGTAGGCCAAATTCGATCTACAGCGCTCTCCAGAGCTCCTAGTGGAAGGGCCTTCTGCCAGTAGTGAAGCGAGCGAGCACTTGCAGGGCTGCGCCTTCACCTTGTGTCCCACCCACGTTTTCTTTCATCTTTAAATAACAAGGGATTCTATTCGATGAGATCGAATTTCTGTATCGATCAAATTTGTTCAATTATTCAACATGTTATTTATTTATTTGGGTAAATAATTCACATTTTGAATCATTCATGACCCTAAAGCATGTTGATATATAGAAATGTAGTGGCAATTGATCTGAAAATTCGTTGTTGTGAAAAACGCAAAACACGATGAAAATAAATGTGTGTTCTGTCAATGCCCTTTGCTTTGTGCATCATGTGATGTAAGACATTGCATTGCAAACTATTCGTAATCAAGAGACTGCATTCTAAAATATTCATATCTGTTCAATGGGGGGGGGGGGGGGGGGCGGAGCTGCGACTCGGCGGTCAACATGCTGCACGGCGAGATGTGAACTCCCTCGCCTGGTATACAGGAGGTCGTGGCTTCCATCCCGACCCTGACGCCTGTTGTGTATTTGGAGTTTGGATGGTCCTCCCATGGTCACGTGGATTTTTCTCCAGGTCCTCCGGTTTTTCCCTTCCACATTTACAAACACGCGTTTAGAATATTTGGCTGCTACACATTCCCACGTGAAAGACGCTTTGTTGAGCTATCATTTGTGATAACCAGGACGCTTCTGAAAAAGAACTATGTAGTTCAGTGGGCCTTACCTGGTAAAATAAAATAAAATAGTTAACAATTAGTTGATTCACGGCTAACAACATTGACATCGGAATCAGTCCTGGACACCCACCCCCCTCTTCACCAACCTGCACTCACCATCTTGCTGAAGTACACTCACCATCTTGCTGAAGTACACTCACCATCTTGCTGAAGTACACTCACCATCTTGCTGAAGTACACTCACCATCTTGCTGAAGTACACTCACCATCTTGCTGAAGTACACTCACCATCTTGCTGAAGTACACTCACCATCTTGCTGAAGTACACTCACCATCTTGCTGCACTCACCATCTTGCTGAAGTACACTCACCATCTTGCTGAAGTACACTCACCATCTTGCTGAAGTACACTCACCATCTTGCTGAAGTACACTCACCATCTTGCTGAAGTACACTCACCATCTTGCTGAAGTACACTCACCATCTTGCTGAAATAAAAAAAAACAACATCCATGACCCAAAAGCCCTCGTCCAGCAGTCGACTGACGCAGGGCTGTACATTATTTGTCATGTTATTGTTTTACATTCACTGACCACAATATCTCTACCACGCTTACAACCAAATCTCTATTTCGATCAATAAATTGGCATCCCACGTGTGGACTATTGGCTTTGTGTATGAATTCGTTCGGTTCGCTTGCCTCCTGTGGATACGACATGTGCATTTACCTTCATCACATGGCTGATAGCTTGACTTAAGGGTAAACTGCACAGACCTATTGCTTGTCTCAAACTCATCCTAAACACATTCATTCATAATCGGCCGTGTGCCTGCAGCAACTTGAGCACTCTGCGAGCGACGCTTTGCCAGTCTAACCGTGGACGGGGCTCAGCTGACGTGCCCAGCGAGGCCAGCGTGCTTCAGTGGCATCAAAGTTTGGCTGACCAACATTGAGGTGGCTGGAAGCCTCGGGGGGCATCGGAGCGCTGAGCCGCCGTTGTTGAACGCCTGAGTTCACATCTGGGTAGCCACCAATGTGGCAAACACTCCGGTGTTATTTAGCTTTGCTATTTCTGTTCTGGTTTAAACAAAATAATTGTAATTTTGGCGGTGATGCCGTGACTTTAATTACCGAATTACCTTCAGGGTTTATCAGAGCGATGCGACCCTGTCGCGTGACCTTGCATACAAAGACTCGAGAGTGGTGGGGGGGGGGGAACAGACGCGACAGTCAATGTTAAACAAACTTTAAACGAATGTTAACGGCTAAGCGTAATGAGTAACGATACGATCTGCTTTGTCTATCGTGCATTCTGCTCCGGCTCTCACCCCCCCCCCCCTGTGTATATGAGGAAAGGCTTCAATGTCCATCTCTTAATTATACAAAACAAATTGTGCCAATATTTTTTGACACTTCGCCCATAATAATTTAGCAGGCTGGGATGGAGGGGGGGTTAGATGCTCAGCCCCCCTTCGTCCCTCATACACCTCAGTGGGCTTTGCCTGGGAGGATGGGGATGGTTCAATTGAATGTGTATGTTTTTGGGTGATTTCTTTGCATTTCTTGTACTTTGTACCCCTGTCGTGTTTTTCTGTTGTTTGTTGGTGTCAACGTTCTTACCGCGCCGTAATGGACATTTTTACTGTTTTTTCCTGGATGTTTCTGTTGCGAAACGTCAATTTAAGATGTTCTTTGTTCATTATTTGTTTGTTACGGTTGCAAGAGCCTCATGGCTCACAGGGCTATACCTAATACATGAAACTGAAAACTGAAACTGTAGAAAAAGAGCTATACAGTTTCTTTGGATTCCTCCCAGTATCAATATTCAGATTTAGATTCTGATCTCGCAACGAGTTGCAGTGCAACAGAACAGCATTTCCGTGAAGCTTACGGGCAACCCTGTACCACATCCGCACACACCGTTGCATCAGATGCGGATACTCGATGATGATCCACAAATGGAAAATTAAAAACTCGACTGTATTCACCGTGGGACTCAATGCCCGATGAACAAATACGTAGGAGGAGGCATCGTTGCGCGATGCGCCACTCCGGATGCACGCTGCGTGTACGCACGTTGAACTTCTTTCACGCCGTACGTAGCCAGCGGTGCTCATCGGAGCTGCGCGGAACAAAGCACAAGTAGAACAACGGTGCACTTCGAACGTCGCAAAGCGACACCTCGAGGGTCGAAAGGGGTCCATCCCCGTGGCTGCCACAACCACCCCAACCCACCCCCCCCCCCCCACACACTTGAAAGCATCCGTATCAAATTTCCCCCTGCTTGCTCCCGCAGGCCACCCCCAGCGGGTCAACGGCAAAGTCCGTGGCCGCGTGAGTCTCCGCGGCGTGGAGTCCGAGCTGGCCGAGGCCGACCTGCACGCCTACGTGGTGTCGGCGGACGGGCGCGTCTACGCGGCCGTGAGCCGCGTGCCGCCGGCTCTGGGCTGGGCTCTGCAGCTGCTGCCCTCGCTCGCCTCGCCCCTCGCCTGGCTCTACTCGCCCGGGCCGGGCGGACAGCGCGGCTTCGGCGTTGCCGGTACGGATATCGTGTGTGCGGTTATCGTGCGGTTATCGTGTGTGCGGTTATTGTGCGGTGATCGTGTGTGCGTTATTGTGTGGTTATCGTGTGGTTATCATGTGGATATCGTGTGGTTATTGTGTGGATATCGTGTGGTTATCGTGCAGATATCGTGTGTGCGGTTATCGTGTGGTTATCGTGTCGTTATCGTGTGGTTATCGTGTGTGCGGTTATCGTGTGGTTATCATGCAGTTATCGTGCAGTTATCATGCGGTTATCGTGCAGATATCGTGTGTGCGGTTATTGTGCGGATATCGTGTGGATATCGTGCGGTTATCGTGTGGTTACCATGCAGATATCGTGTACGGTAATCATGCAGTTATCGTGTGGTTATCGTGCGGATATCGTGTGTGCGGTTATCGTGCGCTCGGTGGTGGTTGGTGGTGGTGCCAGGCCTCAAGCAAAGGAAGCCGAGGCACGGGGGGGTGGAGGCAAGACGGCTCAGGGTGTCCCGAAGGTCGTGTGAGAGAGAGAGGGGAAATAAAATGTCAGCGATAATTGAAATCCTTAATAAACGTAACGAGCTCATTTAAATATACAAATGAATACATCTCTCATCCCTATCTTGTCTGTATCTCTGTTCTCTCACCTAATTCCATATTGGTCTCTACGTCTCTCATTTGACATCATCTCTACGTGTGTTGAACTTCCTTTTCACCGTACGTAGCCAAACGTGCCAGCGTCTTGCCCCTATCCCTATTGCTCCCGTTGTTTAGTCGGCGTTTCTCCAGCCTCGCCACATCTCGTGTCAACTCACGAGGACTGGAGGCATAGAAAGGGCCAGCAGCACCATCACCTTCTCAGGCGCTGGCGCCGCGTCGATTTGTAGTTGCGCTCGTTACGCCTGTGGCATTCTCATCGTGAGGTGTGACATTCGATTATTTACAAAGGGCGCAAGCGTACACGTTCATTCGGTGCTTTTTTTCGCTCGTGGAGGAAGAAAAAAAAACGAGATAGGGGAAGTGAAGAAGCAATACGGGTGAGTTGGAAAAAAGTAGATTAAAAATCATTGATTCATTAATCAAAGCATGATTTTACCTTTAGACTGGATAAACGAGTGAGCAAATGAAGCAGATGCAGCAAAAAATAAACAACTAACAATACAAATAAGTCGGTAAAACGGCACCCAAAATCGAATCGTGAATCGAATCTTGACCACAATTCTTGATTATTCGAGTCACTGGGGCTTAGAGAGGACTGGGTGTGAATCATGTCGCCTGCTCGTCTCCTGTCTAGACGTGTGTCTCGCTGTCTCCTGTCTAGACGTGTCTCACTGTCTCCTGTCTAGACGTGTCTCGCTGTCCCATGTCTAGACGTGTCTCACTATCTCCTGTCTAGACGTGTCTCACTGTCCCATGTCTAGACGTGTCTCGCTGTCTCCTGTCTAGACGTGTCTCGCTGTCCCCTGTCTAGACGTGTCTCGCTGTCCCCTGTCTAGACGTGTGTCTCACTGTCTCCTGTCTAGACGTGTGTCTCACTGTCTCCTGTCTAGACGTGTCTCACTGTCCCCTGTCTAGACGTGTGTCTCACTGTCTCCTGTCTAGACATGTGTCTCACTGTCTCATGTCTAGACGTGTGTCTCGCTGTCCCCTGTCTAGACGTGTGTCTCGCTGTCCCCTGTCTAGACGTGTGTCTCACTGTCTCCTGTCTAGACGTGTGTCTCGCTGTCTCCTGTCTAGACGTGTCTCGCTGTCCCCTGTCTAGACGTGTCTCGCTGTCCCCTGTCTAGACGTGTGTCTCACTGTCTCCTGTCTAGACGTGTGTCTCACTGTCTCCTGTCTAGACGTGTCTCACTGTCCCCTGTCTAGACGTGTGTCTCACTGTCTCCTGTCTAGACATGTGTCTCACTGTCTCCTGTCTAGACGTGTGTCTCGCTGTCCCCTGTCTAGACGTGTGTCTCGCTGTCCCCTGTCTAGACGTGTGTCTCACTGTCTCCTGTCTAGACATGTGTCTCACTGTCTCCTGTCTAGACGTGTGTCTCGCTGTCTCCTGTCTAGACGTGTGTCTCGCTGTCCCCTGTCTAGACGTGTGTCTCACTGTCCCCTGTCTAGACGTGTGTCTCGCTGTCTCCTGTCTAGACGTGTGTCTCGCTGTCCCCTGTCTAGACATGTGTCTCACTGTCCCCTGTCTAGACGTGTGTCTCGCTGTCCCCTGTCTAGACATGTGTCTCACTGTCCCCTGTCTAGACATGTGTCTCACTGTCCCCTGTCTAGACATGTGTCTCACTGTCTCCTGTCTAGACGTGTGTCTCACTGTCTCCTGTCTAGACGTGTGTCTCACTGTCCGCTGTCTAGACGTGTGTCTCACTGTCTCCTGTCTAGACGTGTGTCTCACTGTCTCCTGTCTAGACGTGTGTCTCGCTGTCCCCTGTCTAGACGTGTCTCACTGTCCCCTGTCTAGACGTGTGTCTCACTGTCCCCTGTCTAGACGTGTGTCTCACTGTCCCCTGTCTAGACGTGTGTCTCACTGTCTAGACGTGTGTCTCGCTGTCTCCTGTCTAGACGTGTGTCTCGCTGTCTCCTGTCTAGACGTGTGTCTCACTGTCTCCTGTCTAGACATGTGTCTCACTGTCCCCTGTCTAGACGTGTGTCTCACTGTCCCCTGTCTAGACGTGTGTCTCACTGTCTAGACGTGTGTCTCACTGTCCCCTGTCTAGACATGTGTCTCACTGTCCCCTGTCTAGACGTGTGTCTCACTGTCCCCTGTCTAGACGTGTGTCTCGCTGTCTCCTGTCTAGACGTGTGTCTCACTGTCTCCTGTCTAGACGTGTGTCTCACTGTCTCCTGTCTAGACGTGTGTCTCACTGTCCCCTGTCTAGACATGTGTCTCACTGTCCCCTGTCTAGACGTGTGTCTCGCTGTCTCCTGTCTAGACGTGTGTCTCACTGTCTCCTGTCTAGACGTGTGTCTCACTGTCCCCTGTCTAGACATGTGTCTCACTGTCCCCTGTCTAGACGTGTGTCTCACTGTCTCCTGTCTAGACGTGTGTCTCACTGTCCCCTGTCTAGACATGTGTTTCACTGTCCCCTGTCTAGACGTGTGTCTCACTGTCTCCTGTCTAGACGTGTGTCTCGCTGTCTCCTGTCTAGACGTGTGTCTCGCTGTCTCCTGTCTAGACGTGTTGAGCTGTCCCCTGTCTAGACGTGTGTTGAGCTGTCCCCTGTCTAGACGTGTGTCTCACTGTCTCCTGTCTAGACGTGTGTCTCGCTGTCTCCTGTCTAGACGTGTGTCTCGCTGTCTCCTGCTTAACCTCCTCAGCCAATCAGCCAAGCCCAGGCTGGCATTTGTCATTGTAGGACCTTATTGTAAGCATTCTAGTTCGTCGATTATGTAACAAGAATAAATGTTAAATGCGTCTCAAAAGAATGAGACCCTCTGTCTGGAGTGGAACGTTTGGCATTACCTTAATGCTTAGTCTGCCTGTCTCCGCACACTGCAGGAGACGTGATACATTTTTCAGAATCGGGAGGGCTATGGTCCACTCACCCATCCAATGCAAAATGTTCCACGGCGTAATTAATACGGTGGCTGGGTGGCCTCTGCGTCTCTGCCATTTCACGTGGATTCAGGGTTTACCAATCCCGATCCAGCCTGAGCCCCGTGATAATCCGCCGAGGGCACATTATCAAAGATGCCTGTGACTCGCCGATATTTGCGCGGTGTAATAGATCCATCCCATTATTTGCAAGAGTTAGGTCATTGTGTGCCAGTGGGCTGTGTCCAAATTAATGAGAATTACCATAATTTACCAAAATTTCAAAATTGTTCTTTTCTGCTCAGTGACAGCATGTCACTTTACCAAGTACAGAGTGCAGTTTGCGCGGCCAAATCATCACAAGGCGGAACAAAGCGTTTGTTTTAAAGATGAAGATGGTTTAGAATACGTATTTTGTCCGTTAACAGGCGGCATGTACATTAACGTGAACGTATTGTTATATCTTATGTACATGACCACCTAGGAGAGGAGTATTGAAACGCGTATCTTGACAAGTGGCGTACGATCAGGTAATCTCGTGCCGGGGTTTTCCATGGGCTGGTCCTGGATTCATGGCAGCCTTAGTGGGGCTAACCCAACTCCCTTTCAGAAGCGTGCGCAAGTGTCGTCCTGGGAAACGATATCATGACCTCAGCGTGGAATAACGAAAGTGTTCTGTGGCAAGGTCAACTTCAAGGGCCGTGTTGTTTGTTTAAAGAAAAAAAAAACACGGTCGAAAATTAGTGTAAGCTTGCCCAAGCACACGTTAGACCTTGTTCGTATGTAAACATTAATGTTGATCACATCCTGCTGGCTTGGGAGGGAAGGGAGGGGGGAGGAGATGAGGGTACAGAGTCGGGGCGGCAGAGGTCACGTAGCTGCGTGACTCTTGCAGCAGCGTTGGGATGAGACGTGAGCTCGGCATATTGAGATTGCGCCTGGATTTGGACGACGCAACTCCGCATTGCATTTAATTGCATTGTAATCGTCAACTGCATGTGGAATTGTGTTGCAATCATACATTGCATTGCACTGGTGTTGTAGTCGTAACCCGCATTGTAATTGTGCAGCAACTGTAAACCCCATTGTAACTCTACTGTGATCATAAACCACATTGTGCTTGTGTTGTAATTGTAGCCTGCATTGTGCTTGTAATTGAATTTGTGAATTGTCATTGTACACGCATTGTACTTGTCAATTATGTTGTGCTTCTTCTTGGTTCTTTCGGTAAAGTCACGTAGAATGGAAATAATAAAATAATACACCTGAGGACGGCTGCTTGCGTTGTGGCTGAAACGTCGTGAGAATTATTTTATTACGTTTTATTTTTATTATTTTATTATTTCCATTCTACGTGACTTTACCGAAATCCCTGCGGTCACGAAAGCTTTAAATCGAAATTTACGTTGTGCTTGTCAATCACGTTGTGCTCGCGGCCCGTGCGTGCAGGCGGGCGCCTCGTGCAGCGCGCCACCGTCACCTTCTCGCCGGGCGGCGAGCGTCTGCACGTGACGCAGCGCTTCTCGGGGCTGGACCCGCGCGGGTACCTGGCCGCCAGCGTGGAGCTGTCGGGAAGCCTCCCCCACGTGGAGCCGCTCGCTCGCGTCGACTCCGACTCCTACACCGAGACGTACCACCAGACCCACGCCGGTAAGCCCGCCAGCCCGCCCACCCTGCCTGCATCCTGGGTTCTTACCGCCACCACCCGCCCACAACAGATAGCGTTCGATTGTATCTGAGAAAAGATACGATCGGTCGGTCAGTTGGTATATATGCATAAGCAGCAAGTGGAAAATCAATTACTCTCCCGTGTGCGAATGCCACTAAGAACTCTAAACTATGGACCCTGCGCACTTCCTAAAATATAAATGTGGGGGTATTTGTCATTCATCAACTCGCAGACAAAGCAATGCGATGGTTAAATCACAGTACGACTCAATCCTGTATTAGTTAATCTGCATAAGATATACGAAACAAGAAGAAGCAGAACTCCATTCTGTCTCCAAACAAAATGTTGTTCTAGTCCGTCAGCTTATTGGCTTTCCACACGAATAATTTTCAAAGCGGTGTTTGGTTACACAAACAAACTCTGGGTCGTTTTTGACCTTCTGCGTCTCATCAGCAGAGGCAGGCTTGTTAAACAAACTATTGCAGAGTTAGCTGAACACGTCGGCTTTCGCGACCAATATTATCCACAAGAGGTTTTTGGGTTAGATGTCGTAAATATAAATGTGTCGTTACGTACATTCATAGTTGCGTTACGCACGAGGGAGTGGCATCTGAAAGGTGTGACGTTAACAACAACAGAGCTGAGTTATATATAAAACTGCAAGCTCCGTAAGGATGGTCTGTACAAGTGGCAGAGTCAGACGATACACAATCCGAGGCAATCTCTGTCCCCTTCTTTTTTTTAAATTGCAACATGAACTGGAGCAGCATGAATATCAGCAACAGATGTTACATCGGTCTCTCAAATGTGTAGTTGGAGTGTTTATTTTTGATGAAGAAAATAATAATAATAGGAGTACAATATTGGAGTATTCATAACAGCTGTGGCAATACCCCCCAAAGAATTTCGATTTAAAGCTTTCGTGACTGCAGGGATTCATCTTCTTGGTTCTTTCGGTAAAGGTCACAGAGAAGGGAAATAATAGAATAATAAAAATAAAATGTAATAAAATAACTCTCACGACGTTTCGGCCACAACGCGAGCAGCCGTCCTCAGGTGAAGAAATTCTTCTTCACCGAAAGAACCAAGAAGATGTACCCCCAAAGAGTTTGATTCTGTACATGGGGCCAAGGCATTGGTTACTGGACCCTGTGTTGTATTCCAACTCGCCCTGGGTCAAGGCGATGGCTCCAGATGCAGTGCTGCCGTGCGGTGTTGTCTGAGCGTATCCGTGGCAAGCGGGGCACGGTCACAAGTCTGCGCTCGTCACCATGGGACGTTGACGCCACCTTGACGTGATAATTAGCGCTTGTCAGCCGAACATTGGATTTTCATATTATGCCCCCTCAACAATTTACGTCACTGGCTTAATTAAAAATAAAGCAACAATGAAGCCTTCATTTCAAACCGTCACCATGTCAGCCCTAACGCACGCATGCTATAGACGAATTTACGTCTTCGAGTGTATTTATCTTAGAACAGCCTTTAGAGCTGAATATTAGCGGAATAAATTTGCTCAGTTACGTAAAAAAAAATCTTCATACGTGGAAAATTGGACTTGGAATCACAACCCTGAGCTTTACCAACTGAATTAGCACGGTTGTGTTTTGTTGTTGTTTATTGAACTATACCGAATTTAATTTCAACCGGGTCTGTCCGTGGTCATTGACCCTGAAATTATGTCTGCACCCCGGCACACCACATCCAGTATACCTATCGCTACGGCTGTGGACGTTGCCTACTCTAGTCTGACAGCGAGTTGGAAACTATTTCAGTTATGGTGCTTGCTTGTGGCTCCAGTCTGTTGTGGCAATGTACTCTGTCTCGGGTTTTTCAACTCACGAAATCCATGCGGCTTCCCCAGGGAGCTCGTCTGGCTGCAGCCCAGCACTGGTGCATTAAATATAGCCCCCGAATTCATATTGATCAATGAAACCGCTTACACTCATCACATGGAATTGGAAAACCCCAGGTAGATTTTGTCTCGCCATCAAACTGTGGCAGTAGTGTCCCTGTTGCATTCACGTAATTTATACGCTGCGAAGACTCGGAGGCTCCATAGCAGTAAGCCTGACCAGAGACAAACACGTGTGTGATGTATGTCTTCTAGTATACTCGGGGCATGGAGTGTCTAACGTTTATGATATACAGTGTATACACACACACATCCAAACAAACTACACCACAAACAACGCGATTCAGTGCACGCAGGGAGAAACTAACCACAGGTAGTGATAGAGCAGCGTGCGTTTTGTGTTCGGTTTCATGACAAGATACCCAGCTCTGGAAAGAAATACATAAACATATAAGAACACGAACAAAATTAAAAGCAATTTTAAATTAAACTCCGCCGCTATCAAGCGAGTGTGCGATAAGTGCCGACTGCCCAGGTAAACATGTCTACACCTATTATTATTAAAGTTGTTACAATCGGCAACACACCTAACGATTTGTTAGAATGTGGGGAATAAAAACAAACAACGTCTTGCAAATACAAACAGTAAAGATGGTAATGGTAGGGAGGCCTTCTTTTCGCCGCTCAGTGATAACAATCGGAAGTGGCGAGGGGTTTCTAAACAAAATTGTGCAAATCTTCCGCATAAATTGCACCAAACGAAGATATCATGTTGAAGTGCTGCACTTTTTGAATTTAGATAGTGCGTCTGATAGTGAGTGTGCGTGTCTCTGCGTGTGTGCTTCTGATAATAATGTAACTGTGTGTGTGTGTGCGCGCGTCTGATAGTGTTTGTGTGTATGCTGGGAGCAGTTCCGTAGCGGTTCGCGTGCTGCGCTACGAACCCGGCGACCCGAGTTCGATTCCCGCTCACGGCCAACACCGGTGTTTATCTGAACCGGTACTGGGCCTCCCCTAGGTTGACTCAGCCTCAAATGAGTACCTGGTGCGGTGTGTAAATATCGCCACTGGGACGACAGAGGCGGCCGGGTGTGTTATTGTCCACCCACCTCCTCGTGTGCCATGCCGGCCTTCATAGGTGCTCGCTAACAGCACTTGCCCCTTCATTTTGGTAAAGCTATGGGGGGGGGGAGGAGTTTCTGTCTTTGTATATTCTGATAACATTCAATTACAATACCATTTGTGTTTATATCCAAGGTCTGCTTACGTGGGTCGCCAAAGAATGAAAAACAGACACATTAATGAAGGTCAATGTAGGCAAGGCAGCATAATTGAATTAAATAAACCAAATAAATTTCAATCATCATAGGCATCACCGCACCAGGGAAGGGAAGATGAGTGAGCAGCCCATGAGAGTAAGGTCTCACTTAATGGTTTTCTCTCCTCTATAGTTTCAAACTAACTGCTCTTCGTTAACGGTACTTAAGTTAACATCATATGCGCGTGCGGGGTGCAGTTGGGAAGTGTTTAGCGCACTGCGCTCTGAGGCAGCAACCGGCGCGTTAAATCCCCGGCCACAGCTGACGTCAGTGGCAAGTGGTGTCTGAGCCATTGATGGACTTCTCCCAGATTGGCTAGCCTTAAAGAGAGTAGCCGCTGCGTTGTGTAGACGTCAGTGCTAGGAAGTGTGGTGCTGGCCTGCACCACTCCCTTAATAGGCGATTGCGAACAAAACGGGACTCAACAGTCTACAAGGACCACATGGGAGATCTCTGCCTTTGCTGTGTTGGTATGTGTACTCTGATACGAAACCAGCCACTCAGGTTCAATCCCTGGCCGTGTCCAACACTACGGATATGGCCTTTCACCATCTAAATTCTAAATGAATATCTTTACGTTGGGAAATGTGTAGCCCACTAGATGCTTCAAATATCAAGTTTCACATTTATTTTCTTCAACCAGGTGGCAACTCCAGAGATCAGGATGAGTCTCATTTGCAAGATTGACCTGGGTGGCTTTAGACTGCGAGTAGGGGGTGATTATTCCCGTGTATAATCCCAATTGAGTAAAATTGCGGTGTAATTTTGGGATAATTTGGACGCTGACACCGGCACACGCAATGTCCTACTCTTGCAAATGACGTCACGAGATCTTGAAAGTCCATTGTGAAGCAGAAGGCACGTATAATTACGGCCATTACACCCACGGTAATAAGCAACAGAAGTTGACGGTGCTTGTGTAATTTATGGATGTGTGCATGCAATCGTTGGTTGAAATGGAAATGTGGAAGGAACTGAAGCAGCTCCCAGCAAGAGTAGCAAACTGTCGCAAAATCGTGCCGAGCAGCACGCCGCACAAACAGGGAACAAACACAGAGACGGGCTGTACAGCGCAACCGGTGAAACCCACGCAGTAGAGCGGTACACTGATCACGAGCGAGCGAACATGACAGAAGAGACTCATGCGTGTGTGCGTGCGCGCGTGTGGGGAGCGGTAGCGCGCCGCGCTATGAACCCGGCAACCCGAGTTTGGTTCCCGCTCATGGCCCACACCAGTGACGATTATTTGAACGAGCCCTGGTCCTCCCTCCCAGGGCTGGGGGTGGTGTTGGCCACCCACCCCCCTCGTGTGCCCTCACAGTATATTAAAGGCTACGCTGGGAATCTTTGTCTTTGCAGGCTCGATGTCCGTGCGGTCGCAGCAGCAGCTGACGGTGACCGCCAACGGCGAGCAGACCTCGCTGGTGCTGGACCTGACCCAGAACCTGACGTACGACGCCGTGGCGCCGGCGTGCGCTCGCTCCGGCGACGCGGCCCCCCCGGCCTTCGTCATGGAGCGCGTGTTTGCGCTGTACAACCCCAGCGAGAGCGTGCTGCGCTACTCCATCACGGGCAGGAGGAGCGCCCAACCAGGCGAGTGGCACCACGGAGGAGAGCAGTGGCAGCGGCTCGGTGTGGCACTGGCGCAGTGAATGAAATGGGGCTTAACTAACGAGCTAGGTTTTTTTATTCTACCAGGTAAGGCGCACTGAGCTATGTAGCTCTTTTTCAGGAGTAACCTGGCCACATATTCTTAGGTTTTTCGGTAAAGTCACGTAGGTAAAAAAATGTGACGGTTCTACCTGAAGACGGAAGCTTGTGTTGCCTCCGAAACGTCGTGATTTTTATTTTATTTAACTTTTATTAATTTAGATTTTTTACCTACGTGACTTTACCGAAAAACCTAAGAATATGAATCCTTGCAGTCACGAAAGTTTCAAATCTAGAACCTGGCCACAAGTGATAGCTCAGCGAAGTGGCTTATCACGTGGAAATGTATAGCAGCCATTTTACTCGAAATGCTGGTTGATTCTGAACGTGGAGGTAAAAACCGGAGAACCCAGCGAAAAATCCTCGTGACCACGGGGGGAGAGAGAGAACATGCAAATAAGAACATGCAAACTCCCAATATACACAGGCGTCAGAGTCGAGATCGAACTCACGACCTCCTGTACACCGGGCGAGGGAGTTAACATCCCGCAACGTTGTCCCAATGCCAGCGCTCAATCGCACTTCCCTCCCTCGTTGTAGCCCAGAGCCTGGGCCCGTTCGGCCCATGGAATCCCGGTGCAGTTGCACTGCCTGCACACTCAAACACAATTGACCGTGGACAATCCTTTCATTTACCAAATACATGTCAAATACCCTCGTTTTATAACCACAGAAGAGGAGGTGTGTACACGAGTTGACCCCCACCTCGTACTCCCCTTCCACCTCCAACCCCTCCCCCTGCAGACCATCGCGGAGATGTTTTCACGCTTGCAGACAATTCGAGTTGGCTACCAATTCAAATGTCCTTTTTTTTGGGGGGGGGGAAGGTTGGCCTGGATTCCCTACATGAGAATATTAATTTCTGGGAAAGACCTACCCGAACTCAATTGATAAACTCAGAAAAATCATACAAGCACCAGTTTATTTTAACTGACGTGGGTTGTTCATAAGCTTGTGTTCGGGGACGAAATAGCAGCTTGAAATCACACCTGATACGTATACAGAAGCTAATTAAAGTTAACAAAGCTAATTAATCTCTTTCATTCCTATCCTGTTGGTGTCTCTCCTCTCGTGTAACACCATCTCTCTTTTGTCCGTCTCTCTTCTGTCACTGTGAGTTGATAAATCGAAAGGGGGAGGAGGCCTCCAAAAATAATGCATTCTCAGGGTCCCCAATCGACCAGCACCACCACTGGTTAGGAGAATCATGCACGCAAGTACGTACATCTATATGTATATAGGGGGAGCGTTCGTGTCGCGGTTAGCGTGCTGTGCTACGAACCCGGCGACCCAAGTTCAATTCCCGCTCACGGCCAACACCAGTAACGATTATTTGAACCGCTCTTGGGCCTCCCCTAAGTCGACTGAGCCTCAAATGAGTACCTGCTACGGTGTGTAAACATCGCCACTTGGGAGACAAAGGCGGCTGGGAGTGGTGCTGGACACCCACTCACTCGTGTGCAGTGCTGGGGTTCATAGGTGCTTGCTAACAGCACTTGGCCCAACACTTTCTTTTAAGGCTATACGGGGGATTTTTGTATTTTTTTGTATATACTGTATATATATACTCATTAGCATGACGTACTTCTGTGGTGAATCAAATAAATTGCATAGGAAAAATAACTGCCAACAGCGCTTCACGGTCAACATTTTTCATTGGCCATAGTGCAACCTCGCTAATTTATCTGCTTTTTTTTTCTCCCACAAAGCAGGCATTTTTTTTGTTATCGCTGTGGTTCTGTGCTCCTGCGTATAACCCGGCTGACGATAGGGCAATGATAGGGGTTTACGTTTTGAGAAATTGCAATTATGTAAGAATTGTCGACTTTTCAAGTCGCTTGCAATTAATGGTACAATGGACTCGTTTTCCCGGCATGCCGAACTACAAAGAAAATCAAATTATCACGGACCAATGTTGTACTTGCCCTGTGTACGTCGACTGATGATTTCCAACCTACCTATTCGTCTTCTAGTCTATTTATCAGTTAATTATATTTTTGTCATGTAACTCTTCTAAGCCGCTGATTACCTTGGATTTAATAAGAATTTGTATTTTACTGGAACATATATCTGAGGCACGAAATATTATTCATGCGAGATCATAGAGGTAGTATATTTTGGAGCCGCTTAAAGCAAGCGGCAGTTTATAAATAATAATATCTTATTAAAAGGTTAACGTGTGTTATGTAGAATAGTACAACCTCATTCATTCTTACCGTGCATGAACAATATTTCATTTATACGCAAACCCCATACAGTGAGAAACTGGACAGTATGAACCTCTGGAAAACAAAACTATACATTTAAAATGGAGATTAAACGAACATTTTCATCAATGAGGATAAATTGATATGACCATTAAGTGCTACTGTTTGTCGTAGTATATATTTTTTATCATCCCCATCATCATTATATTCCCTATTCATCTGTCGTGAATGATGTAGAAAATTATAAGTAGACATCTACTGCTTAATAACCTCATCTTTATTATACGTGTCCTATTTTTATGTCCCATTGCTTCCGCTCCCACCGCAAGGCAGCCGCTCATGACTGCGACAACTCTGCACAACCCAGGCAACGGCGGCGGAAGAAATTAATTGACCAAGCGAAATTGCACGGCCATTATTTCAGACATTTTGCGGCTGTAATGCAAAAATAATAATAATAATTACAAGGATGACCGCTTTGATGCTGCGCTCAGCGGTCCCAGCTGGCCACGTGGTCGAACGTGGTTGTGCTGCGATCGCCCGCTCTCTGATGTCTGCATTAGCACGAATCTGCCAACACCTACCCGCCCGTCTGCACGTGGTCGAGCGCTCGTAAAAATACGCGGTTAGCACCGACCTTGTAATGACCCCGCCGCCTCCTAGGGACAGACGGGTGCAAAGCCGGGTTTTTTTTTGTTGAATCACCGTCACAGCGGGAACCTTGCCCACCGCTGGATGTGCACGAGTTAAACACGCGAAGGCATGAAAGCACATGCTTGATTTTTTTTTACTCAAGGCAGCGTAGCAAAAAATAATGCTGTTAAAGAACAAATGCTCGTCGCGTACACACGTAATTTATCAGCGAGTCTGTGATGAATGAAAAAGGCAGAAGAGCGTTCAGTTAGAGCGTGTTCATTAAAACACTTCATAAATAGAGCATTTAGTTTATTTATTTTTTAATCTACAGTTTTGGAAGCTGCATCCACATTAGCCAGGGTTTTGTTTGGCACAGTGTAATTTATTTTTTCACTTAAAGAAAACTCCATTCGCTCACACTTCAGACCAAGCTGTTTTTTTTTTCAACTTGTGTTTGGTTTCTCTTCTTTGATTTTGTTTTTGCAAACATCGGGCGGCCGGCGTGTAATATTCAACAGAGCACAATTAAGTGAGCGGCTGACAAGCATGCACGCCACAAAAGTGGCTTTAATCTTGGAGACTGCACCTCGAGGAATATTTATGCTTCTCAGCTGATGAGTAAACAGACAACAGATGCATTTTTGGGAGGACTCCTCCCAAGTTTCTCCCCAGAACAGGAAGCGGTTTGTTTGTTAGGCGAGCTAACTTTGTGGCTTTGCAACGGAGGCGACGGCTGGCTGTTAGGAGGGCGTCAGCAGCTTTCTAACTTTGCAAGCGTCCTCTGTGCTCAGATCTCTGAGCCACGCCATGGGGAACACCCATCTCCGGGTTTGTTTGGACTGCGCTGTGGCACCGATTACCCCCCTACTGAAGCGTTCTTAAAGGTGGCCCTTGAGTGAAGTTACGTACCCCACCCCCACGTGCCCACAATTAAATTCCCTTGGCTCGCTCTCCCGCCACTCACAAGGCACGCGCGCCGGAAACACACACAAGACGTCCCCGCTGCCTGCAGGCGTTCGGTCGTTTTATGTTGGCAATGGGGAGCTGTGGCTCAGCTGACAGGGAACAGTCAAAGACTCGTTTCTTAAAGGTCTCTCACAGTGCTTATTCAAGGCGTGATGATCTTAAAGTGAGCTATTGCTTGCTCAGTGAGAGCCCAACTGTGCCTGTAGTGCATTCTTTTCTCTATGCCTCTGCTAAAATAGACTCATCGGTGATGACAGCAGTAGTCTAAATCACAAAAGTGGAATATATCAGTTGGTTTAAACGACCTTTGCGTGACGTCTGCTGGAGAGTGTGCCTCAAAGTTCACTAAGTGGGTGCCACTATTGGTGCTCGTAAAAATCTGGCCGGGCAATTCGCTCTCCGCTGGAGGTTACCGTGTGGCGCTTTTCAGAAGCCAGCATGGGTATTTTTGTATGCTGTGTAGCATAATTATGATGGGCATATCACCAGTAGTGCCTGCAAGTGAAATGGTTTTAACATTCTTTTTTTTTAAATGAGAGCTGAGAGTGGGATATTGAATGCAGGCCTTCCTCCTTGCAAAATAATGCACCCGTTGATAGTGTCAGCATACTTGTGGGATTTAAAAATGCCACATTTGACTGTTTATCTGTACTTATTACAGGGTTGGGTTGATGCAGTTCTCAGAGTAATGGAGTCAAAAAGGCAATATACTAAAAAATAAAATAGTACGTTGAGCAGCAAAGAGGCAGCGCTGTGGGTAGGTGATGTGCATTAAAGTCACTCTCTCTCTCCGTGGAATTTATATAACTCATTGAGACACTGGACAGACCCGTTCAAGCTTTCATACCAGAATTCCCATGAGGCTAATTCAACATAAACAGATTTTCCTAATAAGGGAACGGATACAGCCCCCCCCCCGCCCCTATTGCGACGGGAAGTGTTTCACGGGTATTTGTAAATTAATTTCAAGGGTCCAAGAGATCACGTGGAGCTGCGGCACAGCAGCTGATGCTGCGCAACGAAGCTGACCACCCGAGTTCAATTCCCAGCCATGGCTAATGTTAGAGTCGAGTGCTATCTGAAGCAACCCTGGGCTTTTCCCCCCTCACAAACCCACTTTGACCATCGTGATGAAATATGGTCAAATAACCTCCCCAAGACGGACCTGGTACGGTGAGGCTTTCATCCAGCAGTTGATTAGGATGGGCTGTTTATTATTACCGCCGTTGGGATTGTGAAAACGCTTATTGCAGTAACAGCGTTCACATTGTTGTTTTATAATCCATGTAAACATTTTTCAGTGGTGCACCAACAAAAGTAACCAAAGCTTCACAAGATTTGGGAGAAAACGAGCAAAAAAAAAAGATTAACTGAAATACTTTTAACGCATTTTCATTTTAAACAAAGGTTGACTCGTATAATTTAGCAAATCAATTCATGCGACGCAGCTCTGGATTTTTTTTTACAATTGCAACAATATTATCTCTAAAATACATTGCTCGTGCTTTCCCCCACGAGCCCCCACATCAGCTATTTTGAGTTGGTGTGGATCCAAGTGTCTACGATGCACTTTATAATGAATAGCTGGGAAGATGTCAAAAACACAAATATTACGAGGACGAGAATATTAATGAATTTCAATTCCGATTGCCTTTGGGCATTTCTGCCGAGTCTCCGTCAGCAAGCCGAGGGTAGCGCCACACCACAAGCTTGTCGAGCAGAACATTCGAGGCTGGCTCGGCGGATCAAGCAGAGATTATTGGCATACTTGAGAGCAGTGCAGCAGGTGGGTCGTTAGGCCAACTTTTTTTTCGGACGTTTGAGCATTACTCTCACGTGCGATTTCCCGACGCACGTATCGACACTGGGAAGTGCAAGACGCAAATCCCGACCGCCGCTTAATACGCGCAACTGACGTGTGGAATCCGGTGAACCCGTGACCTTGGAAGGTGGCCTTGGTCATTCGCATGTATGTACGTTGAACTTCTTTTGCACAGTACGTAGCCAACGGAGGTGTGCTTTTTCTGCAATATTTTGCTGTCTTTTTTTGGATTTTCTGTTTGCACATAGTCACTTTAAGATGTTTTCTTGTTTATGTTTTTTTTGTTTGTTGCGGTTGCACTCGATTCAAGAGCCGAATGGCTCACAGGGCTATACCTAATAAATGAAACTTGAAACTTGAAGGAAACACAAAAATCCGTCCGAAAGAAATTAGTTTTCAATCTCGATTTAAAGTGCATAGCTGCATTACTCTGGTTTCGAGAGGTTCCATCGCATCTTCTATCTATGAAATTGCTACAACTGTTGTTGTTGTTGTTATTGACAGAGCGGCCCCCTGCCCCGCCGAGGGATCCCTGCGCGGAGCGGACGCACGGCTGCGGGGAGAACGCTCGCTGCCTCCCCGGTGCCAGCCCCAACGAGTACCGATGCGAGTGCCTGCCAGGCTTCGAAGGCGACGGCCGGTACTGTTACGGTGAGCGAGGCAGCTTGACGATTAGCACCGTTGGCCCCGTACGGTGCAAAAGAAGTTCAACGTGCGTACAGCAGAGCGGGCTGTTGACCTAACCCTGTGGACCTCTGTGAATGTTATTGCCCCTCTGTATGCTTTGGTTTTTTTTGTGGCATCGTAGTTTCTTCCCATGTGGAAATTAACTCACCTTTGTTCTGGTGGCACCTTTGGCACCGTCTCTCGCTACGACATGGCCGTGTTCGAAGTTGCCGTCCGATTTGTCGCTGTGTAAGGGCGATGAATTGATTGCAATCCCCACTCTTTCTCTCTTTGCCTTGACAAAAGAAAACATGCCCCGTGTTGCACTCTCTGACATTTGATCAACAGCAATCGCTTTGCAGCGTGTAGAAGGCAGTGAGCGGAGTGGTTTTGCCAAGCTGTTAATTTTCTCCCTTAAATGTTTCTGCTCACTCTTCAGATCAGGTCGTGTCTTCTTGAAGATACAAAAATAAAACAACAAAAATCTTGCAGTTGAAAAGTGGATTTTTTCCTTCCATATATTGTGGCGTATTGCCCCTACCTGCACTAAAAGATTTTCGAGTTACAACTGGAAGACATTTTTTTTCAATAAATCAAAAACAGTTTCATGACAACAATAACAAAAATACATTGAGCGAATCGACCAAGCTGACTCTGCTGGTAAACAGGTCCTGTGCCTCAGCGAAGCTTTCCAATGTAATCAGAGCCTAAACTTTGTGACTGCTGTGATTGTAATTGTTGTGAATACAATCACGTGGTGTGGTGACAAGGCCGAGCTTATCGCGCATTTGCTGCTCGTTGCAGAGGTTTGTGGTTCGGAGCCCAGCGGCCGCCCTGTTAATACCGCAGGTTTATGAAACCACAAGCACCTGCTGTCTGCTTCACGGCGGACATTAAAGTTCACGTGACGTCATACGATAAAAAGAGCAAATTACCCGTAAATTACGTCATTGGGAAACAAAACCACACAGCAACATCGCCCCCATCACTGCAGACTAATGCCGACGTGCCGTCCGGCGCTGCATCACGCCTGGCGCTGCGCAGCGAAATCTGCCACTTTGGGTCCCCCCCCCCCCCTCCGGCTAAGGCTGCATCGGAGTGGTTGAGACGCGAGGCGTTTTGAGTTGCTCAGGCAATTCAAGTGACCCGTCAATGCGAACCCTTACCATTGTCACGTGACCTGACAGAGCGGCCCCCTGCTCCGCCGAGGGATCCCTGCGCGGAGCGGACGCACAGCTGCGGAGAGAACGCTCGCTGCCTCCCCGGCACCGGCCCCGCCGAGTACCGATGCGAGTGCCTGCCAGGCTTCGATGGCGACGGCCGGTACTGTTACGGTGAGTGGCCTGCTCCCATCTCGCTCGTTCGCTCGCTCGCCTCACTTTTTTGTTCCAATTTTATTTTTTGTACGGAATTGATTTTTCTTTTCTTTTTTTTAACGGATGTTGCCGTGGAGTTAGCGATCCTGGGATCGTCACTTCGTTCTCCAGGCACGATCCCCCCCCCAACCCCCCACCGACCCCCCCCCTCCCAACTTCTCTCCACCCCGCAGTGTAAATGGGGACACTCATAGTCGATGGGTAGGCAGGTCGGTTACGGTGGGGTAAAGTGTGGGTACTCCCATCGCTTCCAAGCCGTCTGGCCAGCATAGAAGAGTCGGCCAAATAACTTCCCTGGAGCTGCCTCTGTGCAGGAGGCCCCCGCCACCAGCAGTGGTGTGAGCCATAAATTGCAGGGCTGCACCTTTACCTTTTAACCTTTACCGCTGACAATTTCTTTTGCCGTAATTTACGACCGGCGTGCACAGCTAAGCCATTAACCCGTTGCCTCCTCCAAGGCCAAAGCGGTTAAACTCGGAGACGGCATTTCAACGGCGAACCGCAGGCAACGCGACGAGATGGATCGCGGGCGAGCGAAAGCAACGGTCGAGCAGCTCCGCGATGCGCCAAGTGCGAGTCAATAGTTCAAGTGCAACGAGTCCTCCTCAGTGACATTTAAAGCGAGAACATTAATCTAAAAATACATTCGACGCTTCTCAGTTCTCGGGATGCAGTCGGTGTTTTGGTGGAAAGGCAACAACAAGAGAAAGCGGTACGATTAAAAAAGAAAGGTGTAAACAAAAAACGCATTAGCGACGCGGTGATTTGATTCATGGTGCTCCGTTTTTGGCAGAGTTCAAGCGTAAAATTGGTATCATCGAAAAATCACGATTTTTGTTTTTTTCAGATTTTAATGGGGACGCCATCACTGCTGTGATGAGAGTGTGACCATCCCCTTGCACACTCCGCTGTCAGTACGGCTTCTCAGCAAAGCAAAGGAATCGCTCTAACCAGTCCATGCCTTTTTTTCTCCTCTCCCACCAACTGGCGCCCACTCATCTGTCTGCATGTACACCGATCCATCTGTTCTCCTTGTCCATCAATCGTCCATTCGCCTGCCTATTTGCCTGCCCGTCCATCAATCAGCCTTCAGCAGGCATTTGATCATAAAATAAAAAAAAACGTATATGTAAATTGTGGCCGTTTTGCAGTAAAGTGACGCTTGCGATTAGGGAGGTCTGCAGTTCCGCTTGGCACACAGCACGAGGTGATTGTAACCGCATGAGATGTCTTGCCCGGCTCGCTTGTGGCACATGATTCAGGCTTTGGTGCTTATCCCCGTCTGGGTCAACACGCCTCCTCTCCACCTAAGAGACAGCGGTCTCAGGATACCCTTCGATAAACACGGCAGACGCCTCCACCAATGACTAATGGTCGAATGGCACCAAATGAAAAGCATTCATTAAATCACGTCGCTAGAACACTGATATGGGATCACAAACGGATTGTCTTTTGAAGTTCAGCTCTCTTATGCTATCTAATTATTATTATTATTACGATGTTATCACATTCAATCTGGTCCAGAGAAGAGCGAGTTTTAATTAAAACTCTAATCTTCGTCCCAATAGCCCGTGTATTAGCAATGCTTTTGAAGTCGCTCATAAACGCACACAGCAGCACTGAATAGAAATCGTTGTTTACAGCCGTATGGAAAGCCACTGCTGCACAAAGACCCTCCCCATGCTGTGTCTTGGGGTTTGTTTTTACCATACTTCACCACGCTGGTCAGCGAGGGTTCGTGAAAGGGGGCCTTGCTCTGGACCGGTGCAGATGTTTTCAAGGCACTGATGGTAGCTGTGGCCAGGAATAAAACTCCGGTCGCCGGGTCCATATGCCATAACCGCTCGACACGATGGATACAAGCTGTTTGATGAATATTGCCACAAAGGGCTTGGGGATGTCTTAAAGCCCGGTCTGCAGATCAGAGGATAGAGTGTTTCTACTTCACTATCGGCACTCTCCGGCAATCATATGCCTGTTCCTTGATGGCCACCCCTCTATGTTCCATGGAGAGTCAAACCTACTTAGCTGCAAAGCAAGGTACACTGGCTCCTGTTAAAATGTTCTTGTTAAAATAACCCACACAGACTACATCTTCGTGAGTTGCACTTAAGAAGATGTGGGTGGGTGTGTACATACGATGCAACTGAATTTAAATGGGAAGCGGTAGTGTAGCGTGCTGCGCCACGAACCCAGTGACCCGAGTTCGATTCCCGCTCAAGGCCAACACCATTGACGATTATCTGAACTGGTCCTCGTCCTCCCCTAGGTCGACTCAACCTCAAATGAGCACTGTACATGTTGCCGTGTGCTAAGGCTGTACGGGGGATGTTTGCCTTTGTCTTGTGACTACTGAATAGTTAAGCATGTCCCCCCCACCCCCCCAGCAGTACACACGGGTACAACCACAGCGAGTCTGTCGTCAGATCGTGCATGCTGGGGAAAAGCGTGGGATACTCCCACATGTTCCAAGACATCTGGCCAGCTTGGTAGAAGAGGCCAATGTCCCTCTAGATGGACCCTCGATTGACGGCCTCTTCTACCGGCGGTGGTGCCAGCAACTCATTGCATGGGTTGCTGACTTGATACAGCTATCGTGCTGTGACGGTTCCACCTGAAGACGGAAGCTTGTGTTGCCTCCGAAACGTCGTGATTTTTATTTTATTTTTATTTTACTTTTCGTGATTTTTATTTTATTTTTATTTCACTTTTATTAATTTTAATTTTTTACCTACGTGACTTTACCGAAAAAACCTAAGAACATCATTGCATGGGCTCCACATGTATCCCTCTTACCCTGCAGGGGAAACCAAAAGCCTTGCCTCGTCAACGACGGGCGATGGGGGTTGGTGGGGGTGGGGTCGGGCAGAGCAAACTTGACGAATGCGACCGCTAAAAAAATTAACCCGTAAAAACAAAGTTTTTCACTATAAATCCTTTATATGCGTGGCGGCTAGAGTCCTCTCGTCCTCTGGCTTGAGATGGCTTCCACCTATGGGTCAGATGATTGCCTGCCACCATTAAGCAATTGGTAATTAAATATTATTTATTTTTTCCTATAAAGTGTAAAATTTTGGAAAAAAATTTCACGAAAATAAATTGTCACGCACAACGAGTCTGTGTGCAAAATGTCAGCTCGATTGGATCACGGGAAGTGGGTTAAAAAACGACCGAAAGATTTGCACGGTCGTAAGCACGCAAGCAAGCAAGCAAGTGAACTTAATATAAAGGATTTAAAAATTAACCCGTAAAAACAAAGTTTTTCACTCTAAATCCTTTATATGCGTGGCGGCTAGAGTCCTCTCGTCCTCTGGCTTGAGATGGCTGCCACCTATGGGTCAGATGATTGTCTGCCAGCATTAAGCAATTGGTAATTAAATATTTTAAAAAAATTCCTAAACAGTGTAAAATTTTGGAAAAAATTTTCACGAAAATTAATTGTCACGCACAACGAGTCTGTGTGCAAAATGTCAGCTCGATTGGATCACGGGAAGTGGGTTAAAAAACGACTGAAAGATTTGCACGGTCGTAAGCAAGCAAGCACGCAAGCAAGCAAGTGAACTTAATATAAAGGATCTAAAAAGGCGTTCGAACGGTCGATCTGTGCGGCGCCTCTCCCAGATGTGGACGAGTGCCGGGCGAACCCGTGCGGGACGTCGAGCCGCTGCGAGAACTTCGCCGGCTCCTACCGGTGCGGGCCTCCCGAGTGTCCCCATGGCTACCAGCCGACTCCCGAGGGGCACGGTTGCGCAGGTGAGCCCAGATGTCCTTACTGCCCTCCACCTCCACGGCACGTGATCGCCCCTCTCCGCCGCGTGATGCCCGCGCTACCGGTAATTGAATGAGTAGCACGGGGCGGCGTTCCGCCTTTGATTTTAATTTTATTTTGCAGATGTTGCTTTCACGCGCACGCTTTTTATCGCGCTGGCTTTTGTAATAATTCACGAGCCACCACCTGCGGATTCGATGAATTTGTCTCACTTTGGGGGTCGCGGGTTCCATTTAGATAATCGATCTACTTTTTTGTTTCGTGTTCACGGTCTCATTTGTACCGTTTTGTTCATCCCCGCCCCTCCCCCCCGTTACCTTCAATGCAAAATTTGCCTATCATCTTGCATAGCTTTTACATACGTCTATTCTCACACATGCACAGCTGGATCCATATATATACTGTATGTGTAAGATACAAATTGATTTTAATTGATGAATCTCTGCATCGTTGCAAAGCCTAATGCTCTACATTTATCCCATGTCACTTTCGAAAGGAGATACATTTTTATCCCATTGAGCTTCTACTTACCTGGTCATGAATAATAGAGGAAGCATCTGTGCCAGTAATTATTACAATTAAGGGCTGATTGATTGCGAATGTGGTTCTCGATCAGCACAATGAGGTCCTTATTCATGCATCTTGGCGCTGTGGGCTCGGCGAGATTATCAACCTTGATGAATGACTTGTCATTGATTCTGTGTCACCCATCATTGCGAGTCGGTCTCCGGCGACACAGCCAATACAATAATTGCTGAATTTGAAATTATTAAACTTTCAAGCCAAACAGTGTTCGCAGGGTGAAATGTAAAAACGATGACTGCTTCGGCTCTTGACGGCGCGCACACTCAGTCACTTGTGAGCGTGGGTGGACCCGTGTGAGTTCTAAAGTGTAAGAGAGGATCAAGTGTTGCTACTGACGAATGTGATACGCGAACCGCTGTTACCTAGTGCTCTCTCGCGTGAAGCGGGCATCGTTATTCACGACGCCAGCCTGCCGCGTTTGGGTTTATATTTGCGCTGCAGAGCCCGGTGAAACGGCGGCGGCGGCGGCGAGGAACGCATTCTTTGGCTTCGCCTGTAATCGTGCCACGAGATTTCACAGCGGGCGGCAAGAAGCAACGGGAACGGTTGCGCGCGACCGGGGGCCACGCCACGCGAAAGTTGTCGCCTTGTCCCCCCCGGCGCACAAGCCGACGTGGCCTTCCCCCCTCGCGTCCGATGGACAACGAAGCGTAGCCTGCAGTGCCGCCACGGTCTCCGACTGCAATCCGTCGAGGGCACTGTGAAACCGTCGTTGGGCTCAATCGATCGCCGGGAGATTTTCGGTTATTTATCAGGTGTCCGAGTCTCTGGTCATCGTTGTGAACCTATCGGTATTCATGTACGTCTGCTAGCCTCCGTGTTAGTCTGGATCTCAAGCCATTGAACACAGAGTAAAACCACTGTTGGCTTCGATCCGAATCAGAATCTTGATGTAGACTGGAGGAATCCGATGAGCTATGAAGCTGTTTTTCACAGACGTCCATCCTGCCGATCATTCGCCGTCTCCATGCCAGATATTCACGGAAAGCCGTCCACCATCTCACGCGTAAACAGGAACATAGAAAGGTTGATGGTCAACTCACCGCCATCCCAACAAAAAAGACGACTGTATTTTTATGTCACAAGGTGCTGGGTCTAGTTATAAACGTCCACCTGATTTAATATTCAGTGTTACAGCATTATTGCAGTCTCTGTCTGCGTTCATGTAAAAATGTCTGGGCACTTAAAGGGAAGGGTGGCACTGTGGTTCGTGCACTGAACTATCAACCTGAATACCTCAGTTCGATACCTGGCCTTTCTCGACTCCCTATTACTAACCCACATTGATCAGTGACGGATTATTTAGATTATTTGGCTGCGATAAATTTCCACGTGATAAGCCACTTCATTGAGCTGCCATTTGTGGCCAGGTCGCTTCTGATTGGCTTACCTCTCCTATACTTTGCACTCCCATCGTGTGTTTGTATTGTTTGTTGTTTTAACTTTCTGACCCGCCCCAACTGGACATCTGTGAAGAAGAGCTTCATAGCTCATCGGATTCCCCCGGTATAAATTCAGATTCTGATGCTGATCTCCGCAGTGTAATCACGAAAAAAAAGAGTTATGCACGTCAAATACATATTCACGATAAATAGATGAATGCACTTTGCGCGCGTGTGTACAAAGAGCGACACGCCGCTTTGTCAAGTTCTGCTCGTTGAGTCGAATTGCGCGTCCCTTTGCCGTGTGCTGTACATTAATAATTGATTTGCCACTTGTTCAAAATAGCACCGTGGGAGACCAAGCCTTGGGTACAAGCGCACGCACTGCAAGCGAGCAGCGGTAGCACCAGCCAGAGGGAGAGGAAGTTTAATCGCTGCACCCGTCACCACCGCGCTCGCGGGAGCTGACTTGCTTTGAGACAAGACAAACCAGGCTCGGGTTGCAGAGGCGGGGGAATGGGGGAGACTTTGGCAGTTGCCATCGCTTGCGCTCGCTCAAGAGGGCCTGCCGTCGTATTATTTCTCACGCGATACGACGTTACATTTCTCCGCGCGACGATCGCCCCGATGTCCGTTTTTCCCCGTAAACGTTCTGACCATTTGGACGTTGTCACTGTTGCATCGGTCGTTGTGCTTTGCTGTAGTGTCTGAAGACGGGCGCTTGTGTTGCACCCGAAACGTCGTGATTTAATTTAGTTGTATTCATTTTAATTTATTTTGTGACTTTACCGAAAAAAACAATCCTTGCAGTCACAAAAAACTTCAAATCTATAATTTAAAAAAATTGCTGAAAATTTCATTTATTTATTGTTTTAGTTCTCTGACTGCGGTCAACTCAACTTAGCCTGCCACATGTCTACAAATTGTTACCATTAGTCAAACGTAGCCTAACTGTGGTCGTACTGGCTTTATTCGTACTGACTTATTTGATAATTACAAATAATTTCTCTCGTTTTAAATGGTTATCACATCGTTCACTCTTTGCTTGGTAACACGTCTTCTCACGTCGCTGCCCCGCGTTTCTGGAATACCCTCACAGCTCTGTTCCTTCCATTCACTCCCACTCTTCATCTCCCGATTAACCCAACACGCAGGGCTTACTGGAACATGTGCATCACTTTTTTGCTGGCACCCCTTGCCCCCTCATGTTTGCATTGTCCTTTTCGACTTGCCTGTGGCTATGACACAATTAGACTAGAATATAGGGTTACTTGTACCACATGTACGTCACTTGTTCTGATGCCTCTTCCTCTGCTACTATATTTGCACTGTTAATTTCTATTCGCATGCGTTTCGCTTGTGACCGTCAAGCACCTCGTTTGTTAGTCGTGCCTGTACTCGCTCGCTGCGATGTTGGTGTTTTTGTCTTTTGTTTATTGTTGTTGCTGCACTCACGCATCACAGACCCCCCCCCTCGTAAAATAGCAGGGCAACTGGCTTATGGGACCATCCGTGTAGTAAAAATCAAATACACTTGTTCACCACGTAAACACGTTTCCATAACCATTAAAGTGAAGCCACCTCGGGTGACACCAACAAGCGAATTGTGAGGCCTGGGCTCAATCCGTAACTATTTAAACGCACATGCTGTCAGCTACACTGTGGATAGTTCAACAATTAAATTAATTGTGAACATTATTACATCACATAAATTGCTATATTGTTACTATTTTCTTTATTTAAGGAACGAAGCAGGAGTGTGTCTCCACAAATCTGGCTGTCCGCCTGATGATGCGAGTTGTGATTACTAGCGACACATTCCACTCAGATTGTAAATGTTGTGGATGCCCTCTGCAACACACCGGTGTGCTGTACTTGTACGTAACAAACCTTACTAATCAGCTGTGTCGGGTGGTGGCGGGTTTATCGACACATTTATATTTACGCGATCTAACCCAAAAAAAGAAAACTTATATTATGGCTATTTAAGATGAACGATAATCACATGGCAGCGATGTTTTTTTCTTTTAACGGACGACACGTGTATTGTGGATTTCACATTGTGCAACCAATTGTCGTCACGCCGTTTCACGTCCATAACCCCTCGCTCTTCTTCTTTACCGCACAGATACCGACGAATGCCAGGTGAACCGTTGCGGTCCTTACGGCCAATGTGAAAACCTGCCGGGGTCGTACAGATGCCACTGTTCGGCCGGCTACCAGCCAAGTCCTGATGGTTACACATGCATAGGTACGCACAAACCGAGACACAGACACGAAACGCACTGCAAGCACGGGTAGAAAACGTTGCTAAAGATGCAGCCCTGCGATTACATTCCTTCCCCTGCACCTGCAATTAGCACGGTTTGCTACATGCAGTGTGCAAGACGTTCAACATACATACATGCGTACATACATGCGTACATGCATACTTGCTCACGTCACTTTTGGCAGAAGAGCCTCCACTCGGGTGAGCTCTAGAGAAACCCCTTGAGAGGGTATTTGGACGACTCTTCAACACTGGACACTTGAGTCCAACACATGCAGCTGATCAACTATCTTCAATATTTTGTCTACGTACGGTACAAAAGAAGTTCGACACACATACAACTCACTGTGGTTGTCGCCGTTTACACTTCTGGGTGGACAGAGGTTGGAGGGATTCAATAAACGTGCTCATGTATTTAACTCCTGCACTGGGGGATCAAATTCCAGCGACCTCTGAATTGCAAGTCCAGTGCTCAAACCACTGAACCGTGTGTATATACACATGTATCTACATCCAGGAATATCTTGACGTTTTGGCCAACTGATGTTCTACAGGATTTTTGCAGAGTCAGTTAAAGGTGAGGTTTCCAGAGGGGGGCAGAGAGAGAGAGAGGGGGGGGGGGGGAGAAGCTCAAATTGTCTTCAAGGCGAAGTTGGATATTCGGTGGGGAGGTTCATTGCGGATTATGCATTCATTCCCAGGGGCGCAGTGCTCCTCGTTGAGTCCCCATCATGTCCACCCAGTGACGGTATAAATAAAACTTGTGACTATGTTTAATTAATGTGCTAATTTTGTATCTGTTCCTAGTCGCCGCCAAGTAATGACACGCACGTACGAGCGGGGGGGGGGGGGGCACGCAATGATGCATCGATTCATTAACTCTTATCGAGTCTTGCGCATTGGTCAAGTGTGGCAGGATCGATTATTTGTGATTTAGGCAAACGATGTGCGGATGTTAATGTTGGGCAAATTCAGTTCAATTAATCCAGTCCAGTTTATTTTCAAGTACCCTGTGAGCTAAGAAGCTCTTTGAGTCGGGTTTCATCAACAAGAGCATCGGTTCCCTGGCAAACAAAACCGCAAAGCAGGGAGGAAACAAACGGGAGATAATGCGAATGACAAGGCTAAAAGGAGACTAAAAAGAAACGACTTCTTGAATGGATCTCGTGACCCTGAATGATGACAATCGATTGGCGGAGAGGATGCGGGGTCAATTATTTCATGCCGATAAAATATGGTTCCACATAAATTGTGGTGGTAGTTAACGGACTGCACTATGAACCTGGTGTCCTCAGTGCGATTCCCAGCCATGGCTGCCATCAGTGGCAAGTGACATTTGAATCGGAGCTGGGCTTTTAACTTGACGAATTCGCACTGATCAGCATGGTGAAATATGGTCAAACAACCCTCATTGGCCCACATAGCATGCATTGACGCCATCCTCTGAGGTGTGTTTTACTCATCGCTTATCTCAGTTTATAGAGAGTTGCAGTCAGTCGTAGGCAGTGGGGGAATGTAACATCTTGAGAAGCTGGTTTTAATTATGGTTCACTCACACATGGATTCTAACTGAGGGTTCCAGCAGCGTTGGCTCATTGGTTTGGCGTGCGTATAATTTTCCCAAGGCGCCAGTCACCTCCCATCTAGGAATATGGTATAAACCTCTATGGCATTGTTAATGGGCCACATTAGTGATTGCATTTCCAATACGGAAATCCTTTGAGATCCATGTAAGAAATGTAGAGTGATAGAGTGGTGGCGTGGATCTCACTAAAAGCGCATTTTCTCCGATGATCACGAAAGATTACTTTCCCGGCGCTATAATGATTGTCTTGGATGCCAATCGGAAAAGCGGATTAATTTCCGCGCCGTCAAACTCACGGTGACGAGTCGCGCATTACTGTACCGTGCGTTTTGACGCAGCGCTGCGGATCGTTGTCAACAAAGCCGGGCTCTGATTGGTCACGTGACTTGAGAGCATGATGCCACCACTGCGTCGTTCGCTGTTTATTTTTCTACTTTATTGGAAGGGATTTTCTTGGCGATTACATGTCCCAGTCGGCCGGTGCACGTAACGAGGAACAAAATGCAAATGAACACAAATGCAATCAACATATCCAATTATCACATGCTATGAACAAGAATGCCAGACTCAAACGATGCAGCGATAAATGCAACTATTGCTTAAAATTATTTTTATTACACCAGGTAAAGCCCACTGAGCAATATTGATCTTTTTTAGAAAACACCTGACCACAAATGGTAGCTCAACAAAGTGGCTTATCATGTGGAAATGTGTAGCAGGCAAATAGTCTAAACGACCGTTTAGAAATGTTAGAGGGAAAAACCGGAGGACCCAGAGAAAAATACACACGGCCACAAGGAGAGAGCCATGCAAACTCCACATTCTCAGGCGTCAGGGTTGGGATCGAACCCGCTGCGGTGCTCCGTATAGAGATGAAGGAATGCCAAAGCACAACACGGGTATAACAACAACAGCAATCGCCATTCGCCACTAAGTGGCGGTGACGTCACCACGACGCTTGTGCCAGGCCAAGTGCACCTTGAGGCCACGTGAAGTGTCGAATGCCCGCTGGCAGGAGGTCACGGGGCAGACCCAGCAGGTGCCACTGGTCGACTGACCAAGATGACCGAGATGACTGGCTGATGCACCACCTTTGCCCCCTACTGTACCAACTTTCTGTGCTTTAGCCACCCGGCGCTCCGCTCGTTGGTGTGAGCGTCGCTCCTCCACCCTCCGTTGTTGTAGGGCGACTGCCTCCAACTGCCCAGTAGCGTCCTTCACGAGCCTCCTCCACTGAGGCCGATCTTGACACCGCTGGTACCAGTCATCGGCAAGTCCACTCAGCTCCACGTCCTCCTGTACCACATCACTCCATCTCTTCTCTAGCCCGTACCGCGCCCGTTTAGCCCCCTCGATCCGGCCGAACAAAAGCTGTTTAGGCATGCGGTGGCTGGGCATGCGGGTTACATGACCCAGCCAACGCAGCCTTGCCTGCCGGAGGAGCTCACCGATGGGACTTTGCCCAGATCTTTCAAGGATTTGTGAGCCCCTCACACAATCCAGCCTGGTTAAACCCAGGATGGATCGTAGGCAGGCCAGCCTAAATGTTTCCAACCGGCGAAGATGCTCCATTAGGGGGGTCCACGTTTCGCAAGCGTAGAGAAGGGAGGGAATGACCGTGGCCGAGAAGACCTGAAGCTTCGTGCAGAGCGACAGACCAGGTAACTTCCACACAGCGTTACGCAACCGATGAAAAGATATTGCCGCTCGACTTATTCGGAGTGAGACCTCTGCTGTTAAACTGGAGCCGGTCATAAGCACACTGCCCAGGTATAGGAAACTCTCCACTCTCTCCACAACTTCCCTATCACCGATTGGGAGTTGTGTGGGTGGAGTGTCCAATGGTACAAAATACCCAGGCAGGTGCTTAGTTTTGGTGGGGCTGATGGTAAGGCCCCATCTCTTAGTGGCACGCTCCAGTCTCAGCAGCAGCGTCTCCAACTCCTCTTCTGAATGAGCAGCTATTACCAAATCATCGGCATACATAACGTGGTTGACCAATAGGGAGCCATCCCTTGATCACACCCGGGCGTCGATCAGCCTCCCATTATATCTGTATCAAATGGAAATTCCCCCGGTACAGCTATTGAAGGCTTCACGAACTACGCAGTCGAAATAGATGTTAAATAATGTGGGAGCCAGAGAACATCCCTGTCGCACCCCAAGGTGTACAAGGAAAGGCTCCGACTCCCGGCCACGTAGTTTTACCCGGGCCCGCTCACCATCATGAAGGTCCTTAATGATCGTGAGCAGAGGGTCAGGGACTCCGAAAGCACGAAGAACAACCCAGAGCCCAGGCCTATTGATGGTATCATAGGCCTTGACCAGGTCAATAAAGCAGAGATGTAGGTCTTGTTGGAATTCCCTACACCTCTGCTGTAGCAGACGGACAGGAAATATGGCATCTGTGCAGGACCGCCCTTTCCTGAAACCGCATTGGGGCTCCGCAAGCCTCTCCTCAGCGTGCCTAGCAAGGCGATGTTGGATAATCCTTGCCAGGACCTTTCCCGGCACACTGAGGAGTGAGATGCCCCTGTAGTTGTTACAGTCTGTGCGGTCCCCCTTCTTAAAGAGGGGGACCACCAGGGCATCCTTCCAATCCTGCGGTACCCGTCCAGCGGTCCAGACTGTTGTTATGATGTCATATAGGGCAGTCTGTGCACAAATGCCACCCTCCCTCAGCATTTCGCTTCGGAGACCATCTCTGCCCGGTGCCTTTCCGGTCTCAGACTCCGGATCGCCTTCAGTACTTCCTCAACAGATGGCACCTCAGCCAGCCACTCACAGGGGGTGACCTCTTCCAATATTTGAGGCACGGCAGCCTCAGCAGGGTTATCCCCACTTTGTGCCATGATGTTTTCCTGGCTGAGAGATTTTCCCTCCCCCAGGACCTCACAGAAATGTTCAGCAAATCTGCAAACCTGTTCCTGGGGGTCGGAGATTGGATCACCGTTTTTCCCCTAATGATGGTAATAGGTGTGGCGCTGCAGGTTACTTTTTTGATGGCGTTAAATAGTGATTTGTGATCGCGGGCCACTGAGGCAGACTCCATCTCCTCAGAAACCCGCAACCCCCACCCATCCTTGCAGCGCCTTACGGCTCTACGAACCTCCGAGCGAAGGCTGCGGTAAACCTCCTCATTCTCCGACGTGGGATGCTGTAGCCGATGAGAGTGGGCCTGTCGCTTTTTCTCAATTAACCTGAACACCTCCTCCGTCAGCCAGGGTTTCTGGGGAGGTCTGGACCGCGTACCCAAAGCAGCCATTGCAGCTGCATGAGTCATAGTCTTAAACCTCGCCCATTTACCCTCGACATCAGGTGGAGTGGGGGACGATGCCAACCCCAGCTGCAAGCGATGATGAAATTCTCGCTTGCAACTTTCATCAGCTAACTGAGACCAGGCCACTTTTGATTGGAATGGGGTCCTGGGTGTACACCCACCACCGGAGTGGAAGAATGGCAGGCGCATCTTACAGATGACTAGTCGATGGTCAGAGGGCAGATCAGCTCCACGGTAGGTCCTGGTGTCAAGGACATGGGCTCGCATCCGCTGATCCGTCACTATGTAGTCCAGCAGATGTTCTTGCTTGGACCCGGCATGCATCCATGATGTTGTGTGGATGCGCCGATGCCGGAAGAGCGTGTTGGTAATTACAAGCCCATGGGCTGCTCAAAAATCTAGCAGCCTCCTATCGTTGTTATTGAGCTGATCTGGTCCATGCCTTCCAATCACTCCAGATCAGGTGCCAGCATCATGACCAACTCGGGCATTAAAGTCACCCAACAAGATGACTCTGTCCCGAGTGGCCACTTTAGCCAGCACCTGTGACAGGAGGTCATAGAAGGCATCTGACTCATTGGCCTTGCCTGCATCCCTCCACGGATGTTCATCTTCGGTGGGGGCATAAGTAACCACGACCACCACTCCTCGCCTCTGGTTGATGGGAAGGCGAGCCCAAAGTAGCCTGGGGCTTACAGCTTCCCACACCTCACCGCCACGCTCCCACGCCCCCTAACACGGGTACACACAGACATGCACACACAATCTGCAGCGGAGTAACTTGCGGATGGAAGTCGGGGCGATTGCCAAAATCATGAACACAGCATGTCCTTGCCAGTACGTCGGATTCAGACAATGAACATCACGCCATTTAGCCAATACACATGTTAACGTTGGCCCAATATTTCATGTTTACTGGGCAATGATACTGCTAGTCAGTTACGTAAGCAACCGCACATGCTTGCAAGCTGTATACAGTGTTTATACAATATGCATGTGGTAACTTCTCCGCCTGTCTCTTAGGTTCACCTTCACTGTGTGTCAGGCTGATATCAAGGCAGAGGCATTTATGCAAAGATAGAAGCAATGGGCTACTGATGCCTTCGCAGGCTTAAGGTTTTCCACTTCTGAGGTACAAAAGCAATTGGGACATGTCAAGGGAAGAAGAAGAATCTCGCAATGCCGGAAGCGATGAGAACCACACGTTAAGAGCGTCGTTTTGAGTCGTCGTGTATCAGTTTGCAACTGATTCAAAAGAGAGACTTTTAACGTCCCAGGAAGACCTAGAGACCTGAAAGAGAGGACGTTCCTTGGGAAACCAGGACAAGTGACAACCCCCTATTTCCCCAATCCAAATGACGACCAGGTTCGACTTTGCGCAGCTTCCGAGGTCTGAAAAGACAGACCGGAGCGTTCAGTCGGCAAGCTTCCTGTGAAAATAATCACCACGGAAAGTCCATCGCCAAATTGTTGTGTCTTCTCCCCTTTTTGGCAAGAGATTAAAAAAAGTTTTTTGTTCGTAACAATTTTCTCTTGGCTCGCCTTCATGTGCCGAGGCAGCAAGGGTACATTTATACCGTATTAATAAGGTAATTTCCATTTCCAAACGATCACAAGGAACTTTTAATTGCATACCAAGCTCAAGAGCTAGTGCAATGAGCCGGATGTTGGCTCGTTTCACAGGACACGGCCCTCCTGCACAGGTGCGCTTGCTAAACATCACACACACGCGCCCCCTCGCCGCACGAAGGCTCGCTGAACAAGGTCGTGAGCATTCCGATAGTTTTTTTTGCCCTTTGCCTTGCCCTTCTTTGGAACGTTCCCAGATTCCCACCGGCTGGCGTCTGACGCTCAGGTGGAGTTTAATGGCAGGCTTGTGCTGTTGCCCTGCACCTTTGCTGTTTTTTTTCTTTATTTGCACCAACACACCTGCGCTTTGACGTTTCCCCATTCACAAGCGAGCGAGGGGTTGGGGGAGGGGGTTGGAGTTGGGGCGCACTGTTTAGTGCCGAGCGCTGTGGACACACAATTCGATTCCCAGCCATGGCAAAGATCAGCAACGAGTGATATCTAAACTCACAACAACAACAGCAGCCTGCCTGACGCCACCACGGTGCCTATGCCAGGCTAGGTGCACCTTGAGGCCACGTGAAATATCCAAGGTTCACTGGCAGGAGTACCCAGGTCATTTGGATTAACCGAGATGACTGGCAGATGCACCACCTGTGCTCCCTACTGCACCAACGTTTTAGGCGCTCCGCTCGTTGTTGTGAGCATCGCTCCTCCGCTGTTGTTGGGGGTATCTGCTTCCAACTACCCAGTAGCAGCGTTACGCAATTCCCGCACTGCACGGCATGATGAAATATGGCCGCTTGACCATCGTGAATGAAACGACGCGGGGAGGGCATTGTCCATAGGTGGATTGACAGACGCCTGTGAATTGTTACCGCGGTAGAAATCCTTTCAAGCACAGTGATCCTGCAACATTTTCCGCGATTTTATGTGGTGAAAAAAAAAGTGGATATTATGGTGACATTTCTCCACGATTCCTGTTATCCAAGGCATTGTGGATACTAAGAATAAAAATACTACATTTTGTAACAGATTTTACGGGAAAAACTAGGAAGACGTAGGGCCGCATAGAATAGGAGTTTTCGTGCAGCCTACAACTCACATGGGTAATTGAAGTCACAGGTTGATGGAGTCAAGCATAAAAGGAGTACTGCTCTCTCATTATTATATTATTAACCAAGCAGAGGGCTCTTAGAGTGGAGATGTGAGAGTGGGCTATGTAAGGAGTAGCATGGATTCTTAGGGAAACTCGCGATGGCAATAGAGAGAGAGAAAGAGACACTGTGAATAAATAATTGTCCCTAAATGGCATGTTTAATCAAACGTTTCGAGTTGTTATGGAAGATAAGGCTGAGACCAAGGCGCTCAAATATAAAGTTGCACAAACTTGACGGAAAGTATCACGTTGAAGACCCTTATATTTACGTGGTAATATGACGTAACGATTCACCCACTGGTGATGTTTTACAAACTCTGATGAGTAATTGTAAGGCACTGTTTCGGGCAATGTTTAAGGCGATTGCCCTTCAGAGACGGAGAGAGAGGCACGGCAAAGGCATTCTGACATACTGGAGTCAGAAACAGCTTTTTCACTCTGCGATTGCTTGAAAAGACTTTTAAATAAAAGTAGCCTGTTATTCTATGCTACTGACAGAATAGCGCCTGAAAATATATATCTGCGGTATAATAACCCACGCTAATATATGACCTTCAAGTAGAGAGTAGTAAATATGAGTGCACGCTCTTTTAAAGTGAAATTCCCCAAACTTTTTGGGGCGGCAATATACCCTCGGTCTTCTTGTCTTTTTCGTGAAATATGTATGCATCCAATCTGCAAGTAAAACAAAATACTGGCTAAATGATCGGGCAGCGTCGTTACAGCAGATGCCGGGAGTGAAAAAGGGACATTAAAATGGGACTCGGTGACAGCCGCCTTGAAGGGAAATTGGATAAAATATGGGAAAGTAGAGCAATGTAACTGACATCAAAGAAGAAACGTGATGTGTTCAATCGCAATGCATGTGTGTGAAACCCGGGCTCTTAATGAAGAAGAGAAGAGAATGGTTGCCTTGGTCATGAAAGCGTTCCGTAGAGTTCTTAACATTTCTTATGAAGTGTACCGCATCAAGCAAGTAAATCCTGGAAAGAGCAGACGTCGACAAAGAGATAAAGACTCAAGGCTTAGCGAGTCAGGTCAAGCGCAGGAAGCTGTACGCGTAGCGGTGCCTATTGCGTTCGTGCGTTTCGTCTACTAACTCAACCAACACCCTCTCTGCCCCCCCCCCCCCGACCACTTCAGAGCAAGCCCCCCCGAGCGATCCGTGCCGGGATGGCAGAAACAACTGCGCACCTCCGGACCGGGCCCGTTGCCTACACGTGGGCGGAGAGGAGTTCACGTGCATCTGTCTACCCGGCTACTGGGGCAACGGCCACCGCTGCGACGGTACGAGCCACGCGGTTCACGGCGGCGTCTCGCGGTCACTGCCTCGAGACAGCTCCGCTTCGGTTCACTTTCAGGGGTTTGCCAAACCCGTCCTGGTTTTTTTTTTTTTCCCGAAGACGTCCTCCCTCTCCATGGGAAATCTGTGAATATTCCCCAGTGGGCCTTCAAAAGTCCGGGTCTTTTTTTTTGGGTCAGTTACGCAATAAAGTACGGCCACTCAAGTCGACGTACGTGTAGCTCTCTCCGCTCCCGGGTTTTGTGAGACACTGCTCACATTTGGGTCGCGTCGTGTGTCGCTCGGCACGACGTCCGACGTTTCGCTTTCCGCGCTCGGAGCTTCCGAAGCCGATTTCGGACGTCGCGCCAAACAATCTGCGGCACAGCAAGCGAGCGAGCGAGCAATACGTACGCAAGTAGAATATTCGAGACGTTCTACCTTTGCCGGGGTCGTCTCTCGACCTCCGTTGTACTACCTCGGAGGTGGCGACCCAAGTGCAATGCTGAACGCGCAAGAGTTTTGAAACAGCCGGGAAAATCCCACCCTCGGGTGAAATGGAAATCCCGGTCTCCATCCAGGGTGAGCATTGCAACAGGCTTTAAGGGGAGACAAGCTTCCAGTGCGGTCCGCTGAATAGTTTATGTTGGGAAATAAACCGAATGACTACGCTTCACGTGGGGTCCTCCGCGGAGAAACATGCGGCTGGGATGAGCGCCGGATCCTGGCGCCGCTCAGAAATCAAAGCTTTTATGTCACGGACGATTGGCCTAAAAAACGTGTCATATATTTTATTCACCAAAGGTAGGAGGCTGAAGCCAATAAAAAACGAGTTTCATACGTGCAGCGTGTTGACTGATTATAAATAACGAATGCAGGAATTATGTTCGCTTCTGAGATGGTACGTAATAAAATATTTTACTCACACAGCCTTCTTTGGGATATACCCGAGATGAAAATACAGTAACCCCTGCTTATATTGCTTTTTCCCAACCAGCGTACAATCGCCCAAGCATCAGCAGCAGCGACTGCATTCACTCTGCACACACCTAATGTCACAGCGCTCTCTCTCTCTGTCTACGCGTGTGTCTGATTGTCTTAATTGACTTATTCACAGAGCATAACGCAGCGCGTGCCAGCTTGCATCCCATTTCACTCGTCATCAAGAGGCTCTTTAGAATGGAATTGCATTACGGCATTCTCGCGTGAGGTTCCTTGTTTACCATCGTAGCAGGCTGAGATTGAATTAGCGCCACGTGCGACGATGTCTCCTGGCACCGGTTGTGGCTGATGAGCGTAGTTCCTTACCCCCCCCCCCTTACCCGCTTCCCTTCACCCCCCACCCCCTTGCGCTCGTCTCAGACGTGGACGAGTGCGTGACACGCGTGTGTCACAACGACGCCGCGTGCCACAACACCCCCGGCTCCTTTGCCTGCCGCTGCCGCCAGGGCTATGACGGTGACGGTTTCAACTGCGCGCCCGTGGCCACAGGTGGGGCGTCTACAACATTCATATTCAGCAAAAACCAACAGCTGTCGTTCGTGGAGTTGAACAAACGCGCCGTTATAGGGCTGCAGAGCTTGGGCAATTGTTTGCGCCGGTTCGGGCCTGCCTCTTTCCCCGCTTGTCTGTCGTTTTTTCCCCGCGGCTCCGTGAGATAACGGCGCACGTTACTAATTCTGCACCGTTTTGAGATACAATTTTCCTGTCAGTTGTGCTATATATAATCGAAGAGTGGTGCAGCGCACAGAGCATTGAGCTGGCACTGCTGAGATCCTGGATTTGAATGAGGGCAACGGCTTATGATTAAACCGAGTGCTCAAGTGCATGAAATTAGGTTCATTCTGGAAGTCTTCCGGACTATTCTGGCTGAAATTAAGCACTTGTTCAGGTGGCTCAGTAATTGAGCGAGCGGCTGAGGGTTGACTCAACCCATCAGCCCTCCGGGGTCGATCAAATAAGTACTGATTTGTCTCGAGGTCAACACTGGTTGTCCTGTGGATACGCCCTCCCCCACCATAGGAATGAGGAATTTCCATCACTGGCTCAGGGCTGGAAATAAAAGATGAGCACCAATGTCTCATAGCCTCAATGCTCATTTGAGCAAGAAATCATTATGACTCTTGGCACGTACATTCGTACGTATGTATATAGTCATGCGGGTAACAGCGTGTGCACACGCGCGCGTGTGTGTGGGTGTGTGTTGCCTAAGCCTCAAATGAGTGCCTGGTGTGGTGTGTAAACACCGCCACTCGGCAGACAAATGTGGCCGGGCGTGGTGCGGTCACCCGACCGCCACATGTACCGTCCCAGCCTACTCGCTGACCGCACTTTCCCCAACAGTCTCCTAAAGGCTATACGGGGGAACCTTTGTCTTTGTGTCGCCCGCACGCGTCCCCACACAGAGGCCCCGTCCCGTCAGCGCACGCCGTGCGAGCAGTGGAGGGACAGCGTCCTTGGCGCCGCGAGCCCCCGCGGCCCGCGCCCGCCCATCGTGGGCCGCTACGTGCCGCAGTGCGACGAGCACGGGGCCTTCCGTCCCGTGCAGTGCCACGGCAGCACGGGCAACTGCTGGTGCGTGACGCGCGACGGGCAGGAGGTGGCCGGCACGCGCAGCCCGCCCGGATCCGAGCCCCCGTGTGAGTGCCCGACGCTTGGTCGTCTTCCGCTTCGTTCGGCGCGCGCAGTGGAGCTGGGCTTTGCACAAATGTGTGTCGTAAACCCTCCTCCACCCGACGTAGCCGATTGATGAAGTTGTCGCGCGATTGAACGAACGTGCCGATTTATTACTGCTTCGACGCAACGGTGTGTCGCAGAGTAATGTCACAACATTCAAGTGGGTACGGCGTTTCGCTGGAAGTTACACCCAGCGTCGTTCGCCGGTTGTCAGAAATGCAATGTTTTTTTTTTTAATTGGCACGTCTGTAATGTTATTGGATAGTGATCTGCACTCGTTTAACAATTGGGTAGTCCGCAGTTTTGCCGGTACTAGCGCAAACAAGCAGTTCATCTTCTTGGTTCTTTCGGTAAAGTCACGTAGAAGGGAGATAATAAAATAATAAAAATGAAACATAATAAAATAATACAATTCTCACGACGTTTCGGCCACAACGCAAGCAGCCGTCCTCAGGTGAAGAACAGGTCTGTCGGAAAGACAGCGTCTGAATGAACACCACCAAGCTTGGCAGCGTATATTTAAGCTGCTGGGTTAGGGGAGGAAGAGCGCCTTGACAAAAAAAATCAAGCAGTTGCCAGAAACATCACGTGACAACTTTATTGATTGGCTTTGTCGGGTGGAGGAGGGTTTACGTCACATGTTTGACTTACACGACGATCTGACCCTAAACTCAATTATGAATAACTTCTTACTTATGTATGTATGCTGACATACATATAGCCAACCATATCAATCGGAGGTGCGAAAATAATACGTCGTTAATTTAGTCGTAAATAGATTAATGGTGGTTTCCAGTGGTGGTTTGTTATTCGGGGCCTGTGGGGGTGGGCTCTACTTGGTGAAAAAGCTATTGGGAAATAAACTCTAACAATACCTTACCTGCTCATTATAAAGATTGTAAACTGCGTGCTCCCCACTTCCACCCTCCCCTCCCCCATCATCCCCAACCCCACCTCCGTGAGTTTTCACACCGCACCAATATATTTTCCCCAACGGCCGCGACTGGCTGGTGGTGCGATAACGGAACATCTCCACCAACAGGAGCTTTAGTGCTACGAACAGACTGGCCACTTCGTGCACCGACGGGCAACTAAGACTAGCCCACAGTATTCTTAGGTTTTTTTCGGTAAAGTCACGTAGGTAAAAAATTTAAATTAAAAATAATAAAAGTTAAATAAAAATAAAATAAAAAATAACGACGTTTCGGAGGCAACACAAGCTGATACAGCTATCGTGCTGTGACGGTTCCACCTGAAGACGGAAGCTTGTGTTGCCTCCGAAACGTCGTGATTTTTTAATTTTTTTTAATTTTACTTTTATTAATTAAAATTTAATTGTTTTACCTACGTGACTTTACCGAAAAAACCTAAGAATATGAATCATTGCAGTCACGAAAGCTTCACATCTAGAATTAATAGCCCACAGTGTCCCGGCTGTCGCCAATCACAAACCACGGACCGCACAGTAACGCCGCCGACAGCTTTGATCATTTGCGACGGGAAGCGTTTCAGACGTTCACCGCGAGGCTGCTCCTGAAGCCGTCCACTGGCTCGCTCGCCAACCTCGACGTGGACATAGAAACCTTGCTGATCAACGCTGCCCCCCAACCCCACCTCACGAAAGATGAAGTGCCGTACTATCGTCATGGAACGTGAACCACGGCGGGTTTTTTTTATCGCCGAACATAATGAATGATAATGCCCCCTTTGTTTAGTCGGGAAGGCATCAGTGGCTGCCGAAATCTCGAATGAAACGTTTTCGGTTAACAAAGATCTTCACTGTAATTTACAATGCCTTTTATTTGCCCAGGAAAGCCTGAATCTCAAGATTTTTATTTTTTAAAGCCGGTGCTGCTTTGGCACGTCTGACCATTTCCATGAATAAGTGGCATGCGGTGGGAAACCGGAGCACCTGCAGAACACTCACATCTCCGCACAGATAGATTCTAGAATCCCTTTGCTCTACGGCCACCTTGCAATGGTGGTGCTGCTTGTCAATTGCATTTTCCTCTTGGAATGTTTCGTCAGTTTCCTGTTGAGAATGTTTATGTTTGGAATGAAACCAGAGAAGTCGGAGAAAATGTGGTCTGTTGAGAGGATGACATCAGCAATAGCGAGATAAAAGTGTTGGCAAATTGTGGTGCTGGCTAGACGAACTCATCATGCAGCTTACCATGGTTACTTTAATATGATTAATAGCCACCTGCTAAAAACATTGGCCCCAAAAATCTTTACGGAGATGTTTTTCTTCTTCTTACAATGCATATATATATAAAACATCAGCAATGCAGTTTCAGAAAACTGAGCTCATCATCATTCCAGGGATTATAAAATTGATACCATTTTGTGAGCTGCACTGCTCGGTGGAACGTTAAAAAGAGGTTATACCCCTAGATATGTTGGCACATGCCATAGGAACGTGGAGTGTATGCTTCTTAGTCAGCACCAGCAATCGAGATGGATATCATTCAAAAATAAATTGGGTCATTAACATTGAACACAGTTGCTGCGCGCTCAGCATAAGAAAAGGTTGCCCGGTATTAACATTCCCAAACGGGGGTGGTTTTGTAAAAAAAAACACAACAACGTGTTAAGGTTGTATTATTCACGCAGAAGAATAATTATTTGAGCGAGATAAATACTAACACTAAATTGCCCAAGAATAATTCAAATAATTAGATAGGTAAAAATACATATATCACGCAGCTGTAATTTAAGCTTTCATATTTTCCGAAGCGCAGGGCTATATTAGTACGATGTTTTTTTTTTGTGGCTGCTCGCAGCATAATTCCCTACTCTCGACGAAACAATCGGTACCATCTGGTAGTTTCACACACACAAGTACGCCGCGCTGCGTGCTTTGCGGCCCGGGAGACATGATAAATGCAACGTGGTCAGGGAAAATTGAGAGTAGGGGGGGTGGTGGTGAGGAGAGGCAGGGTGGGAACGAGGAGATGAAATGTGCATTAAATCAAGCACTGCCCAGAAACACTTTTCTGCGTGCTATCGGCGAGGACAGCTGTGTTGTTTAATTTGGCTGGTGTCTGATTTACACGTCACGGAGGTGACTGCTTGTGCAGCTGGCTTGGACTTCCCGTCAGACTGCGCATTTCGCGTGAGAAATGTTTCGTCCGATGGTGGACAGCAAATTCTTTTCTCATTAGGCCTTCGCTCTCAAAAGAAATTGGGCAAGGGCCACTTTTAATTGTGATGTCGGTACTATAAACGTTGCGAGATGGTTTAATCTGCGCGTGCGCCACGTTTATGAAGTGAAAATGTCCCTCGTACACATCGATCTACACACGTGTATCTGCACAAAGACTACACAAAGATCCCCCGTGTAGCCTTCACAGACTCTTTGGGCAATTGCTGTTAGCGAGCAGCACCTATGAAGGCCGGCACGGCACACGAGGGGGTGGGTGGCCAGCACCACGCCCAACCGCCTTTGTCTCCCCAGTGGCGATGTTTACACATTGCACCACGTACTCATTTGTCGACCAAGGGGAGGCCCAAAACCGGTTCAGATAATCGTCACTGGCATTGGTGGCCATGAGCGGGATTCGAACTCGGGTCGCCGGGTTTGTAACGCAGCGTGCTAACCACTACTCTACCGCTCTCCATAAAAAAACACACACACACACTCAAACCCACATTGTCACGCCCGCTCACATTCAAATACACACACACGCACACACGCACGTACACACACACGCACACACCGACGCAGGCCTCCCGACGAGCGCTCCGCCGGTGCTCGACCCGACAACTCGCCCCGTGGTCCACCCGGGCCCTCCCGGCACGCAGCTGCTCTACGCCCAGGGGCAGCAGATCGGCACGGTGCCGCTGCACGGCACCAGCATGAACGCGGGCGACGCCAGGATCCTGGTGTCCGTCCACGTGAGTAGCCGGACGCTCCACGCCGCTTGGGAACTCCTCGACGCTCGTCCGCCCCGTCGTCCGTGACGCGTGGGGGAGTACGCAGCAGGGAACACGGGATAAGAGGTCGTGGCAATGGGGATGAGATCGCAGCAGCAGCAATTGGAAGTGGGTTACGGCACAAGGAGAAGGATGCAATTGGTTTTCGTGGTCGTCGTTGTCACAGTTGCTCAGCACCGGTGTCAAAGCGCCAAGGGGCCAGCAACAAGCAGCACGGTGGCGCGTGGCTACTGGCACCGCAATGACACTCGTCCATCCACTGCCCGTCCTTTGGCCAGCTTCTCAAGACCGATACGATTTCGGTCCCTACAAGTTATAGCGTCTACAAACGATGAGAGCGCCCATCGTAGAGGAACGGACGGCGCGTACGTTGTGCACGCTACACAGTGATGCTTTACGAAGAGCACTCGGCCTCGTGCATTATGTAAAAAAAACATCGGCAAGTTCTGGAATCGTGAGAAGTCTGAGCAGTCGGTTGCATTCTGTCACCATGTTCTTTGAGGCTGACCTCAGACGAGAGGACCACAATGCAGTTCTTCAGGAATTGCCGGTGCTTTTTGCGAATTTCACGAGGCCGAGTGTCTCCCACGTGTCGCGTATCCGGCCATGCGCAAAATCAATCGTTCCCCAGGAAGTGTCTCCAGCGCATCATCGGTCGTCGGCCGTGGTGGTCTTTATGCCCAAGGCATTGCACTTGAATGTGAAGGGTTGTAATAGATCACTAGAAAATACGTTTGTTGATTTGAGCAAGGTCATACACAGCTGGCAAACGAGACGAAGGGGGAGTGATGTCCAAAGTGTCGCAGTGAGAGAAGAAGCGGAATGTGAAGGGTTTTGATCCGCGCCGAGTGAGTGGTTTCTCGCGACCTGCAGTATGGTGGCGAGATGCAGTGTTGATGAGAAGAAACTTGACAGTCTGGCAGAGCAAATTCTCAACATGGGTGGAGGAATCCACGGGTAAAGTTCCATGGGAAGAGGAACAATTGTCGCGATAGCAGAGTGACAAGGGGGTGGCTGTCTGCTCGTGATAATTCATGGTGCGTAAATCATCGAGTGCTGGGTCATCAATCACGCGCACTGCTAAACGTTGCAATCTAATCAGTTGCAGTGGGGCAGGAACTCGGTGCGCTACCCCAGACACGACAACAGGATTCCAACTTCGCTGTACTAATTGTTTCAGAATTATGAAGAAGGCTTTTTGCAGGCAAAATATAAGCAAGCCTCTCCGATGTCGCCTTAGGCACCGACGACAGATGATATCAAAGCGGATTAAATATAGATAAACAGGAGAGCAGTGCAGATTATTTTTAGAAAAAAAGAGTTTTTATTTTATTTTACGTCGACGAGCAAAACTGTCGTGACCGGAGGATCTTTAAAAATGGGTGCTCGCCGCCAGTTCGTCTGACGCACGGATCAGACACGTGGTCACTTGCAAACAAAACTGGTGCAAGTTCAGCATCCGCGTGGACAATTATGCACAGCTTGAATAACCTTGAGAGAGAGGAGAACGGGGAGGGGGGGGTGGGGGCACCTCTGAAATGGTGAACGAATAGGACTCGCGTTGTTCAAAGGGAAGTAAGCGAGCCCCGGCAAGGATGCAACACTGTAGGGAATGGGAGCTGATGACAATCGAGTGACAGAATTTGCACACAAAAGACTAAGATCCCCCGATATAGCCTTCACAGGCTGCCAGGGCAAGTGTTGATTGTGAGCACGCCAAATAAAGACAAACATCTCCCATATGGCCTTGAACACACTGTTGGGGCAAGTGCTGTTGGTGAGCGCCTATGAAGGCTGACACGGCACACAAGTGGTTGGGTACCATGCCCAGCCGCATTTGTCTCCCTCGTGCTGATGTTTACTTATTTAAGGCTGAGTCGACCTCGGAGAGGCTTAGGACCGGCTCAAACATTCCGCACTGTTATTGGGCGCGAGCGGGAATGGAACTCTGGTCGACGGGGCACATAGCGCAACGCGGCTCCCCTCACAAACACACACAGACATCTAAAGTGGAGATACAATGAGGCCGCACGAGGGACTTCCTTGTAGGGTTGTGCAAACGATTTTGAAGTTGGGTCGTCAATTATCCATGAGGGAGCCCACCCCCCACCCCCCATCTCGAGCAGCCAACGAGGCCTGGGAAGAGTCATCATTGTTAGTGAGGGGGCGGTGGATAGTGCTCCGCTACTCCCTTCCAAGAGTCGAAGGAGCAGCTGCCGTCCTGCCATTTGCGTGCCAGCGCTAGTGTTGAGACGAACTGCAGCTGTGTAGGAGCAGAGGCGGTCACATCGTCGTCGTCGTCATCATCGTCATGCAAGATGTCTGCACTGAGCAGCGGCCGCAGATGACGATACTGTTTATAATGGAATGTGGTCATGAAGGGCCACATTAAAAAAAAGTGGTGAGAATCCTTCACGAGCAAGTTGTGTTGACAGTTCGTTACAAGGCGTAATTTTCCTAATTCTCTAGGATTCTGTTAGCTTAGGGGATCATTGAACCGACGAACTCATCTCTACCGAGCTCGTACGCAGCCAGCCCCAGCATTTCCAACGAGACGTTAAATCCGCCGTAGCATCCATCTCACCGTGGTCTCATGCGGGATGGATGGAGCGGTGAAGGAATCCCGCTGCTAACTCTGCGAGTGTCGCGCGTTTATTGTTTGCACATCGCGGCCGGCCGCATGACCGGCACGGTGCTTATCGGAGCTGCGGGGAAGGACGACAAACTAGAGAAGCAGTTGTAAAATAATGAATTCTCAATCTAGATTTAAAAGTGCATAGCTCCAGCGGCTTCCTAATATCGGAAGGAAGAGCGTTCCAGAAGCGCATCTTTGTTCGATGGCCGGCCAAAAGCCGCTGCCGCGAGGATGACCGCCGGAGTTGGCGTGACGATGGTTTGCTCTCCTCGACGAGATCGGCAAGGAGCTTGATGGCGCGCCGTGGATCTGTGTGCCGCACGCGCCCAGGGATCGGTGAACGTGGGCATCGACTTCGACTGCGTGGAGGGCATGGTCTACTGGACCGACGTGGTGGGACGCACCATCAACCGCGTCGGCCTGCGCGGCGGAGAGCCCCAGAGCATCATCGCCACCGGTTTGTGCGCCGCTCACACGCGCGAACGACGAGCGTCGTTGCACGAGTCTCTCCTTCCACGATTCGATGGATTGTCGCGATTCACGGTCACGGTTGGATTCAAAGATCGATTTGTTTATTTATACTGGTTTACGCCATCTAGTTCGTTTTCAACATTTCATCAAGACTGTCACATTCATTCGTTGTGGTAAAGCTGACAATTGCATGTAACTTTCATTCGTTGGAAATGAACAGGGGCGGAAATGTGGGCAGGGTACAACGGCACGCCGTGACCCAGAACACCAGACACTCGTGTGCCGGCACTTTCTGGAAATGTTAGTTTTCTGCCATAGGGGAAACGGCGGTGTACCTGGACTGCAGGACGTATAGTTATCACAGCTGTCCAACTACATTTCTATTTTGACCACGCAGGGCTACGAGAGTGAAATTAACTCACGGATAGAAGGTTGCTTGTTCCCATTCTCAGTTAGCCATCGACTCATCATCAACATCAACGTCGTCAACCTTCCAGAATTAAGACAAATGTAGGACCACTTTTGGCAGGACTGGTTTCAGCTCCTCTCGGATGTGGGGACCAGTAGGGCTGTCATGTTGGGGGGGGGGAGGGGGGGGGAGGGGGGGTGCCATCATCATCATCATCGGTGATACGCCGCGAGCGAGACTGAACGTGGGTGGGCCACAGTGAGATGTGCTGGTGCAGAGCCAACCCTAGCACATGGTCGTACGACAGTGCTCGTACTATGGCCATGCTGGTCCCCATCGTACAAATGTGGAACTTGCACCACTCGCTGAGGGCTGCCAATGGGGATGAGTGCTGCCCTGACCATGCTCGTGCGGGGGTGATACTTTGACTCTGATGTGATGTCTACATGACTTGATACTGAGTCATCTGAGAAGCTGAGCTTGCGAAATTCGTCAGCCAAAATGTTAATCTTATTTCTCATTCAGCAAAAAAACTCATTGTGAAGCCAATATCTTTACAATGCATGTTTTATGAGGTGGTCAAAATGTTTTTATAATGTAATAAAGCGTGTATACATATGCACGCTTAAACCCGGAATTCAATTTTACTGTATATCTGTATATGATGTAATACGGTAATAATACTAGATTTGAAGCTTTCGTGACTTGCAAGGATTCATATTCTTAGGTTTTTTCGGTAAAGTCACGTAGGTAAAAAATTAAAATTAATGAAAGTAAAATTTAAATAAAATAAAAATTACGACGTTTCGGAAGCAACACAAGCTTCCGTCTTCAGGTTGGAACAGTCACAGCACGATAGCTGTATCAAGTGAGATAATTTACAGGAAAATCGTGTTTTTATATATACAGTATAAGAATACGGTAATAATATACGGCCGTGTGTAGGTCTTCCCACACCATGTCGGTCAAGGGAAGTCGTTTGACCATACTTCACCACGCTGGTCATTATGGTTTGGTGAAAGAGTCGCCCGGAACTGCTTGACATATCACTCGCAACCGATGTCACCCTTCGCTGGGATTTGAACTCAGTCTCTGCTTGCTTCGCACGGAGCGCTAACCACCACTGAACCACAATATGTTTATTATGTAAAATAAGAATACTTTTTCAGTTCACTGCGAGTTATTTTAGCGCTTTCGAAATGAACGCTAAATTATATGGGGGAAAAAAACGATTTCTTTCCCAATGTAATTTTATCCTGTGATAGACATTTATGATTGCAGAGATTTCAGTAATATACTTTTTAAAAACTTCGTACAATTGAAGTCAAAGTCACAGTGTGTGAACGCTTCAACGTGCATTGTGCTCGCACTCGCATCACTCTTATGCATTGCTGCCCATGAGCCAGCAGTGGAAATTTCACACTCCCAGCGCAGAAGCCACAGTCTCATATAGGACCACCACTACATTGAAAACTCATTTCTTTAGAACTGCTTTGTGTTTAGTTTGTTGTCCTCCCCCCCGCACCTCCAATTAGCACGGCTGTCTACGTACTGTGCGAAAGATTTGAACATACATACATACACTGATGGCTTCACCACAAAGTGGTCTGCACTCATTTTGTCGGTCCCTTCGGGATAATTTGCTGCGGCACCCCTTGACCACGATTTGATCTGGATGACATTCAGATTGCAATTGGCGCACCCTAGCAGTGCCACCTGACACGCAGCACACTACAATCAGGAATGCAACGATGCATCGATTCATCAATTGAAAGAGATTCTGAACGCGGACGTGTCCGTCGTACGTGTCAAAACAGATAATTTTTCAATGTATGAAAATTATATGGAAATTATCAGGGTGGCACATTGGTGAGCGAACTGCACTGTGGAACCTGGTGATATTATTTTAGTTTGTGGCCACGGATAACATCAGTGGCGAGTAACATCTGAACTGGTCCTTGGACACACCATCACCAGCTAGCACTGACCATTCTGGTGAAGTACGGTCTGTTGATACAACCCCCATGACTTACACGGCTTTGGGAGGCCTCCAACTGTAAATGAGCTGACAGAGGACTCTAAGGTATTATAAATATCACACGCTATTGAGAGTTCCATCAGTGATCAACATCATTGTCATCGTACGCTGTGATTGCTGGCCGTATTGCACCAGTCCATGGCCATTCTTAGGGTGGAATTGATCTCGGAGTTATCCTTCTCAAATATCCTGGGTCTTATTAATCGCATCGCTTAATCCAGATTTCATCCATCACGCCCTCAGGATGATTTTTTTGGCTTCTGAGTTTTCCCAAGCCTTCAGGTTTACTAAATGCAAACGATGTGCTTTTGTTACATCGAAATTACCGACACAAGCATATATGCACAAACGGGAGAAGATTACAAAAACAATGTATTTAATCAATTCATGGCCTCAAATTATGCCAATTACGACGAAGTAAAGCAGCGCGCTCCGTGCTGCAATGGCGACGCGACGCCGACCGTGCTGCCCGTGTTCAGACCTCATGAGCCCGGAGGGGCTGGCGATCGACCACCTAAGCCGCAACATCTTCTGGGTGGACTCGGGGACCGACCGCGTGGAGGTGGCGCGCCTGGACGGCTCGTCGCGCCGCACGCTCGTCACCTCCGACCTCGTGAACCCGCGCGCCATCGTCGCCGACCCCGTGCAGGGGTGAGTCGCGCACCAATGACGATGGCACGGTGGCGAGATGTTAACTACCTCGCCTGGTGTACAGGGGGTCGTGGGTTTGATCCCGACCCTGACGCCTGCTGCATGTCCTCCCCGTGGTCGAGTGGGTTTTTCTCCAGCTCCTCCGGTTTTTCCCTCCACATTTTTAAACGTGCGTTTTTAGAGTATTTGTCCGCTAGAAATGTCCACGTGTTAAGCCACTTCGCTGAGCTATCATTTGTGGCCAAGGTCGCTTCTGAAGAAGTGCCAAATATCTCAGTGGGCTTTACCTGGTAAAATAAAAAAAGAGTTTAAGTCACGCTGGACTGCGTTGCGCCCCAACTGCGCGGTGCAGCCCGTGAGCTGTCGGCATCGAGCACTGCCCGGTACCAAACGCCTCCTCGTGTGCCGGGTAGTGCCGGGGTGTTCAGAGCACAGCCGCACACTGTGATCATAATCTTGCGCGACACGGATGGCATTTTGTATCTGTACTGGTTTCTAAGCCTCCCTCCCCCGAGGTGAACTCAAAATAAAACGAGGTTCCCACATACTACGTGTTAACGTGTACACTGCGAAGACAGAGGCAGCTGAGCATGTCAGCTGATGGCTACATGTGGGTGTGTGTGTTGAACTTCTTTCGCACCGTACGTAGCCAACCGTGCTAATCGGAGGTGCGGGGGAAAGACAACAAACTAAACACAAAAAGCAGATCTATCGAAATTAGTTTTCAATCCAGATTTTTAAAAGTGCATAGCTCCCGTGGCTTCCTAATGTTCAACGGAAGAGCGTTCCAGACGGCCACAGAAGTGGATCTGAAAGCGCGCGATGCAATGACCGTCTTTGTTCGTTGGGTGCCATCATGTGCTATGCCAGCCTCACGAGATGCTCCGATAATGGCACTTGCCACAAGGGTAGTCTACAGAGGATAAATCGTAACCCTTGTCTTGTTATTTGTGGTCTTGTATGTGTGCCGTGCTCTATAGATCTATAAATAAAATATTTACAAGATTTTTCTACGAGCTATATTTTTCAGTTACCCTGCTTATGCCAGCCCTATAACATGGTGTCGCTACAAGCAGTGTATGCGACCAAATTAGCAGAATCTTTGCCTGCACATTTGACGATGGTTGTATTCATGTGGGTATAGGCATGGCCCTCTAAAGCTGTGTACATTTGTGTGCGTATATCGAATTAATGTTTTGTGCGAGCGTGTATGGGTGTACGCTTTCGGGCATGCATGCGTGTGTCCGTATGTGATTTTGCATCCATGTGTGTGCGTGTGAGTGTATGTATGTCTTTATGTGTATTCATGTCTTTGTGCATGTACCGTATGTTTGTGTATGCAAACTGTGCTTGCACGATAGTGCATGTGCTTGTGTGTTGCTATAAAAGCGTAATGTAATCATCTAATCTGCAGCCCTTTATCAAGCCAACGCTTGATGAAGACCTCCTCCATTCCGTGTCGGTCATGGGGGTTGATTGACTATACTTCACCACGCTGATGTTATCTGTGCCCTGGAATTGAACTGAGGTCACCGAGTTCATAGTGCGGTGTGCAATACCAGTGTGTACGCGTTTGTGTGTGGCTGCATACGCGTTTGTGTGTGTGCGTCCATGCCAGTGTTCCTGCTCGTCGGCACGCGTAAAAACACGTGCCCATGCATCGTTGTGCCCCGTGTGCAAATGCCCGTGTGGCGCCAGGATGCTCTACTGGACCGATTGGAACCGCGAGGGCCCCAAAATCGAGAGCGCACACATGGACGGCACGGGCCGCCGCGTGCTGGTCGGACACGACATTGGGCTGCCCAACGGCCTGACCTTCGACCCGGCCACCCGCACGCTCTGCTGGGTGGATGCAGGTGACCGCACTTAATGTCATTAGGACTCCCGTCGATAATCGTACCGCGACCTTCACAGTGACGCGGCTCAGATATGAGAGCGCCGCACTCGTGTCGAAACGAGGTCCTCCAGTGTGGTGAGCCGAGCAACACAGCCCTTTCCCCAGTGACTGCGTGAAAGCCATCACTTTGACGATGGGATGCCACTTTAGTTTGATCACATCCAACTCTGAGACTTCAGACATATGTTTTTGTGTTTGATTCGGCTACCGTGAGACAAACACCTCTATGGCAGGGCGATTGGGAAAGTGCAGCACTCGTCGTGTGGACATGAGGCCAGTCTTGAAGGTATCTCGGAAGTAGTTCTATGGTATCAACTTCCGCTGGCCATTCTCTTACGCAGAACGACGCACAGCTCCGCTAGAGTTATGAAGAAGCAATACTTCAGTTCGTGGGACAATGACAACAGCATGATTGGAATCAAATAAATATTCGAAAAAAAAGAACAAATGTAATAACGAAAACAATATGTTGCCACTAATTAAATTGTCTAAGACTACACGGCACTGTGTAAAAATGCTCTCATTGGGTGCAATTAACATTGCAGGCATGGTATACACTCAACCCCTACAGTACAAGTATAAATACAAGCATTGATAAATTAGCATGCAATAATATTTAAAAATGTATTTTAAGTCCCTTTTGTATTACCTCATTGTCTTTTCTGTCTCAATTGTTCTCTCTTGTTCAGTTGCTTAGACTAATTTAGCCCTACCATATGATTTGTATATAATTTGCATGTATTGTGTAAAAAAAGGATTTCTCAGATGTGAAATTTGATGCGTACAGCATAACCGTGAGAATCAATTTTTATGTTAATTCTGCTGCATCCAAAACCGTTTGGAATGGCGCTGTTGTAACTTTTCTGTACGCACTTGAGAAACAACATCGACCATTTCCAGCCACGATTCCTGCAGCCTCGATCTGCCTTGGGTGTCTCATCAGATACTGAGCGGTACTCCGTGTGTCAGAGCCACACTCTTGCTACGTAAACCAGCGCCCCAAACCCCATCTGCTGACCCTACCTCAATAGTTTACAAAATGCGTTGTTGTTTATCAATATATACGTAGAAGCTGCACATAATTCTCTGTCTCCACGTGTCAACGTTCTTTAAGTCTATCAGTCTGTTGCCTATCAGAACCCAATATAATCCAGCAGCATTTGTTTAAGCAAACAGATATTCTGGGTCTAATCAGCAGTCAGGCTTCATAAACAAATGCTGCTGTTCTTGGCAAGAACAATGAATCTAAAGTTCGTATACACGAACACAAAGATGTTTTTTTTTAAACAAATCTGTTATTCATATGAGCATGACAATTTGCGCCTGTTGTGTTTCAACGAATTGTCTCTATTCAGGGTCCCCGTTGACCTCAATAATCTTGTTTTATATTGTGGTAATTCCAGTGGCCTCTAGTGGCTGGAGGGGTCCAATGTTCCCAGTGCACGCAACGTATTTATTCGTACAGTCCTTTGTGTCAATCCACTGCTGGATGAATGCCTCCCAGTGCCACGTTGGTCATGGGTGATATTTAACCAGACTTCGTCGATGTTGGTGCATAGTTTCAGAACATCGGTGGATTTCGTCACAAAATCCTCCACTGCCCACATCATAGCAGCCAAGCACGGATCAAGCCCAACTACGCTTTTTCTTCTGAGATCTGATGAGATCGGACACATTCTGGGTGTTTTGGACAAAGGTTATACAACGTACTCGCACATCATATGTCAGTCAAAAAATACTGATTCTCGCACGCATGATTCAATGCGTATATCATGGACTTATGAATTGCCTTTCACCTACAAATGCATGCATCTTCGTACCTATGTACACGTAACAAGGCACCGATTTGCACTTCCCTGCAAGTCTATTTATGAAACACCAAGAGACAATTCCTGCATTCAGATGTGACGATGTCCTAAATTTGTACATTTATTCCCAGTGATTTTGCCATTGTCAAATACTGTACGGACAATCACTGAACGCTCGCTGAAAATCGGATAATGGGCATAAGAGTAGCTACAATTGTGATTCAACTTGTCCAGAAATTCTGTGCATTGCCACAATTCCATTCCATTCAAGATTCACCCACTCTAGTTTTTTTACATAATTTTTACGACTTTCTTCAGTCGATTAGCCTCAATGGAAGTTTAGCATAGGGTTTGCATATATTTTTTGTAAATCATAAATATTGGCTTCCCAGTATTGCAAGCTTAAAAATACATTTTAATAGCTCGATCGATGCATCATTACATGCTAAGGTACTAAAATGTCATCGGTATTTGTGAAAGCGCACACATGGATTTACTTGATGCCGTTGTCATGCAGCTTCTGACCAAATCACCCGGAATGCGCCCACGATCAGTTCCAATTCCAGAAGATAAGTGGCATTGAACCTGGACAGTGCTTGCATGGGTGACCACCTTGCACACCAGGTTATTTATTGGCAGTTGCAAGACCTGTGCTACGTCACGGGCAGCAGACGATGGTGTAGCCGTTGTCCTGCGCTTCTATGATCCCACATTTATATTTTGTCGCTTTCATAACCCAACACTGACCTGGCATGGCAACGTATGGTCAAATAGCCCGAACGGCATTGGAGGGCCTTCATTTTGTCGTGGATTGATCAAAGGGCTGTGCATGTATTAACCTAAACTATTGAAACTAAACTATTTTTTATTTTAGCAGGAAAGGTATACCGAGCTATACAGCTCGTTTTCAGAAGCGACCCGGCCACAGGTGATAGCTCAACGAAAGGGCTTATCACGTGGAAATTGATAGCAGCCAAATACTCTCAACGGATGTTTATAAATGTGGAGGGAAAAACCGGAGGAACCCGGATAAAACTCCACGGGACCAAGAGGAGAAAGACACGCAAACTCCAAGTATACAGGAGGCGTCAGGGTCGGGATCGAACCCACGACTTCCTGGCATACCAGGCGAGGGAGTTAACATCTCGCCACCGCGGTGCCGCGATATTGCGTGCCATGTGCTCGGGCTCACACTGCCAGACGTTGACCCTGAAGAGTCACATTTCGCTTACGTTAGCAGCATTCATCCCATGGAAGGATAAAATCTGTTATTTATTAAGCGCGGGTGATTTTACAAATTCTGCTGTAACACTGACACACAGTGGCCTACCTTGGTGAACCAATGTCATGCGATCATTATTTCTTCGTCCTCGCAAATTACCAGACTGCTTGCGTTTGATAATAGCATCCCAGTGGAGTGCTATCGTGCCGGGGCTGAGCTTGTGTTGTGCGTCGTAAAAAAGAAAAGAAAAACCACATCGTCTCTGCAAGCTCTCACTTGGTTTAAAGAAAAGGATTGAATGGCTGATCGATAGTATTCGAACATAACAACCATGGATCTCCTTAGGTAAACACAGCGATTGCAGCTCCGAGACTTGCCATTAATAAGCATGCACTCCCACGCACATAAAATAACATGTCACTTACTGTTAATGAATAAATCCCACTACTCTTGCAAAATAAAAACGAGGGTTGAATGCCTTTAACCTAAGGTGAAATCTTTTTGCAACATTTTGCTCCAAATTAGCTTCTTTCCACGGTGAGCTACGCGAGAATAATTAAGTGCACGCGCATATGCGCTCCGCCTTGCCTGCTATTGATGCCCTCACTATCCCTTAACCCGTTTGGCAATTTTTGATGACATTTTCAGTAATGGTCCGTGGCTACAGTGGCTCACCCAGCATTGATTTTCCCGGAAGGGGGAGGTGGGGGCGGTCGTGGGGGATCAGAGGCCAAGTTCATATTGCGCACGGGAACACTCGAGAAAGACGTATGGTTCTGTAGGAGCTGTGTTATACCGAACGTGATTTTAAGTAAAATTTTCTCAACTCTCCGAAAGCACTTTGGTGTAGGCATAAAGCTAAAGGGAGAAAATATCACCCATTTTGTAATGGAGATTGACATCATATGCAGATACTCAGAATCCATTTGGTCTGAGTGAATCGGAGCTTTGAGGCATAGAATTCATGCTGTATTAAAAAGGCTGAAAGGATAAATCAATACAAGTCTGCGAAATGCATGGACATGTAAAGGTAATTATAGACGGTTTGGTGCATTAACTAATAAATCAAGAGTTTAATAAGGGTTATGTAAAACAGTTAATTGAAATCAGTCGTAAAACAATGTTAAACACTTACATCAAAATTCAATAATCCTTTCATATAAGTTTCCCATATCAAAATTTTTAATTAAAATGGCAGATGAGGCAAATTATAGTTTTACATTTGAAATAATTATTATGTAAATTCTTAATTGTGAACTTAAGTTCCGTTAGCAATATTATTTTTTATATATAAATAAATATACTCCTATGCATGTGTTACATACAAATTTGCGTACGCACATTATTTTTTCTTCTCATACACAGTGCTGTCGCTAAACGGACTGCTTTGGAACCCACTGACGGCAATAGACTAATAGAGAGCCATTTGCGAAATACAGTTTATGATTTGTTTTCATTCAAAGGGTACCAGATTTCTGGAAGGGGGCCCAACTGGAACACGTGGGGAGCCGGCTGGCCCTTCCTCCGTCAGCCTTGCCCATGCCCACTCCACCACTAGCGCCGCTCACAGGGCCTCGCAACCCTCCCCGCTCTCATGTTGGCCTCCCACCTACTGCTCATAGACTCCACCATACTCGGATAACTCCACCCTTTGATTCAACAAAGTGAGAAGATGTTTTTTTTTTACTTGATAAAAAGTCTCAATTTTCACGCTCAGGAAGAATACCGTACCGGGACAGCCTTTCTGAATCAACATAAAATATTAAATTATAATATAGCATCAATCATGTAAAGTGCATCTCACAACGATTCACAATTTGCAATGCATGCGCGGAGGTGCGAGATAATCACAGAAAAGTAGGAAGGGCAGCCCGGTGTTGATTCAGTGCCAAGAATTGTCCAAGCTCTGCGTTCTTCGATATATCGCAATGTTACATTTACCCCTAACTCCCACCCCCGCTCAATGCTGTCTGGCAAGACACCACTGTGTGAATTCACAAACAGCAGCAGAGGCAGCAGCAGAGGCAGCAGCATTTGCCGGTGTTTTTTGCCCTGCGCCCTGACGGACCCCAGGCACCAAGCGTCTGGAGTGCGTGCAGTCGGATGGCACAGCAAGGCGCGTGCTCACGTCTGGGATGCTCTACCCGTTCAGCCTCACCAGGCTGGCAAACTACTTCTACTACACCGACTGGAAGAGGTACGACCACTCACCATCATCCCCCCTCGCCCCCTTCAACTCGAACCGTAAAACCGCGACGGCACGCGAGGGCGATGGTTGCCGGCAACCGTCATCGGCAATATTTGTAGCAGCAGTTTTTGGTTTATTGTACGTGTTGAAGTTTGACTGGCCCACACCCGGACAAATATGATCACTTCCCCCCCCCCCTGCCACCCGGAGGAAAGAAACTTGGATAGCAAACTTCCAATTAGATCGCAGACAGAGGTCACCCGTGGTGGTGTGTTTTGTAGACCGATCGTTGTTCATAAGAACACACAAACTCTGTTTTAGTTGACTCAATGAAAGTCCTCACTCTACTGCCACCACCATTGCAAGTCGCCAACGTTGCTCGTGGCAATTTAATTGCCAGTAGTGGTGATTGTCGAGAAGTCGCCCTTGCTTTGTCACGATCTGAACGCGGTGCCTTAACACGAGGCCCCTCACCTCACGACTGGAAATATGATCGGTTCTCACATGCGCGACTTGATGCTTCGTGTATTGTGAACGTAGGGATTCATTTTAATTGATGAATCGATTAATTTTAATTGATGAATCGATGATGCACAGTTACATACCTAAAGGGCTAATTGTGCAACACCCCTCGGGGGTCAATACACAGAGTGACCACGTTGTGGAATATCAACAGCGGTTGGCTTTGGAGATGCTGGCCCCTGACATATGAATGTGGAATTTCGCCTACAGGCTTAAGGCCACAAATGAGACAATCTGAAACTTATTTTAAGAACAAGGGAACTTTGGACTTTTTCAAGAATGTTAAATTTACCCTTCACAATTATATAGATTTTTTCATTCATTGCGAACATTCGTACAGTCCTGTGTCTAATAACCACACAGCAGATCAAAACATGTATCTATCGGCTTCTTCCTCCCACCCCTCGGCTTTGGAATTCCCTCTCATCGTCAAACTCTTATAATAACCTTGCTCAACTCAAGGAACTTATCGGTTCTCATCGATTACAGCTTCAATCGCGCCCTTTGTTCTTGGCCGCTTGCTCTTGTGCTCCTTTGGGCTTGTGCTCAGCTACTGCAATAACAATTTACAAAGAAAATGATGGCCTCCATCTGCTTGCGATGTACCCATCACCTCCGCAATGCCACTAAAACTAAACTAAAATGAAAAAAAATGTTTTACCAGATAAAGCCCACAAGTGACCTGGCCACAAATAATAGCCCCAAAAAAGTTGCCAAATACTCTAAACGGACACTTCTAAATGTCGAGTGAAAAATCCACGCTAGCCACGTGGAGAGAGCAAAACACGCAAACTCCAAATATACAGCAGCAGGCGTCAGGGTCTGGATCGAACCCACGTCCTCCTGTATACCAGGCGAGGTAGTTAACATCTCCTAGCCACCGCAGCGCCCACGACCTCTCTCACCCTGTGCTCGCGTGCCGCGTGTGCTCCACACACCAGGGACGGCGTGCGGGCCCTCAGGAACGATGGGGCAGACGAGGTGGACGAGTTCCTGCCGGGGCTCCGCACGCACCCCTACGGCATCACCATCGCACAGCCGCACTGCCCACCCGGTCAGCAGCTGTGGCAGCAGTATCTCGGTAGCAGCAGCAGTAGTAGCAAGCAGCAGCAGCAGTAGCAGCAGTGGTAGCAGCAGTATCTCGGTAGCACCAGCAGCAGCATCAGCGGCAAGCAGCAGCAGTAGCAGCAGTGGTAGCAGCAGTATCTCGGTAGCAGCAGCAGCAGCGGCTAGCAGCAGCAGTAGTAGCAGCTGTGGTAGCAGCAGTATCACGGTAGCAGCAGCAGCAGCGGCAAGCAGCAGCAGTAGTAGCAGCAGTGGTAGCAGCAGTATCTCGGTAGCAGCAGCAGCGGCAAGCAGCAGTAGTAGCAACAGTGGTAGCAGAAGTATCACGGTAGCAGCAGCAGAAGCAGCGGCAAGCAGCAGCAGTGGTAGCAGCAGTATCGTAGCAGCAGTAGCAGCGGTATAGTAGCAACAGTGGCAGGAGAAAGCAGCAGTAGCAGCAGCGTTACCGATATAAATTATGTTTAGAATGAAAAACAAATCTGCGACTGCTTTGGCAGCGGTTATGTCAGGCGACATGCAAGGCGTGATGGGGAGGAGTGATCTCGTGGTCACGATCGCACCTTTTGTGTGTGCAGTATGATTGCTCTTTGATTCCAGCTCGCACGCACGGCCTGAGTCTCTCCGTCGCTTTCCACAAAGTGGTTAGAGTTGGTTTATTGCTCTCGTTAAGCGGAAACCAAATTCTCCGCGCGGTGATCAGGGGAGAGGGGCTGGTACACAACATGCCGCCGGAGCACAAGGCAGTAGTGGTACGGAATTGATGGCTGTGCCGGACAGAAGTATCCTCATAAGGATACAACTGGCATACAGTGGTCTCATTGACCTGCTGCTGCGTAACACAATACGACCACAATTTAGATTTTTTTTTTAAGTATATGTCTTATAAAGCAAAGCTGTTGTGAATTTTGCATGCAGCGTGGTGATGTCACATGACATGCGAGGGATGATGGGTGGGGGGGACCAATCCTCTTGTCTTTTACCATATAGGAATGACATTTTCCTCAAATCATCGCTCGTGCTTGTCTCCATCCTGCATGCACTTCTCTGTCTGAGAGGAGTTGCTCGTCATATACGCAAAGTGTTAGAACCGGCCGATACAATTGCCCGAGTTCACACCAGAGCTATTCATTATGCAGATAGAGTCGGCAGTTGTCCAGGGGACAGGCGTTGGCAGGACAGCTCCAATGGGTTCCCCGCTGCTCGCCCTGATGCTGATGAATTCAGATGCAGACAGAAAGCCCCAGCGTAGACCCAACCCATCAAGGCCGGTCGGTCGGAGCAGATTGTTGTCTGCCTGTGTGCTCATGGGATTAAGGCGGGGCAGGGCAGGGTGGGGGGTGATTGCCAGACTCAAAGGGGCATGTGGGGGACGCCGAGGCTTTGTTTCGGCTTCAGGTGTAAGCTGCAGCTAATCTCGGCCACTTGAAAGAATGATTCAACAGTGAGCATTTGCCCAGGGATAGTGTGGGGGACGCCTGCAGTCCAGGGACTACGAGGATCGGGGGTCGAGTCGAGATGGAATTACAGTACTCATCTTCTTGGTTCTTTCGGTAAAGTCACGTAGAATGGAAATAATAAAATAATAAAAATTAAACATAATAAAATAATTCTCACGACGTTTCGGCCACAACGCAAACAGCCGTCCTCAGGTGAAGACGCTGTCTCCCCGACAGACCTGGTCTTCACCTGAGGACGGCTGCTTGCGTTGTGGCCGAAACGTCGTGAGAATAATTTTATTATGTTTTATTTGTATTATTTTATTATTTCTAATTCTACGTGACTTTATCGAAAGAACCAAGAAGATGAATCCCTGCAGTTACGAAAGCTTTAAATCGAAATTTAATTACAGTACTGTTATACTGGTAGGAACCTGCTGGTTACACCAGCTCACAGGGGATCATTGTGTCCGTCCGACATGCATACAAAAATGGGAGGGGTGAGGCTGGATGGAGAGGGGAGGGTGAGGAGGGGCTGGGTGGGGAGGGAGGGGCTGGGTGGGGAGGGGAGGGTGGGGAGGGGCTAGGTGGGGAGGGTGGGGCTGGGTGGGGAGGGGAGGGTGGGGAGGGGCTAGGTGGGGAGGGTGGGGAGGGGCTGGGTGGGGAGGGTGGGGAGGTGCTGGGTGGGGAGGGTGGGGCTGGGTGGGGTGTGGGAGGGGTGGGGCTGGGTGGGGAGGGGAGGGGCTGGTCACCCCGTGGTGTCCTTATAAAACTCAACGTTTAATCTACTCACGCCGGCTTGTGCCCGCCCTCACAGTCGGCCATATTTGCGGAATACACCACGCCGCCGTTGACCCTGGCCATTGACCGAGCAACCCAACGTTCCTACCTTCTCCCTCCGCAGGAATGTGTTTTAGGAGACACCGAGAGTCCATAGGGGACAGTGAAGAAAGGATATTTATTTTTTAACCTTTCTGAATAGTTTTAAGTTACAGGCAAAGTTCGACTTCTATATTGGGGGGGGGGGGGGGGGTGGCAGGTGTTCGCTTTGTCCCTCACATTCGGAATCGTGGGTGCATACAATTAATTTATTTTCAAACTTAATTGTAAACTAGAGAAATAAATGAATGAAGGTGACCAGTTTGGCTGGGGCGTTGCCCCCTGCCCCCCATGCCCACCCCCCCAAACTCCGCCCATGGTTTTACGGGGTATTGATGGCACACTCGTGAGGTCACGATGCTATAACCTTGAGTTGAATTCCTGGTCATGGCTAACATCGGCAGAGGTCGATAATTCAATCGGTTCTGAGCCCGCTTGCCTCCTCCTCCCCCCGCCACCAACGAACGGTTCACCGACCCTCACTGACCAGCAAGGCAAAGTATGGTCAAGAAACTGGCATGGGGAGGCCACCTGAGAGTAGTGTGATTAACAAGGGACAATACTTTCTAAATTACCCGTGCGTGGGATTTCTCTGGTCACGGTTGCTTCCTCGCGCACGAAATTAACATGAATAAATACACCACTAAATTAGCATTGGGTAAATATGCCAATGCTTACGCCAAAAAAGATCATCCTGCAAAATATTGAGACTCACTTCAAGCTTTGCTCAATGTCCATACGGAGTATTGCTGCTGTGGTGTAAAGTTAGAACACTGGAATTGCAACACAGAGGTTACCGATTTTATCTCGAAATAACGGCGCAACTTTACTTAACCCCCCACGCACCGCTGTCCAACCGGCTGTAGAAGTGGACACTTGCATCACAATTAGTCGATCGGTAGGTTGCATGTGGTGGGGTGAATTGTGGGTAGGACCACCTCTTCTAAGCCATCTCGCCAGCGTGGAGAAGTAGGCCAAAATTCCCTTCCGAGGGGCTCTCCGGAGCTCCCTCTAGTAGAGGCCCTTCTGCCAGCAGTGGTGTGAGCAACCAATTGCAGGACTGCACCTTTACCTATATACAAAGACAAATTTCCCCCATGTAGCCTTTAACCGACTGTTGGGGCAAGTGCTGTTAGCAAGGCACACGAGGGGGTGGGTGGCCAGCACCACGCCAGGCTGCATTTTTCTCTTTAGTGGCAATTTACACACCGCACCAGGTACTCATTTTTGGCTGAGTCGACCGAGGGGAGGCCCAGGACCGGTTCAGATAATTGTCACTGGTGTTAACCGTGAGCGCTAACCGCTAAGCTACCGCTCCCCACTATATATACCACGATATATATATACAAACACACAGACACGCATATATGCACACAATGTCATCGTTAACAAGAGCATTTAATAAAGCGCACCATCCAAATGTCCCCACGTCTCCCCGTGCAGGTCAGAACCACTGCGGCGTGAACAACGGCGGCTGCTCGCACCTGTGCGTGCCCAAGTCTGGGGGGCGCTCCTGCCTCTGTCCCGACACTCCATCCGCCACCGAGCGCTGCTCCGAGGTGCGCCAGTAACCCAGAGGTTGGACGCGGCCTCGCCAGACCCACGGACGTTGGATGGAAAAAAAGAAAGCTTCCAATTCCCGCCGCAGCCGCCGTGAAAGACAAAACGGAGAAACCCCGCAAGCGTCGAACACGTTAAACGGCGGGGGCGGGAGGGCCCCCCTCCTACACACCCCCCCCCACCACCCTACCCATGCAGTCGTTCCTGGCTGACTTCGCCAGGGCCTTAAATCTGGTCGTGAAAACAAAATGAACCCAGAGAAAGTTAGCAGCCACGCCGGTGAATATTGGGCAGCCGCTAGAATGAAAGACTAAAAACGTGGTGCCGAATGCAATGAAACTTAAAAAAAAGTCGCAACGGGTACACTTACACTCCGGAAGGGATATAGGTGGCCAATTTGTTTGGACACAAAAAAAATGCACGGCGACGTTTAATTAAATGCAGCTTCAGTGCTCGAGTAGGGCTCTTGTTGGCTTGGCCCGGACGAGCGCGCACACAGCGCGCTGCCCGGTCCGTTAGGGACGCGGTTCTTTTCCGAAGGCGTGGTTTTCTCATCTTGTCGTGGGTATAATTGCGACTTTTGATAACGGCTTGTCAGCTGTATATGGCAAATCCAGACTTTTTATATATCTTATTTCTCTTAAAGGGGGCATTGACCCCCAGAAGTGAGATGAGAGAATTCTATTGAGAGTTATATGCGGATGGTATTTTTTAGGGGGATACACAACAAATGTCATTAGAATCCAACTTAAATTCGTATGTTAATTGCGTAAACAAGCACACAATGAAATACCCTCGGCGTGATAAGAGAAAAGCTGTACTTACGAAGCATTATTAAATCAATGAGAAGCACTGTGCAGGGACGTACGTTTAAGTGGCAAGAGTGGAATATTGTGAAAATGGGCACATTACACAAGGGCACTAGTGTTATCTTCAGGGCATTGTGTTCCGAATGAAAGAGCGTCTCCGTGTCCTTTTGTTGGCTCACGTTTGTGCTGTCGCAACAAAGGAACAGCATTGTTCCGAGGCTAATTGTGGGAATTGACGCAAGCTGCCTGGGTTGGGTGTTACACCAGAGCATGGCTCAAATCCATCAGCACTGTTGGGCAACTGCTTTAGAAAAGTTGACAACGTTTCTAAAAAATATCTATATACACGTACAAACACGACAAACATTTTGTCTATTCCCACTGGTAAATACGTATAGCGTCTATTCAGCCTGCCGTGTCATGTAGCCACGCACCGCCGCACACAAACACGAACCACCTCGCGAGGAAGATATGAACATCCTAGGCTCCACACGTTGGTGAAATGTATTTAGTGGGGTAATGGAAATAAATACATTTTAACGGGAATGTATATATGCACGGTTGTGGGATCGCACGCGTATGTACAAAGCACACACACGCACACACACGTACTCTCATATACCCGTTTCCATGGTAACACTCGAGCGTCGTCACCTATAGAAATATATATATATTTTTTGGTGCTTTTTTTTTCAATCAAACTTGTGTTTCAATAGTTTAAAGTTAATTCTAACGCAGCCCACCCAGTTCCCCGTTATTCTGTTGCCGTTTCTGTTGAGCACTGCTAGTGTAATTACTTTCAGAATAAGGCCACCTTTTTATTTCGTACGACAAAGAATCTTTGTCAAATATCGTATTAAAACACGTCATGCAATTTAATGTGAGGCATTACAGCACTAATTGCAACTGTTGGAGACGAATTTTATAACAGAGCTATTTTAAATGGTTTGGCACAGTATGAATCGAGCTCTCAAAAAAAAAAAGAGGCCGTACTTTTATTAACAATATGATACCTCATTTTGTATTCTGTGTAATTTTCTATAATTATATCAAAGTATCTTCTTTTTTTGTGGAAGCAATTGAAATCTCAGCTGTCAAAAGATGAACGCATTTAATTTTCTTTGTTTTTCTAGGTCAAGGTGCTATTGTGTTTGTATTTTCGCGTATACCGCAGACAATTTGCTTACGTGGAAATTATGTTTAATCCCCGTGACTGTCATATTTTACGTTACACTCATTGTGAATGCACAACACATCAATTATGAATGCAGCAGAAGTAAAATCGTGTTATCTCGTTTAGCGGAACACATTTTGTAGCCAGATTTGTGTTTGGGTCTCCAGCAGACTCGCAAACGAGATGGGAGCGCCAGTAACTTAAACAACCGCTCACTTTGTGCTGTTGATGTCAGAACGCTGAAAATAGGGAAAATGACACTCGACAAAACTCTTGCGTATTTCAGATTATTTAGTTCTTTTACAAGCGTAAAATCTCGGCAGATGCGAATTATATTTTGTCATTTATGCAGTCGTAACGAGTAAATATACATGTTGTCACACGCCCTACATGCAACGGTTTTACCTGCAAATCAAAACCAATACTGTATTTCCAAGCAGTGCAGCTCCTGTTCACTTGGTAAATGTGACATTCTGAAAATTAAAACCACTGCAGCTTATGCCACGCGTTGTGGAGTAAATGTGCATAATAACAACACAGTGCTGTAGGAATAATAATTATAATACATGCAATGTGACCACATTCAAGAGTGTACTGTTTTTGTATGCGTCTGTGCAAGGACATGCAGAATCAAACTTGTCTCTCTCTCACCGCGTCAACAATAACAGTTTACAGCCTTCTACCAAACCCTTGGCATATGAGGGCCTCCCAACGCCGCGTTGATTGTGTGGGTTGTTTGACCATACTTCACCACCCTAGGTTGTTGAATGGGGAAGGCACAGGAGCAGTTTCGATATGCCCTGGGCCGGGAATTGAACTCGGGTCGCCGGGTTCATGTCGCGGTAGGTTACCGACTGTGCCCACCACTCCACTCATTTATACGAGATGTACTTACTCAAGGGCGGTCCGGATGTCTTGTGACCCTCATTTAATCCTCTAAACCGTATTGATTTTTTGTTAAAAATCAGGTTTATTCAAAGCTTAAATGAATATGCAAAGTAAAACAATGTAAGGGGGTTAAATAATTGGGGGGTCACAAAACATCTGGACAGCCCTGTACTGTACACAGGTGGAGTACTGACCGAGCTATCTCCATGCAAAATGAAACCGTTTGCGATGACATTTTAAAAAAAGCCCTCTGCTTGAATCACTCAAAGTAGTGATGATGATAATAATAATGCCATTTGTTTACCCGGGAAAGCCGGAGTCCCTGCCAGTTATTAAAATTGTATGGCCTGGATTTGAAAATGATGCCGGCGCGAGGTGGCTGGGTGGCTTAGAGGTCACCGCCGAGATCCTGGGTTTGAATCCACTCTACCGCCTCTGATTGAACCAAGCGCGGTGTGTTCATGGTCTCCGTCCCATCCTCCATTGACTGCACAAAAACAATAGCATTGCGTAAAAATGTGGTTCCGCACTTCATAAGACATTTTTTTTCGCTCTGATGATTAAATATGTTAGTTTCACTGTCACGTGATGAACATTACTGTCATGTACAGAGTAGGCAGGGAAGCGCTGCTCGCTCCTGGGTGGACCTGGAGGCGACTTGGGTCGATCTCAGCGGTAGCTCTATGATATCCCCTTTCTTGAGTTGTTTTTTTATCTAACGTGAAGAGTCGCACTGCTCTGCAAGATATCCGAATGGATTCTTCGACTCAACATTCTGCTGAGAGGATAGACATTTTTGGGAGGAACAAAAACACACGAAGATTTACATTCAAAAAAATACTGGGCCTGGCCTGGTCCATCACTTGCTGTAGGAGCAGACATTGTAAATTTTAGGATGTTTTGTTTCCGAACCAATTCGTCCACGTACTGACTTGCTGGAGACATGACCACTCGTACCATTGTCCCTGAACCAGTATCCGCTGGGGTCAGCCCTTGAGCTGACGAGGTTTGGGTGTTGATCCACGACCTCCAAGGGACCCTTGCTAAACCCCCCCCCCGCCTCCCCGTAGGTGCCGATCAGATACAGAAGTCGTCACCCGTAGCTTGTTGGAATAATTCACCGCCGGCTAATTTTAGGCGTCGAGCGACTGTCAGTGTCCTCGACTCATAACGGTAGCAGCCATTATCGCACGTGGCCACTCACCTTGTTAATAGGCAATGTGCGTACGCGTGTACGGTGAACTTCTATCTGCACCATAAGCAGCCAACCGCGCTAATCGGAGGTGCGGGAATCACTTGGTAAGCCCCCTGCAACATGAAGCCGGCGAGCCGAGTTCACTTCACAACGTGAAACACAGAGGTGAGGACTGGAGAGTGGTGGCGGAGGAAGAGGACATATGGGAGGACAAATAACGTGGAGAAGTTTGGTACGTCAGCTGACCTGGCAATACGCTGGACCAGAGGGTGGATCATGACGACGGCGATGATCATGTAGTCCTGAGTCTTAAGACCTCTTTTTCACGAGTGTCCTATACACTGGAATATCTGGCCAATCCACTCAAGAGTGAGTGGCTTTACATGAGAGGAAACTGGAGATGCCTGGAGAAAGCCCATCATGCATATGAGAGGCAGACACTCAACACCGCAATACGTTTGCCATCTTGCAAGCCGTTGAGGTCACCCGTCCAAATTACTAACCGGCCGTGACCCTTCGTAACTCGTACAAACTAATGCGATTGGGCGCATTTGTGGCTATTTGGTCCGAGGCAGTGGAAACACACGTGCTACTCTCAAGCAAAGCGTATGACATGTTCAAATTGCCACCAGTATAGAGCGCGGTTTACAGAGCCTAATGGCAATGCTGGTTGCCCTTCAAAATGGTTTATTTTTTTAGTGCAATTGTTACTAATTGAATAACAATTCCGTGAAAGGTTTCGGGAGCAAGTGGGGGTGATCCCAACCCTCCCCAACCCCGCGACCTCCCATTTCCTCCAGCCACTGACCGCTCGTTACTTGCGTGATCTCGCACAAATCTGCGGGTTTCGTCTTCTCTTTATTATTTTATTCCCCCACCCAATTATATTTCAATTGTGCTCTCAGCACCGCGTCAAGAGACAAGGAACTTTCCATTCGCAACTCCGCAATGAGCACCCAGTGACCCTTTGCCGGAGAACGGAACGTCTGCGGAAGGTGACATCACATAATTTACTTGTGAAGGTCACGCCGTTTGATATCTCGCAAAGATTGTAGAGCCAAAACAATACAAAAATGAGTGGACATTGCCGGATGTGGCGTATGGTTCAGAAACGAAGTCAATAGCGGAATTTTTTAAACAAAAGCTGAACAGTCCACAGAAAAGCATTTACAGACGCATGCTTGGAAATACATTGAGGAAAAGAGGAACGCGCGGATTAGAGAGCCTACACCGGGTAACGGAATAATTTAAACTCTTAACAACAATAATTGTGCTTGGGCAGGAAACGTCATGAGAAATAACGATGGTCAAGAATAATGACGGAGGTACAGCAAAGCAAGAGGATGTCCATCTGAGAGACGGAGTGATGAATTCAGCTCGTGCGCAGGTGCCTGGTGCATGATTGCATTATAGGATCATGAGAGATGGCGGTGGCTTGGAGAGGCCTTCATCCAGCAGTGGATTGACCATGGCTAATGACAATAATGGAACATTATTTTTTATAGTATGTCAATAAATTTCGATTTAAAGCTTTCGTGACTGCAGGGATTCATCTTTTTTGGTTCTTTCGGTAAAGTCACGTAGAAGGGAAATAATAAAAAAATTAAAATAAAACATAATAAAATCATTCTCACGACGTTTCGGCCACAACGCAAGCAGCCGTCATCAGGTGAAGAACAGGTCTGTCGGGAAGACAGCGTCGTGAGAATAATTTTATTATGTTTTATTTTTATTTGATAATTTTCCTTCTACGTGACTTTACCGAAAGAACCAAGAAGATATGTCAATAAAGGCAAAATATTTATCACACCTAGAACAAGCCAAATTATTTTTAAAAATACGAATATAATTTTACGAGGGTTTTTGAGCATTGGTGACTAGAATCAGACCATCAACTCACTGCACTTGCAAATCCACTTTACTGACTGGTCATAATCGTTTTCAGCGACTTCATATCCAATTTTAACTAATACTATTGCTTTACAAAACAATGACCTACAAAAATTCAGGACCACTATACTTATTAAACAAATTAAATTAAACGTCAAATTAAACAATTTCATATAAATTTATATGACCGGGTCATAGGAAAATAATGCCACATTTAAGTTTACTTCTCGTTCATGAATTGTAATGTTAATAAAGGCAGTATGGTAGTTCACAAATAATATACTAAATCAAGTAAATGACATTTGGTATTCGCACCATTCTTACACCATTGTCATCACAAAAGGAACCATGTTTCACAGGCAGTCTGTGGTATGATAATTGGTTCTTTACCCTTCTATCTGGCAACAAAACTGACACCTTTTTACAAGGAGTCATGTTTGCATAGACCGCAATACCTGCAGTCATAAATACAAACAAAAGACATAACTCTGATAATGTGCACTGTCCTTGAAGTTGATTGGTCCACACCCGAGACAGTGCACATTATCAGAGTTATGTCTTTTGTTTGTATTTATGACTGCAGGTATTGCGGTCTATGCAAACATGACTCCTTGTAAAAAGGTGTCAGTTTTGTTGCCAGATAGAAGGGTAAAGAACCAATTATCATATTTTTACTGGCAAATGAGGTCCCCATAGTGTAGTCTGCGGTATGTTCACAGCAGGGGGCGATGTTGCTACGTGTAATCCTAAATGATTCGTAGCAGGAGAATTTTTCAATTTTGGACAAAATTTAGACCCAGTGGCCCACTCATGTTCAATTATCCCAGGGGCTCTCTAACGTCCACATTCAAGCCGCGAACCTCTGCAAAAAAAAAGAAACGGCAAACACGCTACCGCTGGGCAGTGTCAACAATAATGTACTAATTGATTCATCCAGAAAAGTCTCACTAATGTTTTGCAAGGAGGGACCTACGTTTGGACGTTTGACCAATTCAATTAAACGCGTATTGTGGCCAATCGTGAGAGAACCATAGCACCTGGATGATTCTCATCCATACGACGGGACAACACTCAATCCTCTACGCAAAAGCATCGCTGTATTTCCAACTCCTGACCGCTTCGCAGCCATGTTTCACACATTCGAGCATATGCTCTAAATTGGATTGCTTCATCAAATCCTGCATGAAAAAAACCGATGCAGTTCATAGTAATAGGTTTTTAAATCCTTTGTATTAACTTCACTTGCTTGCTGCTTGTGCGCTTGCGCGCTTACGACCGTGAAAATCTTTCGGTCGTTTTTTAACCCACTTCCCGTGATCCAATCGAGCTGACATTTTCCACACAGACTCGTTGTGCGTGACAATTAATTTTCGTGAATTTTTTTTTCCAAAATTTTACACTTTTTAGGAAAAAAAAAGATATTTAATTACCAATTGCTTAATGGTGGCAGGCAATCATCTGACCCATAGGTGGCAGCCATCTCAAGCCAGAGGACGAGAGGACTCTAGCCGCCACGCATATAAAAGATTTATAGTGAAAGACTTTGTTTTTACGGTTTAATTTTTACCCTTTCAACTGGTACAAAACTGACACCTTTATACAAGGCATCATGCAGTTCAGTTTTAACTTCACGTGTGTGTGGTGGCTGTGCATCCTGGCATTGACAGCACAATCACGCTGCATTTCGGATTTGCCCCCTTGCGAAGCTACGCGCGGGAGAGGTAGTTTTTACTTTTCATAGACGGAAGATATATTGCATGCGTGCATGCGTGCATGCATTCATCCGTGGCGAGCCCTGACCCTTCCCGTGGGCCCATGCATCGTTTGGAAGTGGATGATGGTGGTGTCAATGGAAGGGAACGAGGGAAGTCAGAACCTTGGGGGGGGGGGGGGGGGTAGAATAAGCGGTTAAGAATTAAGCTGCTGTTACGATGGCTTTCGCTAAAATAAAAAAAAATCATAATCGCTACCATGTGCCAAGTTCCTGTGCATTGTACTTTTTGTGTTTACAATGAGGCTCACACGTTGATAGATAGAAACACGTACACAAACCGGCCTCATTGCTGCATGGATTAAGATCTCCCCACGCTGTGCAGATCGTGGATGTTATTTTACCATACCTTGTGCCATGCTGGTCAGTGTGGAGTGATGGTGTAGATCATATCCATTACGGTACAACAAATGATGCTTTCCGCACTGTGCGTTGCTGGCCACCAAGTACCTATGACAACCAGTTGTGCCAGGGCAAGTGCCCCCTTTTAAGCAATATCAAGGTTCGAGCCGGCTTGGCTTCCAGGATCTAATGAGATCACAGACGCATTCTAGGTAATGTAGTCATTGGAAGAAGAAACTCCCAGCCCTATAAGCAGGCAGTACACAATAGAATAACGTCCAAAGACATTCGACTCCATTTCCCGATACAGTTGGTGAATGGGGAACACTGACATGTGTGGAAAGCTAGATTGTGCGAGTGACGGCTGTGAAAGCAAAGCCTTGGAGCATTGGTGGCAAGAGCGATAATGATGCTTACCGACTTACTTGACAAAGGTGATGAGATTGAGAATCTACATCCTATGTCATTGCGATCACGAATTAATGCCACCAGCAACGGAGCTTGACCAGTTAACCTGTGAATTGAACTGGGAGGTTTCTCTTTATTTGCGGCCACCTGGAACGCTCTTCCTTCTGATATTTGGAAGCCACTGGAGCTATGCACTTTTAAATCATCTAGAATGAAAAGTCATTTATTTAGAACCGATTTTTGTGTTTAATTTATTGTCCTTACCCCGCACCTCCGATTAGCATGGTTGGCTACGTATGGTGCGAAAGAAGTTCCACGTATATATATTGGACGAGAGGCCTCCGTAGCAGTTTGTATGCCACAAAAATACTGGACGTCAACTGTGTAGGATTTCAACGGTTGTGCTGGATGGCTTTTCCCGATGTATTTTTGGGCTGTGCGATGCTTCCTGGCACGTGCCGGGTGCTTTTTAAATGAACTCAGGAATTGGGCCAATTCATTTCCTGACGATGTCCTCGAGCGCGTCGAGCGATTTGTCGGACACAAGCCGAACACCACGTGGTCCAACCCCAAATATTTAAAAAAACATCCTAGAGATTTTGGATGTCAAAATTTTTTACACCGCGACCAACAGGGGAGAGTGTGATTATCAAGCCTGTAGCCAGCGGCATGTGTTCAACTCCCAGTTAGTGTCGTCATCCAGCAATTGTTGCCCTCGTCGACCTAAAGTGAAGAGTGACGACACGGTGACTGGGTGGGCCAGGGGTGAGAGCACTCAGCCGGCACCGCCTGGGTCCTGGAATTAAAATCCGGGCAGCCATTCGCGATTACAGTAACCTGGTTTCTTAAGTGTGGCGAGTTTATAGTGTCAGCCCAGTCACTAATAGCTGCGCAAAACAAACATTACACTCGATGTGTTTTGTGCACCAATAGCTGCACACTTAAATTCGATGCCTGCTCCGAGAATTCAACATCAAATGGTTGATTGGCGTGTGAGAAACGCATGTTGACCGTGTCCCTGGGGTGGATACAGACTTCAGAAGTAGGTCTGTGATGCCGCCAATCAGGGCACTCTACTCGCATCCAGAGCTCCAAATGGAAATGTCTTTTATCTCTAAAATGTCACGCAAGTAGAACACTCTGGATATAGTTGTGGTGTCGGGGGTGGCGGGTTATGGCCAACCCACAGGTGAATCCCATTAATCGTTTTCAGGAGTCCTGCACTGAGATATTTGGCAAATTCCATCATGAATGAGCATGTTGCATGCTTGGAGGACACTATAGTACCTACAGAAAGCAGAATGTAACAAAGTTCCGTACAGATAAGATTCAGTAAATCATCAATGTACTGCCATCTCGTGGTCGTGTCACGGCCACCGCAAACGTGTGGCCCCTTTCACTGTTCGACACAACCCCCTGAGCGAATTGAGGGAATTAGTGAATAAGAGGAGACGCACAAATGGTTGAACCGTGAGAATGTTCCCCTTGACTGACCCGGTCTCACCGTGACCCAGAGGTAGGCTCAGACTGCCACCAAGCGTCTAGTTGGGGCAGGAGCAGCAGAGGGAAATATAGAGGGCAATTTTGTCCACCAGAGGGCAATGAGTGCACAGAGCAAGATAGATTTATATTTACCACCATGCGACTAAGATCCAGGTCCAGCAAGCAGGTGATGAAATAATTTCCGCAACAATAACAAACGTTGCATTGTTACACAATTACCCAGTGGCTTAATGAAAACTACGATCATTAAGCAGATACACAGGATTGCAAATGCATCAATAAAACTGGACGAGTGGTTATTAACCTTTACTGCAGCCTTGCACCCCCCCCCCCCCTTTTGGTTCTGAATCGTAAAAAAAAAGTGAAACAAAGTAGATGTACTGCTTAGTTTGTGTTATAGATTATTTACCTTCTAAAACATCTGGCATGTAACCCACCCCCATAAGGGCATCTCGCACTCCCATGGTGTGCGTGCAGCCCGGGTTAAGAACTACTGCACTGGACTATGAAAAAACATGTTACACAAACTTACGACAATAACACGAGTGTAGCGCATTGGCCATGATCGATAACACTAAAATATTGGAATTGTGCAGTGGATGAGTGGCGTCGTGGTTAATTAACTTCGCTATGAACCTGAAAAACCCGAGTCGGATTCCCGGACAAGGTTAACATTCGTGGCGAGTGGTATCTGAAAGAATCCTGGGCCCCACTCTCACAAGCCTGCACTGATCAGTGTGGTGTAGTATGGTTAAACAAGCTCGATGACCGGCAGGATATTGGGAGATTTTCGTTCCACAGTGGATTGACAAAGCGATGTCGATTGTGTTTAGTAAATTATCTATATACTGTTGAACCAATAAGTTTCACAATGTTTTACAAACTTTTAATGAATTCATATAACGATTACTGGATGAATTAGTCGTCATCATTACTAGTATATCATGCACACTCCCATGATCTGCATTGGAAGCTTACAGAATTCACCACATGTTCATTCAACACGAGTCCATGCTATAAAAAAAATCATACGGTTTCACTTTGAAATAAAAGACCCATTGAACATAAACTGACTCGTATTGAAACAATGTGTCAGGTGCTGATAAAAAAGGAGGTTAATGTCAAAGAAGGGGCATTGGAAAGATGGGGGGGGGGGGGTATGCATGTTTTCGAATATTCTCGCAGACTCTGAAATCTGTTTTTCACACGAGAAATCTGAATTTCACTAAAAGTCACATGGCCCGCCAGCTGACAGACACCGCAAACCTTTGTTGTCTTCTAGGAACACAGATTCCATACAATACAAGGACTATATCCCCCCCACCCCCAAACCAGCTCCCTTGCCTGCACATTGGTGTACATTTGTGCAACACAAAGCCTGCCCGCCCATCCTTATCTCTGGCGACAAGAAAAAAACAAGCAACAGGAATTCTCTATGCACTGCTGAATGAATGACTGCATTAGAAGGAGGTACTCGCATTCATGTGAACGTTAACAGCCCTTACGTCAACGCCAACAAGTTCCCCTCGGCCAATTGGGTGCCATAAAAATGACACAGACGCCATCTCTGCGAACCGCCTCCAGGATCTTCCACTACTGGATGAGGGCCGACTCACACAGTGCAGGTCTTGTGGGTTATTTGACCATAAATCACCACGCTGGTCAGTGAAGTTGAGAGAGCATTGATGTTGAACAATAGAAGTGTAGTACTGTACAACAATGGATTTTACTGCACTGCCCTCTGCTGCGAAAAAGAAAACAAGTGTAGTCGGTGAATGTTTTACTTCCATTTTCTGCACCCTCTCTTGGAGAGCCTTAATGCCGGGTGAAAAACAGCATTTTATTATAGCAATGTGCAACACTCAGAGGTCAAAACACGTTCGGCATTTTAAACTCGGCCTGTGACCAATGAAGAAGGTTTATCATCAAAGCATTTCACGAGTGGTTTTATATCATAGGTTTAAATTTTATTCAAAAATCTGTAATTGCAGATATATACAGTACTCTGCAGGCTAGGAAATTAATATACTGCACTGTAAATACACTTACAAATCAAAGCACTTAAGTGGAGATGCACTGCATTGAATACTCAAACGAAGTTTCGCATATAAACGCGTAGAAAAATATACATTTCAGATATGACAAAAAAATGTATAAAAAAAATACTTAACGTGTATATTAAAAAAAGGTGCTATTGTAATACTGAAAACATCGGACCCACTTGCAGACAACCCCACGGCGCTCGGGAAACATTTCGTCGTTGGGAGACGCGGCACGAAAGCGGTGAATTCCCACCGTCGTGAACACGGCACACAACGCTCCCTCCATTGTCCAGCTTAGCATACAACAGCTGTCCCACCACAATTCAGGGGATGAATGAATAAATCAGCCAAAGGGTGATCACGACACTATACTTTTGTTTTTGCTGACATGGCCAAACCCAGTGTGGCTGTTACATCAGATAGCACCGTCTCCCACATGCCGGACACAAAACCTTGCCACCTCGGGCATTGGCACCGCAATAAGTGGACAAATAACAGTGGGCAGAATCTATGTGAGAATGGTGCCGTCATCTTGGTGTGCAGAGCATGCCGGGGATTTCCTCTCGTGATTTAGCCGTCAAAAAACACGTCTCTCGTGTTAATCATCATTAACTGGATATTTTTTGTGAGCTTACTAAATTGCCTGCTTCCCCTTCTCGTTCATTAGCCACTGCTGTTGCCCAATGATTCACGGGGCAATGATGAAGTGACACTGTTTTAAAGCAGTGTTACAGTGACCTCCCGTGAACAATACTAGCCCCCCCCCCCCCAGCGGCCCAGGGTCTATACAATAGAGAGTTGTGATTACTGTTAGACATGCAATCGTTAACTTCTCAGAAATTCCATAAATTGTCATGGTTTAGTGTCACAACTCGATTCAAAAATCGATCATTTCTTGTATTGGTTTGACGCATGCCGTTGACAATATTGGCTCGCTTGCATTGTGTTGCATTGTTTGTGGCATACTGAGACTAATTGTAGCATTATCAGCACATGATTTGCATGTTTCACGTAACTTAAGTGTAAGAATGTATGTTAATCGATGCGTTGTTACATACCTAATTTTCTATGGTATTACTACATTTAACATCATTTTTAAACTGTTGTGCTGGTAAGCAAGGAGACAATGACATCTGATACTTTGACCATGATGTAAGTATTCCAATTGCCTCTCTCCATAGTAAAGAATGCCATCGATCCTTGCAACAAACTCAGGGCATGACCATTCAACAAACTCTGCAGTGATCGTGTACAAACCAATTGTCAAATCTGGTCACAAACGTTCATTGCACACCGCCCGTGCTCCGTTGTTAACTCGCTTTGTCGTCGAAATAATGCGAGTGGACATATACCGCGTCACCACAATCTAACGGGCCTATTGGGAATCAACTGAAACTCGTTCTCCTGGAGGTGAAAGCGATCAGCGTGTAACGCAATGCTGGCTCGTTGTCAGCTGCATCTCCACGCCCAGTGTGAACTTCACACAGCGGCCAGTCCCGGGTTAGCTCCGTACAGCAACGACCGCGTGGCATCGTATGGTATACCCATTCAGACGCTGTATTTCCGACAGACCTGTTCTTCACCTGAGGACGGCTGCTTGCGTTGTGGCCGAAACGTCGTGAGAATTATTTTATTATGTTTTATTTTTATTATTTTATTATTTCCCTTCTACGTGACTTTACCGAAAGAACCAAGAAGATCGTATGGGGCGTTCAAGAGATGACTTGTGACTTTCAGTATTTTCAGTGGTGTGTTATTTTTTTGTTACCGTTCCTTTTTTTTGCTCTTAAATACTTGCTACAAAATAAAGAGCAACAGCAATAATACAATTACAGCCCCTAAATGGGCATCGTGGAAATAATTGGCTTTTGTTAAGGTCAACAGATTCACCAGGGTAGCCCACCCCCTGAATGAGCCCGCTATTTCGAGGACACCCTATTGCTCAGAAACAATCGCTGCACCACCGTCACTTCGCCCTGTACAATGAGCACCAAGTTTGACGAGCACCATTTGCGACTCCCGCTTGTTACTTATTAAAGTGACAAGAACAACAAGTAAAAATGCCAAGTTCATCATGTAAGTCACATTGTGCATACAAATTATGGACCGCTGAGCTATGCGTCACACAAGTCAAGCGACACCAACCTTGCAAGAAGTGTAAACCGTGGTCAGGCCTGTTCGAAGTGCACCGTCTATCAGGGACGAAGCCACACTTTCCAAGTAGGGGGGTGTCCTCCAACTGGCACATTTTTTCCCCGGTGGTTATCGCTGAGATCACAGATAGGATGCACCAAGTTCATCCCCACCTCTGCGGCACAGATGAGTTCCTACTGCACAACTACTAGTTCCCGTCATCAGCATTATCAGCATTTATCACCTTGTGGACGGGAGAAATACGCAGACCCCCAAAATGATCGGGTTTTCGTCGAAAACTTTGTGGGGTCTCTATAGCCGCATCTAAAATATTTTAGGGCGTGTGAACACTCACGACAGCTGCCAGTTGCTCCCCCCCCAGCTATCTGCAGCAGGGATCTGTTCAATGTGAGAGTTGAGCTAAAAGAGATGGTCTTTCTACCATGTGTCCGAAGTGCTCTCCCACACTCCGAACATCGCTCACTAAATCACCGCTGTTCAATTACCGTTTCGCTCTCCTTGTACCACATTAGAGGCCATGCGATGCACGGCTGACAGTGTGCACAAATTGGTACTGTACAAGCACTGCACGCACAAGGCAAAACCGTCCATGGGACTTGTCTAAGAATTCTGCGTCACGGTGCGCTCCGGTGCGCTGTGTGCTACTATAATACTGATTTAAGCCTTTTGCTGAAAGAAATTCACCTCCCTCGTTTCCAGGCTTCATACAAGCAGCCGGGGCTGGCTGTGCGACTGATCCATCAGCCTCAAGTCGCTCATAAATGGGGCTGCTGTGAAGATTTAAATTCCACGCGAGATCTCCCAGAGTTCATCGCCTTCCATTCCCACCGCATTTGGAATTCTACCACTCCTCCACGAGAAATCTTTGAAGCGGAGCGCACGCGCTCATCACCGCGTCACGGGCGGCAATCTGTCTCTCGTCTTCCTTCATATGCACATTGAGAGCCCTTTAAAAAAAGAAAAAGCAGCCTTTTTAAAGCTTGCACCCATGAGCAAGTATGAATAACACATCTTTACAATTTATATATACATGACACGTACGTTACGTGTATATATATTTTTTACAACTTTTCTGTCAACCTTCTGCTGGATGAAGGTCCCCCCCATGCCTCTCTGCCATGAGTTGCTTGACCATACTTGGCCACGTTGGTCAGTGCGGGTCGGTGAACGGGTAGCCCACGACCAGTGCGGTGACCAACGCCGCTGGTGTCGACTGTGGGAATCGAACTCGGGTCACCTGGTTCATAGCGCAGTGCACCGACTGCCTACCCTTCCCTCCCACCTACATGCAATTGCACTCCATAATCTAGTACTGCGGGATATTCAATGTGTTGCTTTTTACCCCTTTCGTAAAGTTCCTTGGCGTAATGTATTTGCCGACAATATTCTTCACAAACAGCATTACGCCAAGCTTTGGGGAGATCACTACTTAATCGGGGTAAAAGAAAACCGGTCAACTTACGAAAAACCGCCGATTAAATTTACAACATAAGACTGCACTCAAGTCTCTGCTGCAATACTGCTAAAGTTGGGAAACCAAACCAAATAGCAAAAAGGTGCAGCCTTGCAATACATGCCACTGCTGGCAGAAGGGTCTCCCCCACTAGACTGAGCTACAGAAAGAGCCATTCCTAACGGTATTTGGCCTACTCTTCCATGCTAGCCAGATGCTTTGGAAGCGGTAGGAGTACCCACACAACCTGCCCATCTATTAAACTGGTGTGCTGATTTACACCGCTGGCTGCACAGGGGTGAAGGGATTCAAGAACGCAAATTGAACTGGCGACTTTCGGATTGCAAATCCAGCGTGCTTACCATCATCGCACAACGGCATCGTCAAACCGAATAGCACGCGGAGGAAAAAAACGAAACACACTCACACACTTTTGCAATGATGAGACATCACAGAAACATTAATAAAAGGGGTCGATAGCAATATCCCAAAGAACAATCGTTCACTGCCACTGCCGCCCCTTGCATGACCCCTGTTGACCCCCCATGAGCCCCACTTAAAAGATTCGATGCTCTGGTGGTGTCTTCGTGCTGCTGCTGCTGCCGCCGCCGCCGCTGCTGCCGCCCTCTGGTTAATAATTGGAGCAGTTTTTCAAAAACCGATTCGGTTTCACGCCCGCTGATGTAATTACTGAAGCCGTGGCGCAATTTGTAATAATAATATAGAATACGAAGAGGGCTCACTCATGGCTATCGGTGGCATTTTCAAGTAAAAAAAAATAAAAACGAATGGGACACTGTCGGGGATGCGTTGGTGCATATGTTACGTCTACACAGGTTAAGTCTACACATGTTACATCTACACATGGTACGTCTACACACGTTACGTCTACACATGTTACGTCTACACATGTTACGTCTACACATGTTACGTCTACACATGTTACGTCTACGCTGCCATTAATTTTACAAATTGAGCAAGCCTCCACACAGTGGAGTGGCACATTTTAAAGGGCTGTTTTCTCTGTAGATTTTTGCAAACTATGGATGAAATAAAACACATTTTCATTATTAGTTTAGAGAGCTTCCTCGAAGAGCAATTATTTCCTCTTCCCTACAATCTGTCATGATTTTCTCAACAGAATACACACTTGGCATTGTTTTAGAATGGAAGCATAATTGATTGCATGTGCCCCGTTATGACGCTGCCATGGAAATATGCGTGGGAGGAGGTAAATTATGCACATGGCGCGCAACATTTGACGTTTCGCCAACGCTCGGGTTGAGCACGGACGCAGCACCGGACGTGCACGGGTTAGTCAACGGGCGCAAGATAATTTCAGAGACTCGGTCGGTCAAGCGCACAAGCATCCAAATCGTTTCCATGTACACCTCCATGCCTCTTCACCACGTGTACGCTTTTGCGTTTGTTTGCTTTAGAAAATAATTCCCTGTCCATTGCTACTGGATACACTTCACACCTGCCCAATGCCTTCGCCGCACCATAATGGATTGGTGTCCCGCCCTGTGGTTCCTGGATTAGGCGGCTCTCTTAACCCCGGTGAACTCTGCAAGAGGGACGCCCTATTGGGGGAATACCAGACAAGCGACCGTATTTGTCGGATTACATTGCAGAACAAAGAGAGGTAAGAGCGTCAAAACAAGGGCCATGCTGACCACTAACGACTTTGACGATGAATGCTAGGCTTGACTTTCAAATGGCCTGCACTGAAGCCAACGCTGCCCACATTTGGTCTTCCTCTCATCTATGTATACCACTTTCTCATGAACCCCTTCCAACTACAACCATTGCGGGCACATTATAATACAAGTTACGTAAAAATAAGCGCCATCTGCTAATTCACATATATATATATGCAAAAAGAACAACTCCTAAGGCACCCATCATATAGAAGCAGGCCATGCGGCGGTGGTGTTGGCAATCTTTTGTGGCGAAGATTTTATGGCGATTCACCGGCAATCGCAGCGACGCTGCGGTTGTCCCTTTGCGAGAGCTTGCCGGTCGCCCACCTTCGTTTTTTGACGAGCTTCGAAAATAGTCAAGGCATTGCTTGGCGCGAGGACGACGTAATATATTTATGTATAGACGTGGAAGCCACGGTTCGAAACCAAGGGGGCCGAGGGGAGGGGGAGTAGCTCCACGGGTCAAACCACAAACTCGGGCAGAGACTCGTCGTCCAGCAAGGCCATGGCGGCAGACGACGCGGAGACTGCGGGCCAGGGTCGCCCCGCTGGGAAGGAAGTCTCCGGCAGTTTTGACGTCTTCGCTCCGAACGCCGGGCGAGGGCACCGTCCCGTCTTTGGACTCTGGGCCTTCTGCGCAGCCTGGCCCGAGATCACCCCGCCCACCACCCCCACACGCCCACCCGTCACGGACAGTCGAGAGAAGATTGGGTGCACAGTCAATGGGCGCACAGCAATTGTAAGGACTCGATCAAGCGCACAAACAGGTGACGTTTCGCCCAAATACAATCCGTGTCCGTCAAACCGTGTAAATCTCACCTAAAATGCAAGTCTTGTGCTCCTCCGGTTTAAAAACTTAAGTTTGGTGAATATGCTTCTGGATATGCTGGCAAACTGCCCAATGTCTTCACCGGGCAACAACTGATTGGTGTGGCCACCCCGTGTTTTTTCCCATTTAAATCCCGGAGTGGTAGCAGTGTGGTCCCGGGCTTGAAAAGGCTGTCGTGACGAAGTTGGGGTGTGCGTAAGGCTCGCTGGAATGCTTGCGGCTCAGCAAGAAATGTGCAAGATTGCTTCTCAAAAAAAAAAACCCGTTAAGTGCAGCTCTTTTCAAACCAACAAGAAATGAGGCATGCAGAAATGTCATGCAGAAAATAATCGAATGACAAGCGAAGATGTATGGCAGGAAATGGAATTGCCGTGAAAATATACATGCGTGCACGCTCCATGCCACTGAAAAATGAGGCCACACTCGGTGTTCACGTTCCTCATTTCCGTGAGGTCTCGGTGCAGTGGAGGAGAGAACGTACCTGCCCTTTGTGCGAGGACGTTATGCCTGGGCTGCCTTGCAGTAAATCCGGAGACTCTGATAAGCCACAACTCAACATCTTTACCACCAGCCCTACAATAAAACATGATATATTAGTAATAATAAATTATGATGTATTTTACGGTCACCAACCATGTAAAAAATAAAAACCCTATACCTACCTGACATTTCACTAGAATTCATGCTTTGCACTGGTGGAGCTGATAAAGCGGCAATGCTGAAGAGTAATAGCAAGTGCTCTGAGCCGGCCACTGCTGAGAACTGGGTTCAAATTCAGTTCTTTTCAGGGGCGCTGTGATTAAACCAAGGTTCTCGAGTGAAGTGAGTGGATGGTCTCAGCCCGGTTACAATTGTGTACAAAAAATCATTATAAAAGAAAAAACATTTTCTCAACAAGGCTAATATTCAGTTGTGAGAAGTAAAAATAATTAAGAGAGTCATTTAGCAAACATGTCTTTGTCTGTGCAGTAAATGTGAAAGTGCAGCACCCCCTAAGTGCGTGCCGAACAGAGGCCGCTTGAATAGATCTCAGAAGCAGTTCTATACCATCTGCTTCCACTGGCTCTTTCTCCAACGGTGGCTGATGCACAGCTGTGAGCGATTTACAAATTGATTCTTTGGCCAATAGCGCAGTAGGAATAAACTGTGGGCGTGCATGTACATTCGTCTTTACCGGCGTGCGTGTTAACACAGGGAGTCTCCAGGTCCTCCTGGGTCACGTAGATGTAGGTGGAGGAGATGGAGTCATCCGTGCTGTCCGCTCGCTGAAGGAACACCAAGTCGCTGGGGTCGTCCACCAGCATCTCCACTTCTGGACGAAAGGGAGGACAAAGGGGCAGGTCAGGGGGTCACGACAGGTCAGGTGGGTCACAAAACCTCCTCGTGGAATGCCCACTCAAGAGTCGGCGAAGCAGGGGCAGACCGAGACGCACTCAAAGACGATGTCGCGTGGTGCATTGAGTAACGTCGCGAAATGACGTCACAAATAATGAAGTCACTGCGAGATGCGCCCATGGCGTGTGATGTCATCGCTTAGGCCGAAAAGACATATTTGTTGTGCACACAGGTGATGTCATTGCGAGGTTTGTTCCTCTTTTTCCTCACCGAGCCCTCACTATGTACGCAAAAGTCCAAAACAGTCACTAATACTCAGCATCGCAACACCATTCTAATGATTTAGCACCTTGTCTCCTCTTGAAACACATTCCCAATTTGAAAACTACCTCAAATTTGAGTGAATGCTTTCCCCACGATAACTGCCAAGCCAAAGGATCTCCAAACTTCAATGAGCATTGGACAGTGGTCAGCCCAACCGGCGGTACCCCGAGCCAGTGATAGACAATTACACATTCAGCGCCAGCGCCAGTCCCTCCACATAACACCAACCAAACCGTTCACTTCCCACAAAGTGGCTGCCATTTCATAAGCCACAGAGCTGCGCCAATCGCACCGAACTGGGATTCAAAACACACAACCCCTTGTGAGACTAAAATCGACCGTCGGTGCAGAGTTTGAACCTTTCGGACTTTCCGTTCGCGAGTCGAGTGGCTCCACCACAGTTTAAGAAGAACACGTTGGGCAGGCGGGTGGGCGGGTGGGTGGGTGGGTGGCGGGGACGAAACGGAGGCCCTCACCGTGGAGAGGAGAGTCGCCCTCGGGGTGCTCCTGCCCGGCACTCCCGACGCCGGACGTGTGCGAGCTGCTGTGGCTGTCCACCGAGCTGCACGCCTGCAGGGGCCCCTTGCGCCCGGCGGACACGCACGACATCCTCTCCGAGCCGGGACTCCGCTGAGGCGGGGCGGATGGACGGGATGGACCGGGGGGGGGAGTCAAGATCGCCAGGACAAACAAAGTGGAAAAGGCAACAGTTAGCAGCCGCGAATGAGCTTCGATCGCGGGCAGTGGGTCCCGAGGCAGGCCAAAGACAACGGACGTGCAGCAGCCACGTCGATTGAAATATCGCTGCAGGTAATAGGCACCCCTAATATAAGCACAGTTCTGATATAAGCAACACAACCTTCTATATACTGGTGGTGGGGGAGAAGGCATAAGGCAACTTATGACGTCAGCGCACTTTGGTTATAAGCACACACGATCTTGCTCCTAAGGGGGGTGTGCTTTTATGCAGCTTCAAATGCACTTAAAACTAATCTCCCAGTTGTGCGTTTGGTAGCATCTCGCGACGACTGTGGCCGTGCCTGGCAGTTGTCGCCACAATGGATGGACGATGTCTTGTCTCAGCCATGTACCTTTTGTACACCCTGGGAGTTGCTCAATGTCTCCTGCATTGCAACTCGCAGATAGCAGCGAGGCGCTGCTCGTCAAGCCGTTAATCCTCAAGTCTGCCCATTTCTCTGCCTGCTCTCTCCACTATCTCTGTGACAAAATTGTGTTCACGACGATGGCACCTATGTTTTTTTTTTCAAATCGTGCTTGTAAAACAAGACCAAAAGCAGTCCCAGGTGCGTTATTTACAACGTCAATGCAATTTGGATTGCAGGCATGTCCCACGTGACTCGAGATTAAGGTGTACCCCAGTACTTAAGTAGAATTCTACTGCCTCTTCACTGTTCAGCAATGATTACAATTGGTTTGCTTCAAACCGCAATACAGCAATACCCCGGAATTCTAGGACGTCAAAGTTACTTGATATTGACAGCATAGGTGAAGTAGCCAGTGGCTCAGTAGACTAATACCACGTGACAGAGCCACTGCTAAGACCCTGGGTTCAAACCCGGGTTTCAGCCACCTGTGATGAAACTGCAGTTTCAAGTGTAGCGAGTTTTTTGTCTTTGGAGTCAATAATTCCACGATAAAACATAGTGAAGTTGGGTTTCACTTACTTAAACATATTCCAGCTCACACAGCATTAATTTTGGTTCAATTGCCAAATGATGAACTTTGTTTTCAAGGCATACAAACGGTGTACCTACAGTATGGATACAGTGGCGATTTAAAGTGACTTCAGAACAAGTTGTGTGAAAATAAATCTTTTAATTCTCAAGAAAGAATGAAGTTGAGGGCCCAAATTGGAGTTTCACTGGTAAAATTAATGCAGTACAGATATTTCAACAAAGCATAAGGAACAAAAAAAGTGCGCAAATGGGCGTGGAGAGACGTATGATTACATTGAGGGACAGAAAGATGAATAGAAGGATTGGAAAACGTACATAGGTTAGTGACATCATTCAAACTCCAGTCTTAGGTGGGCCTGGGCAGGATATGTCTTCAGAAAGGATGATGGCCGATGAGCGGGCAGAACAATTGACTGGCAGCCAAAGGAGGGAACGCACCCAAGGGGGCGTTCACCACCAAGAGTTGAGCGACAAGATCAGCTCGTTTGCAGGTGCCGAGTGGATTGTTGAGTCACGGCACCATGACGGATGTCGCCGCTTGAGAAGGCCTTCATCCAACAGGAGACGGCTCGTGCCCGACGATGACGACGACAACGCACGTAGCCTTCCATGCTAAACAAGGAGGCGCTCTAGAAAGCCTCGTGTCGCCTCGCGGTAATGACGACGACTTCACGCAAAGAGTTAAGAAACGGCAAAGGAAGGTTCGCTTTCAACAAGAGATCGAAACGTCGCTCACCAGGAAGCGCGAACAGGGCTCCTTCCCCGGCTGCGTTTTGGCGTCCGACTCGATGCCCGACGTGTTGGTGCTGCCAACGCTGCTGAAGGAGCCAGCGCCAGGCCCGTCCGGCCGCGATGCCGCCCGCGACGACGCTGCCGTCGCCGCTGATGGTGCCGCCGCCGCTGCTCTCGCCGCTGCTCTCGCCGCTGCTCCTGGCCCTCGATCCCAGCCGCTCCAGCTCCATCTCCAGGGCGTCGCTGATGTAGGACTCGCGGTATCGCTTTTGCGCTGAGCGGTGAGCGGGCGGCGGGGAGATTGAATGGGGGACAAACGAAACGTCGTTGATGCGCCCACCAGCGGTGCCCGGCTGGTGTGTATATATCGGTGTGTGCATGTGTACATATGTGTGTATAGATATAAATATATTGTTAGGGTGCGGAAGCCCGTGTAGGTGAAGGAGGGTGAAAAAAGGTAAAAAGTGCAGCCCTGCAGTTATTCGTTCATGTCACTGCTGGCGGAAGGTCCTCCATAAGAGAGATCCAGGCACCTATGATCAGTCACCACTGGCACCCAAAATTCATGCATTTTATATAAACTAAAGATTATTACTTTCAGATGGCGTATGAATAGCTTAAAATGTAGTGGACAAACAAGGGAGGGGAACCAAGCACATTTTAGCCCTTCAATTTTGTTTATTCTAGTTCGTGGTGAATATCGGCTGAAACATATTCAACCAATATACTCACACACCTCCGATTAGCACGGTTGGCTACGTGTGGTGCGAAATATTCATTTTAATTTAGAAAAATATGTTACTGGTGCCAAGGTGGGGTCCAAAAAATATTTGGAGAGTTAACAATGGGTGACAGGTTCCATCTTTGTTGCCAACCAATGGTCTACTCTCAGGCTCCATATCATAAACAGATGGTCATTGCCTGTGAGATCGGCAGTTCACGAGCATCGATTTCAAGCCAGCCTGACTCTGCTGATGAGACACCGTTGTCAAAACTGGTCCAGAGTTTGTACGTCTCAATACGATGCTGGTGAAATGATGCACTCCCAGAAGGCTGTGCGTCTGACGGATTGAGTAAGACTTTGATTTATGTAGAGAGACAGAAATATGAAGGAGACGAAATGTCTGCTTATTACTTTGTTATTTATACTCTCCACAACGATGCGAACCATTTACTAGAGTTGTGAAGTGCGTATTAATGTATGTTCATCAACTTTCGCATCGTACGTAGCCAAACGTGCTAACTGGGGGTGCTAAGCAAGTCTATAGGCAGACCGGCCTCCCAAACTTATACATGACGACCGGAAGCGTTCGTTTTGGGCACGCAAACTCTGGACTCACCCTCGGAGTCCTCGAGGCGCCGGAGATGTCTGAGCAGCGGCTGCACGGTCATGAAGAGGCGGTGGCTGGTGCTGAGAAGCAGCAGGAGGTGACGCGAGCGCAGCGGCGAGCCCGTGTAGAACACGAGCTTCCGGGCTGAGGGCAGTCCGTCCGGCTCCATCTCAAACTTCTTCCCCTGCGCACCAGCACGAGCACGATCGTCATTATCATCATCGTCAATGTCAGCCATGATCCATCCACTGCTGTTGAAGGCTTTCCCCCCCCCCTCCAAGCTGTCGCCATCCCCATTGTACATCCTGAAATGGCACTGCCAGTAAAAATAAACCGCTATCACCAAGCGGAGGGCCACGTCATGTAAGGGGATGGTCATGTGATTATAAAACCACATGCTTGTTTCCGCAGTCACATAAAAAAAACTTACCCAAGTAGGAGAGAGATCACTTTTGCGTTTTTCAGAAATGATTTCTCGATGAAATTTAAATAATTTCTGGCCACTCTCAAGCGACCAAATGGATGAAGGCCTTCTGATCCCCATGTCGGTTATGGGAGTTTTACTAACCATACTTCACCACGCTGATCAACGTGGGTTGGTGTAAGAAGGGAGCGAGGAGAACAGGACCGATTCGGATGTAACTTGCCACTGATGTTAGAGCCGTGGTCAGGAATTGAACTCGGGGTTGGTGACATACTCCACCCGCGGGTTCCTCAATACCAAGCATAAAACAATTAATTGATTTGGATGTAGCCCTTAGCAGTGGAGAATTGCTTATGCAAGGAAGTCAAGTGAGGCTTTAGATCTCGGACCGTAAGCCATGGCAGTAAAACTGGTTAGGACAACCGTTGTACCTTGCAGTGCCATCCAGAGATAGCATTACTTAACCCGCTTGATCTGCGCCCACTCAAGCCAAAGCCTGTTTGTAACCTCATTGTCTCGATGGGAAATGAAAATGACAAGGGCTTCTGCTCTGATAAAAATGTTATGCATGCACAAGCAAATGCAGCGTACAAAGTAATTTCTGAGTGTCATGAAAATAATAAATGGTAAGATGAACAGCCCAACTTATTTAAGGTGAAAATGTAAGTCGATATCCTTTAAGGAAAGGTGCTCAGAATGGAGAGGGTATTGTTTTCATAATAAAGGTTTTTGGGTTAGATCGCGTAAGTATAAATGTGTCGAAACCCTCCACCACAGGGCCAATCAGTAAACAAAACGCCAATTAGTTACTACTTCAACCCACTGGTGTGTTTGAAGAGTGAATCCACAACATTTACATTTACGCTGGTAATTACATCCAGCATCATCGGGCGATTTGCCAGATTAGTGTTAACCTGAGGGTATTGTTTTGTCCGGCTTGTTATGTTTTAATTATTAAACTGGATTTATGATTTATTAATTTAAAATACATTTCAGCCAACATGTGTGCATATTTTATATATATACTGTATATGCTGCAGAAATTAACACAGGTCGAATTATACAATTTGTGGGTATTTAGTTACCTAACGCGGTTACCCAATTCATCCACTTGGCTCCACAATATTTTATTTAAGCACAGGTCTCTCTTGAAAAGGAGACTATTTTGCGCAGTTGTTGTGTGCGCACAGCGGTGCAGGTTATTGCTTTCGGGAAGTGCGCAGTATTTCCTCGCGCGATGGTGATTGATGCCTTGGATTCAGGGGGGAGGAGGGGGGGGGGCATTGCTCCAGTCGTTCAATTGCAGCGGTGGCTGCAATTGAACGAACACAAGGCACAATGAAAATTAGCGTGGGTATTTGGAGACCTGAGACTAATTTCAGAAAAGGGAGCCTTGAATTTGAGACAGGCCCAACTCGGGCAGGCATTAAGCGACGGGAAGGTGAAACCACTGGGTTGAATGGGGGGGGGGGGGGGGGGAGGATGGTGGGGGAAAAACCCTCAATTAATATATACGGCACAAGCAATCACTCTCGAGGTCACTAATGGTTTTAAAGGAGAAAATATGGCACTTTGTGGCAGAAGCCATGAGCCAGTGGAAGCACAGAGCAAGATGGAAACTACTTTGCCTGGTATACACACGAGGTCGTGGGTTCGATCCCGACCCTGACACCTGTTGTGTATTTGGAATTTGCATGTTCTCCCCGTGGTGGCGTTCAATTTTCTCCGGGTCCTCCGGTTTTCCCCTCCACATTTAGAAACGTGCATTTAAGAGTATTCGTTCGGCTGCTATAAATTTCACGTGATAAGCCACTTCGTTGAGCTATCATTTGTGGCCAGGTCGCTTCTGAAAAAGAGCTATATAGCTCAGTGAGCCTTACCTGGTAAAATAAAAACTGTTTTAGTTTTAGTTAACGCTGAGGGCTCCCAAGCAGCTCAAAGGCCAAATAGATATTAGACGACCTCCACCAAGGCCATGTATGTCCACGTTCTCTTACCATCTTCTATCAATCCATCTCGTAACAATCTCTCCTATCTATGCAGTCTGTTTCACTCTTCTCTCATCTATGTCCAAATTTAAGACTACATTTAGATATTTTACACCTTTCATCTACACATATCTCGTCTACATATCTTCTCTCGTTTCACTACATCACTGTTGTCTACATCTCTTGTCAAAACAATGTATTTTTATTGTCTACCAACTGTCTGTCATCTCACTCGTGCTTGAAAAATAAAATCTCCTTTGGGCTTCCAAGAGACCAGCACCACCACTGCTGCTATAAACGAATTAATGAATCACGCTGGCATCGACCAGTCACTCCTTACCATGAATATGAGTTTTCCAACATTTGACCACGGGAAGTCGTACAAAAGCTGCTGGCTCTCGGCACTCAGTCCCTGTGCAGACACACACACACACGCGAATTGCAATCCCGCACACACAAAGCATTTTGGCATTTTGACATGTAAAAGTAAAAAAAAGTATCTCATAGGCAAAGTAAAAAGGCTGCACACAGGCACTGCCTTATCTGCGATCGTTCAGGGGGGAAATGTGCAATGCAAATTTAACCACCCATAATGCATTTTTTTATTAAATTGAATTAAAAACAAATGAGCTCCAGATTGTATCTACTGCCTATAGAACAATTTTTTTTTTAATCCGATGCATCATTAACGCTCCCTTATATTCAGGGATTAATTTCAGCCGGGTCTGCCCGTGGCAGCGGCCCCTGACACACCCCATCCAGTATACAGTACCTCTGACTATGGCTGCGGCTACGAGTCACGTGCCTAAAATATAAAAGCAACTCAACGATTATTACTTTACCAGGTAAGGCCCACTGAGCTATGTAGCTCTTTTTCAGACGCGACCTGGCCACAAATGATAGGCCAATGGAGTGGCTTATCACGTGGACCTGGAGAAAAATTCACTCGACCATGGGGGGAGTATGCAAACTCCAAATATAGAGGCTTCAGAGTTGGGATTAAACTCATGGCCTCCTGTATACAATGCAAGGTAGTTAACATGTTGCCACCCGTGGCGCCCCTAATATATACTGCATTAGGCTGACATTTCTGACAATGGCCTTACTTCAGAGCTAAGATAGGGAATTGAGTTGCACTGACCTTTTAGTTGGAGTTTGCATTTTACACTGAGGCCCTCAGAAAACTGGGGACTGTTGAGAAAGTTGACCAATGAGCAGCTTTGAATTCACATATGAACAGTTTACCATTTAGTAGACATTGCTTATCAAGCAAACCTGAGGAAAGTATAAATGGGAAAATTAAATAATTAAAAACTGATTTTCCATATTGCAATTCTTCAGTCGCATGAAATATATATTCTTTCAGATTTTCATATGTTCATATAGACCAATGTTCATGCCATTTCAAAATTGTGAATTCATCAATTCTATTATAAGTGTCCCAGTTTTTCCCAGCGTTCCACAGTATAAAGTGCAATTCCCGATTCTAAGTAGGTCAATCTACGCCCTCGCTTTGCTGTTTTAAAGAAAGTCCATTGCCTGAAACATCGTCATCATCGTCTATCGTTTCGATGCGAGGCAGCAACAGGGTGGTCATGGTGGAGAATTTGTTTTATTCACGATGGTGCACAGCTGCCCATTCTGTTCCTTAATTCACGGTGCTGTTTATTGTATGCGCATCGCTTAGCAATCCTGCCTGTCATAAGCAAGTCACAGGTTTCATATGTTGTTTTTAATAACAAAAAATGTCAAGACATGGTTTTTGTGTACAAGCGTATTAATTAGTTCATTCATTCATTGCTGTACCCTTTTGTTCCACTTATTATTGTGCAATCTCTAGCCAGAAGGTATGATGAAAAGGGACTGTATATTTTACACCATCATTTCGAGCAACAGCAGCACCTGGTGACACGTGACTAACAGCAACAGCCAACAGCAGCCACCATTCACCACTAAATGATGGTGACATCATCCCACAGCACGTCTGCCAGGCGAGGTGCACGTTGAGACCACGTGCTGTACCAAAGGCTCGCTGGGTTAACTGACTGAGATGACCGAGTGATGCACCACCGCTCCCCAAACATGCACACATGGACAAAACAAGTACTAATGTGCCCCGTGTAGCCTTTAACAGACTGCTGGGGGAAGTTGTCAGTGAGCACCCACAATGGCCAGGATGGTGCACGAAGGGGTGGTATGGCCAACACCATGCATATAGATTGACCTGTGCCAAGCTAGGTGCATTTACAAACGAGCACTATGAGACTCGCATGAAGGCGACAGCAGATGCATACCCGGGGGGGGGGGGGGGGTAAGAGGGAGTGGGGTCATTTGACTCCACAACTCAATTTTGTTTGACAGCCATCGTAAGGCCATTGACCATTTTAGAAATCTGTAATGTTATAAATTGCAAATAAGTAATGCATCACTCTTGATGTATACGCCTTATTAGAAACATTTAATTAAATAGAAATGAAAACTTAATTGACAGGCAATCAATATCGTTTCCTGAAATTAATGACTCTGCACTGCCGTTGAAACAATTTCCTCCCTCCAAATTGTTTCGCTGGGTGCGCCAGGGGTGACACCGCCGCACAAGCGATGGGCATTTGGCAAAATAACTCATGACCAGAGCTGATGTATTTCAGGCTGCCAGGACATCATAATTGCACATGGGGGACCAATAACGTGCAGATATGATGAAAGGTAAGATGTAACTTGCCAAGAGTGGGGAGTTTGGCCTGCAGGAAACTAATTAAATCTCTCAATTAAATCTCACTGAATTAGGTTAATTCAGAATCTTTAGTTATCTTGGAGAACGTCGTACTCAGATTGTAAATGTTCTGGCTTGGCTCTCCAACACACCGGTGTGCTGTACTAGTGACGAATTGGCACGTTCTGTTTACGTGACAACCCTTACTAGTTGGCTGTGTCGGGTGGTGGCGGGTTTTATCGACACATTTATATATTTACGCGATCTAACCCAAAAAAACAAAAACTCTATTATGAATGATATTGGTCACGAAAGCCTCCTACGTGTTAAACAGATATCTGATGAGCTATGAGCTCTATTCATCACAAATATACAGCATGAAGCTGATACTTAAAATCAAATTATAAAGCAATCGTAAAAATAAACTATAACTCTTAATTAACCAAATAGTGGATGGAGGGTTACCCATGCTGTGTCGGTCACGGGGGGTTGTCACCACGATGGCCAGTGAAGACTGGGCCAGAGGGAAAGCACTGGTCTAGTTGACCGTGGCATTTTTTGTACGCAGCATGGACGGGTTGTGCTTTTTCCGTAGGATTTTATTGTTTACGTATGTGATGTTTAGATTTGTGTACAATGAATTTTAGGTGTATCTTGTAATTTTATTGTTTGTTGCGGTTGAACCCAAATCAAGAGCCGAATGGCTCACAGTGTAAATCCTAATAAATTAAACTAAAACTGAACGTAGGTGATCAGGTTCATTGCCCAATCGTCCTTAACCGACTGAATTACAATTAGTAAGCCTAATCCTATGGTAAACAAAGTGTGATAAATGGGGAAAATAATGTGTAGACATAACTGACAAATCCTCGAATCAGTTCGCCTGGCATTTGTTTTTCGGGTGACAGGTGCCGCTCCATAGAGATCTTCGTGATTGACTCTGCAGAGTCCAGGAACATATGGCCACGTCTCATAGCGAGGTGGCATTTCAGAAATGGATTATAGCTTCAATCTGTGCAGATCTTTTGAGCGATATCCCCTTGTGTGCGATTTTTCTCTGGGTGCTCAACTGTCCTCCCACGTGCCAAACAGGCAAACATTCATGAACAGCATTGGACAAATATCCACAATGCGCAGGGCTCCTCAGAAAAATGAAAAAATACACTTTCATTGAGATTCAGTGAGATTCTCCTGGGTAAATAACCGACATTTTAATCATTATTCTTATTATGCTGCCATGGTTGCAATGGTGAGCACTGGACTAGCAATCCAGAGGTTGCCAGTTCGATTCCATCATCCGGCGCGTCCCGATGCCTTTGTCCATCCAGCAGTAAAAATGGGTCCTCCACAGTTGGTTGGACCAGCAGATATCTAGCCAGTGTGGAGTAGTAGGCCAAATACTCTCTATAGGTGTTCTCTAAAGCTCCATCTATTGGAGGCCCTCCCTGTCAGCAGTGTCTTGAGAAAGCAATTGCAGGGCTGCATCTTTACCTTTTGACCTTCTATTATTGTTATAACTGAAGACTCCCGTAAAAACGCTGCTGTGATAGAAGTTGGAGCAATGCGCAGCAGCACGAGGTCACAATGAGCATTTCCCAAAAGGTTTGGGAGAAACGGACGAAATACAATCCATTCGTCAAGTCGGCATTGGTTAATCTGGCATCAATCTGAACGGACTGCACTTGGTTGAGACAGCATCCTTTATAACGTGGCACACGTTGCTTTGTCACTTGGAGAGACCCAAGGTATTTCATCCCTTAAGATGAAAATAGAGCTGTTTACACCGATGCCAAGCATTATTGATGAATATCATGTTGCTCCACAAGGCAGGCGAGGAATGCCTGGCCCGAGAGAAAATTCCACCGGCTCATGCCGTCGTGGCTGCACGCACGCGACTCGCGTCCCAAAAATATATTCACCGACGATTTCATATTTATAGACTCGTTAATGTGGGCGCAACAAAGCAACCTTTGGTCTAAAAGAACTCTCCAGAAAGACTAAACAAAGGCCTCTGAGAACGCAGTCAGCTGTCCGTGGGGGTCCATACATGAAAGAGTCAAACTGTAAACATAAGAATGCTGACATGCCCCAACGAAACTCTAGACTGGTGAGAACACCAGAGACGGTTTAAAACTCACAACCGTTTTGCCAAAGTGGTCGTAAACAACAGGATGTGACCAACATGTGAACGCACTGTATGTGCTGTATATATATTTTTTATGGCTAACATTTCTTTTGAAATGTTATCCGGGGTTTATATAAACCGACCTTACCGCTCCAAATCAAAACCAGAAACAGCCACGAAAAATATAAATTCCACATTTTCCACGCCGCTGTTGCTAAAATCAAGGCCAGTGTCCGGTGAGCAGGCGAATGTCTAAGATAAATACATTAGCCCCCTGCACTGACCCCACTTCGTATATTTTCATTGCACATTATAGAGGTTCACTTTACATAGACTCTCGACCATCCAACCACCCTGGGCCCACACACCCTCGCACTATATAAACTACCACCATGGATTTAAAAAAAAAATATTACAAAAAACCGCTCTGGCTCAGTCCCAGGTTTATTCAATGTTTTCACTGCAGCCAAGTCCGCACCGCAGTGTTGAAGATTTGTTGATATTATTTTCGGGGTTCCATTGAATTGAGTGTTTGGGTAGGGGTTGAACCTGCTGTGTTAGGCACTGACCTGGTAAATCTGGAGACCTTTAAGAGTCAATCCTAACAGCAAAGTGGGTTCATCGTCTTTCTTCTCCTGGTGGAATGAGACAAAGACAAAGTGTAGCCTTCAGCAGATTGTTCGGGCAAGTGCTGTTAGCGGGCACCTATGAAGGCTGGCATGGTGCACACGAGGGGTAGGTGGCCAATGCCATGCCCAGCCACCTTTGTCTCCCAGTGGTGATGTTTTCACACCACAGCAGCTGAACGATCGCTCCAGAATGAGACTACACAAAACATTACCACATATGGTATTAATTAATATCACGTCACTGTATTAAAATCGACAACACATGAATGGAATCCATCTTGAAACAAAATGGAGCACCAACATCACTGAAAATCTGAACAGTGAATATTAAAATTTTGATTTAAAGCTTTCGTGACTGCAGGGATTCATATTCTTGGTTCTTTCGGTAAAGTCACGTAGAAGTGAAATAATAAAATAATAAACATATAAAACAAGATATAGATATTTTTTTCACTTCTACATGACTTTACCGAAAGAACCAAGAATAGTGAATATTTATTCACAACGCTTTAGTCTTCTGTCGTGCAAGTTTGAAAATAATTGCCGAAAAAACGCATTCAAACGTGAGGTCAACTAAGATTGTGGACATTCGGGAAGCGCAAGCATATAAATGTATACGTGGGACTTGACATATCAACTACTGATGGCGAACAGATAGACACAAAAGACCCCCGTATAGCCTTAACAGACTGTAGGAGCAAGTGCTGTTAGCGAGCAGCTATGAAGAAACAGGCACAGCAACTAAAGGGTAGGCAGACAAGAAGACAGGCAGGACACAAAAAAACAACACAACAGACAAACAGAAGTGGATGACACACAACAGGCAGCCGGCCAAATGCAGAGGCAAAAATATTGACCAACATTCAGACACAGGGAGACCCATACACAAACAAGCAGCTAGGCAGAAATCCCACACGCAGCAAAGACAGACAAAAAGTGCAAATATGCAAATAGAGGCAGGCAGACAAATAAACAGACGAAGCACCAGACAAACACAAACAAATTTCCCCTGTATAGCCTGAATAGACTTTCGGGGCAAGTGTGGTTTAGCTAGCACCTTATGAAGGCCGGCACAACATATGAGGGGGTGGGATGGCCAGAACCACGCCTGGCCTTCTTTTTCTCCCCAGTAGCGATGTTTACACACCGCACCAGGCATTAATTTGAGGCTAAATTGGCCTAGGGAAGGCCCAGGACCGGTTCAGAAATCGTCCCAGGTGTTGGCCTATGAGCGGGAATAGAACTGGGGTCGCTGGGTTCGTAGCGCAGCGCGTCAACCGCTGCACTAGCACTCTTAACAATTAACACGCACACAAACAAACAAGCAGGCAGATACACAGGCACAAGCAATGACCAACCTTGAAGAGGGCATAGAAGTGCACGGGCACATCCTCGAGCCTCGCCGCCTCGCGGATGTAGCAGAGCTGGCTCTCGTTGGCAGACATTCCGGCCTGGTCCTGGTGCATGGCTGGCACGTGCCTCACGATGTAGTCGCCGCCGCGCTTCTTGATGACCTACGAAAAGGAGGGTGCGGAGCCGAGAGGGTCAGTCAAGGGGACAGCACGGCACTCGCAGGGCCAATAGGGTCAGGGGACAACACGGCACTCGCGTGGCCGTGAGGGTCAGCCAGGGGGACAGCACGGCACTTACGCCGCACCTCGAGATGAGCACGCAAGATCCCGTCATAGCACCACTTACTGTGGTGCAGCCAAAGTGGCTGCGTGGCTGGGGGTGTCACAGTGCTGAACTGGCAATGCTGACAACCTGGGTTCAAATTTGGGTTTAAGTTGAGCCTCAAAAACGCAGCTCCTAGTAAAGTCCAGGTCGCTCGTTAGTTTAAAACAAAGCGCTGAGATAGCACCACCGAGATCCAAGGTTAAAATCCAGAATCAGAATATTTATTTACCCTGGAGGAATTTGATGAGCTCTAAAGCTCTTTTTCACAGAAGTCCAGTCGGGGTGGGTCAGAACATTACAACAAATACAAATTACAGCCACCTACAATGAAACCGTGTCTCAAAGTGTAGCTGAGTTTATGGGCTCAGCCCAGTCACCAATGACCCATCATAGTAAAATGTGGTCTTCCAAATAATTTAGCTCTGCGATTTGAAAATTGCAGTTTTATTCCCCTTTGTATCCCTAATGTGGATAAAGCGGTCTAATGAAGCAACTTCAGAAATAACAAAGCTTTAGATGTAAATCAGACCGCCCTGAAAACGCAGCCTGATCCATCCAGCAACATCATGACCAGCGCTTGGCTGTTTGGGTTGCATCTGAATTCCTATAAACACTTGATGAAAGGACTCCACCACAACTGTCAGTAGACCTTGCCCGAAAATTTTCACACAGAAAAAACCGACCGTGTATTGTTCACAATGGGCGGAACTGACTGTGTGTGGACGCGAGCCAGCAGAGGAGCACCAAGCACCTACCCATGCTGGGAAGTAGGCCTCTGGATGGAAGTAGCGGCCCTGGTGCCTGGAAGGCCGGAAGTCCCCCAGGTCGGCCTGCAGGGCGTGCGCCGCGAGTAGGAAGTACGCCTCCTCCCGTAGGGCGCACTGCGAGCTCAGCACCTGGCTCTTCAGGTGGTTGTAGTAGTAGAAGCGTGCCACCCTGTCACTGCGCATGAACCACCGAGCACAACCACCCAAGCAACACGCAGACACACACACACAGGTCGTGAGTACACAATGTGTCCGCGTGCAGCTCTGCACGCTGGCAGCTTTCTTACTCTAAAAAGAGTTCCTGAAGAAGCTTCCACCGCCTGGAGCGAAACGTCAAACGTAATTCCAAACAAGACACAGCACAACCTGAAGACATGGCAGAGAGCTGTTCAACAGCAATAACAACAACAACCGCCATTCGTCAACAAGTGGCGATGACGTCTCCACGGCGCTAATGCCAGGCTATGTGCCTGGCACATAGCAAAGCCACGTGAAATGTCGAATGCCAGCTGGCAGGTCACGGGACAGACCCAAGTGCCATTAGTTGACTGAATTAAATAACTGGCAGGTGCCCCAACTGTGCCCTCAACTGCGCCAATTTTCTGCGCTTTAGCCGCCCGGCGCTCGACTCGTTGTTGTGAGCAGTTGCTTCTCTGCCCTCTATTTATGCTGGAGAGCGACTGCCTCCAACTGCCTAGTAGCATCCCTCCTTCCTTCACAGAGGCCGACCTTAACACCAATGGTACCAGTCATTAGCAAGTCCACTCAACAACGGAAAGTGCAAACACCTCCGCCATAGTAATGTCACACAATTACACACCTCCACCTACATCGCCGCTGATAATTAAGATGCACTCCCATAAGACTACGTGCAAACATGAGGAGGCGGCATTATATATTTAATTTTTATATTTATACGTTCATATTCTCCACAAACTCGCCTAGAGATTATGTTGTATTAAATCAAGGGACAGCAGTGGCAATGATACACAATCTTGATTTGAAGCTTTCGTGACTGCAGGAATCCATACTCTTTGGTTCTTTCGGTAATGTCACGTAGATATTTATTTTATACCTACGTGACTTTACCGAAAGAACCAAAGAGTAATGATACACAAGCACAAGTAAATAATGCAGTCCATGTGTCATGCAATTTAAATCAGTTTACTCAAAATTTGGTGCAGCAATAATCGCACTGCACTATGAATCCAACGACCCCCATGCGATTACATCCTCTAAATTGTTTCAATGCAAGCACTGCATGGACGACATTTAATGACAATTTTCAGATTCTTAGCCCTTCTAGACAACAATAATCCTTTGTAAAGATGGCCAATTGTATGTGTTAAAAATACGCATACAGATTGGCAAGCAAAAAGTGGGGAACATGTCCTAGAAGATGACCACGGAATAGATGCAGCAATGAGATAAATTGATGTCCAGCAACAGCAGCAGCAGCTGGGATGAATTGTTGCATCGCAGGACCACGAGAGATGCCGACGACTTGGAGAGGCCTTTATGGTTAGCGACGATAGACTGGACAACCTCACAGATGGAGACTCACAAAGCCAAAGTTACCTGATCAGCTTCCCGTTCTCAACGTAATATTGCACTCGGAAGTGAATGTTGAAGGGCGGCCCAAAGTGGTCAATCCCCTGCAAAGAAGAGAGGCGGTTTCAGACAGCATGGGCAAGACAAGAGCCCCTCACCCACCACTCACTCACTCACTAACAAAGACCTCCAAATAGCCGTTATGGGGGGGGAGTGGTGGCACAGTGGTTTGCCCACTCAGCTCTGAACCTGCTTAACTTGAGTTCGATTCTCAATCACAGCCAACATCAGAGGCAAGCAATACCTAAACCAGTTCTGGGTCCTCCCTCTTCAACTCCCACCGAACAGAGTGAAGTATGGTCAAACCATGACTGAGACAGTGTGGGGAGGGCTTCATCCAACAGTGGGTCTGTACATTATTACTCATTATATTCATAGCCATGACGTACTGCCAGGGCAAGTGATTTTAACACGTAGGCTTTCGCGACCAATATCATCCATACACAGTACATAATGCAGGGAGTGTGGTCAACATCACACCCAGCCACCTTTGTCTCCCCATTGGTGATATTTTACACACTCAACCAGGTCGTCATTTAAAACAAAGATCCACCCTGTAACCTTGAAAAGATTGTTGGGGCAAGTGCTGTAAGAGAGCCTCTATGAAGGCCCAACAGGGCACACGAGGTGGTGAGAAGCCAACACCACACCCAGCCGCCTTTGTCTCCCCAGTTCTGATGTTTTCACACGACACCAGGGACACATTTAAGGCCGATTCAACCTCAGAGAAGCTCAGGTCCAGTTCAGATAATTGTCACTGGTGTTGGTCGTGGGTGGGAAATCAAACACAGCCCACAGGGTTCACAACGAACTGCACTAACCACTGCACTACCACTCGCCACGCACACTCGAACACACACACACACAGCCGCTGTCACTTCCACAACGAACATCAGCATCCAATTAATCACGGCCCAAGTGTAATGCTTTTAAAACTCAATGACCAGTTGCATTTTGGTCACGCAGCAGGGATGTTTTTTAATGCTCATTTATTTTTTTATTTACCTACTTCGGTGAGGTGGGGGTGGGTGCTCATTCAGTCGGGTGCTCAATGCTCTTTTTCTACTGTGTTTTTTTTTCTTTCCTCTGGCTGTTTCTGTTTTCTCTCTCTCTCCCTCTCTTCCCCAGCCTTTTGAAGTAACAGCCATTGTGGCGCTGTCAGCGCGCTGGGTGGGTGAGTGTGTGCTCACCCTGCTGGCTTCTTTCTTCCACTCCTTGGGGCAGTACTTGGTCAGCTTCTGCTCAAGGTCCATGAAAATGTGTTCATTGTCTGCACAAAGAGGGTGGGTGGACGGAAAGCGCCGAGTTGCCCAAACCGATAGCGCGACGCAGCATGTCTTCATTCTGCACGACGGCCGCTATGGGCAGCATATTGCACGCACGCGACAGCCCCGTGTGTTGACTGGACTTCCTATAATCTGTGCACCCCCCCCGAATCAACCCGTGTAAAATACCGTTATCCTTATGACGCTTCTTCCGAACCTTTCCACGTACAAGGAATTGACTTGAAAGTGGTGGCACATTAATAGTAGTACCCGTGTTCAACCGGTGCTTTACCGCTCGGACATGAATGCTTTGCGTGGAAATACAAGGACAATGCGACGCCACTCTCACGCTCCCCAACGCATCAAATCGCATCAGAGGCGTTTCATTTCACAAAGCAAGTGGCCACTGTGCACACAGGGTACATCTGGTGGTAAACGCATCGCCAAATAATTTGTTCACCAACTCACGGGCCAAGCAGGCGTTGTGCTTTACTTCGATGCTCACAAGCCCGGCTCCCCGACCTCACCAAGCTGCACTGACCAGTGCAGTGAAGTATGGTGAAATAACCTCTCCCATGCCCCCGCAAGGGATGCAAAGGCATTCATCCAGCAGTGGAGTGACGAGGTGGCTATGCACACCCATGCACGGATGAAGCTAACATGTGCGATGCGCCCATCAGTTTTGTGGTCTCTGGGCGGCCGGATACCACAAAACCTGGAACCAGTTACCTGCAGATGTTCGCGATCCATCCTTGAGTCCGAGCCAGTGTTTCAACAGACTTTAAAAATCAGTGTTGTTCCCAAAAAAACAAAGAGATGAATACTGTACGAGATGAGCGCGCATTCGTGATGGACTGGACTCACAAGAGCGTGTGATAACAAGTGCTCGGTCATCCTTTCTTACGAATACCAAGTCGGTGGTGTTCATGTTGTGGGCATGTCGTGTTCATGAGAACGAATGAAAGGATTTGAGAACCTACTTGTCAGAACGCTGAGCCCAAAGAAATTGGGGTCCTTCAGCTTGAGGAGGTCGCACACCTGGGAGAAGAGCTCTCGGCAGGTCGTCTTTACCTGGTGCAAAAGACAAAGATCCCCCATATAGCCTTAACAGACTGTTGGAGCAAGTGCTGTTAGCGTGCAGCACCTATGAATCCAGCAAAACAGATGAGGGGATGGGTGGCCAGCACCACACCCGGCCGATTTGTCTCCCTAGTTGCGATCATACACACCGCACCAGGTACTCATTTAAGGGTGATTCGACCTATGGGAGGCCCAGGACCAGTTGAGATAATTAATCGTCACTGGTGTTGACCATGATCGGGTCGCCAGGTTCGAGTCGCCAGGTTCGCAGCGGAGCGAGATCACCACAACACAACATCACTCCCCACATACACATGTACCAACACACTCTTCCTGACACAATTAAACAAACATCACGATAGACGTATACACACGTATGTATGTACGTATGTAGAACTTCTTTCGCACCATGAGTAGCCAAGCGTGCTAATCGGAGGTGCGGAGGAAGGATAACAAACTGAACACAAACTGAACACAAAAAGCAGTTTCTAAAGGAATGAGTTTTCAATCTCGATTAAAAATGTATTATAACATCCAGATACACACCAACACACACCATTTAGATACAGCTCGTTACACAAACAGATGTACACATTCAGATACACACATCCCGACTATGTGATATGCATGTCTGTGTATATCTGAATATGGTGTGCGTGTGTGTGGAGATTTTCTGAAATGGTCCTGGGCCTCACCGACTCAGCCTTAAATGAGAAACTGGTGCAGTGTATAAACATCGTCACTAGGGAGACAAAGGCGGACGAGAATTGTGCTGGCTACCCATCCCTTCATGTGCCATGCCGGCTTTCAGAGGTGGTCACTAACAGCACAAGCCCCAAAGTCTATTTAGGCTATACGGGGAAACGCTGTCTTGTCTTGTTGTGTGTCTTTGGTGTATGTCTATAGGCACATGGTATGTCTCTGAATTTGTGTTGGTGTGTATCTGGATGTTATATTATTCGTTAATTATTACCTCTATTATGGATTATATTATAATGTTTGTTTACCCAGAAAGCCTCACTCAGTCTCAGGATACTGCCACATTTTTTGCATCTTGACAACCATACTGAGTGACATTCATTCCCGCAAAGAGAACGCAGCTTTCATTGCGACCCACCATTATTTCCCAGCATGCAACACTTTTTATTGCGTTTCTCATTACAACTGAAGTAGAGAGACAACTGGAAATGTTCCTATCGCACAAACTATCGACGCCCCCACCAATAAACCTCAGGATCTCAGGTCAATTCCCCCTCTGAGTAAGAACTGCAAGATAATTTAAAACCAAGGTCTGGCGTTTTTACTCCCCACTACTGCCAATTCAATTGCAGGCCCTCTGGCTAAACATTAACGGAATGTATGAAAAGCACGTGTCGCACACCCACTAACCAGTGGGAAGGGGGGGGGGGGGTTAAATTTCTACAATAGACTACATAAGCAGCATGCTACCTGGGATGTGAATGGTGGAATTTCACTTCACTGCTGTAGCGCGCAAAGCCGTTGAACCAATCACGGTGCAAGAAACATGTTGCTCATCGATCTATTGTAGCAAATCAATACCAGTCAGGCCTCCGATGCACTGGCCAGTGGCACAGCTATCCAATGTGCAGGTGGTGCAATGACACACAGAGGGGCCCGTGAGTCAGAGGGCGGCCCAGGCACTGGGCTTCAAAAAGAAAGGGGGATACTGGACAGGGTTGGAGCTCATTCAATTAATTGCATCGGGGCCTACGTGGGACCACAGTAAACCACTGGAACTGCCTTATAATTAGCTTTTGATAATACAAAATCAATTAACAATTTATCAAAATAACTTTAACAATTACATATTGAATGTAATATGGATGCGGGGGGGGGGGGGGCTCATTGGAAGATTCTAAGAATTCACCGCGACAGAGGTTATGAACCAGAGGCATGCATTTCAAATGTGGCATGCAAGACACCCAAACTCCCCAACATGCCAGTGGCCTTTAATGCAAACCGATAGGCATGTCCAAATGCATTCACGACGTGACACGTGTACTTCCACACACACAATGTGCACCCATGCCGCATTTCATCGTTGCCTCAAAATTATGGTTGTTGATGTCGGTTTTGGAAGAGTTATCAATACATCGGACGCAAAACAAGTCGATATTATTTGTTTGCTGAACATATACGAATGTCCAATGACAGATGTAAAAGTACTGCCACGTGCGTGTCTGTCTTTGTGTCTGTTGGACGTAGCACACGACAGCTGCTGCTGACCGGTCCTCGTTGGAACGTGCCGCGTGGTTTGAATGTTCGCACATGCCAGTCGGTTCAATAGTTACTAAATTTGAACTGGGTTCCACCATCAGTTTGTCGGGCTTTTAGAATGTATTCTAAAAACTATTATCGAAGAATCGATAAGCAATTCACAACCCGACTGCTAATTATACAATTCTACCTGTTTAATCCATTGGTCAAACATCTCTGTAAAGTTTAACATCGTTAATGTAATTCTTACATGAAACTAGTGACCCTTAAGAGCTATGGGATGTATCAGTGATGTATTGAAAATCACAGTATTATAGGAACATCATCAGCTATGATTGATCCGTAGCTGGATCAAAACCTCACCAAACAGTTGGCCATCTCTAACAATCCTGCAATGTAACAATACCACCTAGCACCTGAACACGAGCTGATTTTATGGCTCCGTCACCCTCGTAATAAATCATCTGGGACAAGTTCCAGTTCTTGGCTGCCATTCTTGTCATCCCCTTAGAGACAATTTCTGTTTAGGATTCAGCATGCACTACAGTCATTGTGAGCTGGACAAAATCCACATCGAAGTGTGAATCGATCTGTAGATGCGTGCAATGTTTATTAAAGAGTGTGGTACAAAAGGGGAAAAGTGTTTGTTGTAAGATTGATTGACATGGGGATACGGGATGTCTGTGACCCACAAAAGGCATGAGGTTTCCCCTTCTGAGGCCAACGTATTAATACGGGGGGCATGCAAAAAACTGGGCTTACGTTTTATAGAACGGATATTAATTTTCACCGTCCACTTTTGCACTTGAGCAAATAATTTATGAGAAAAGGTTAAGTGCGCTAAGCAGTATATCATTTCGGTTCTCCTGCTGGGAAGAAAAAAAAACCTCTCCTTCATATTATGAAGCCAATTAAAACAAAACACAACATAGCGTAATAATTAAATATATTTTAATTACATGCACATTTAATCGGATTCCAAAAAGTGGACAGTGTAATTTTGGAAAGATATTTAATTTGGACGTTTCATCCGTTATACAAATTCCCCAGATATAATAGCATTCCCTGCAGAGTGGCTGATTATATTTCTGGCTGATAGGGCTCAACACTAGTGCCATTAATCCCGATTACTTTAACAAAATTCTGGCCCCCCCATCCATTCTGCATCCAGCAGATTGCACTCCTCATTTCAATCACGTTGACGATTGCCTTCAAAAGCTGGCCAACAAAATCACGTTTGTTTTTCTCATGGAACTGAAAATGCCCTTGGCACTCAGGGTTACGGGCATTTACGTCCCTGAAATATTGTGCGTGTTATAAATTGCATTGTTATTGTTATTAAACGTGCACCTATATTCCCAGACGCGAGACATTTTCCTGTCGTCCTCATTAAGTATACTTTATGACTTAACGATGCTATATTTAAGGAAAGTCATAACATTATTTATTTTTCTGGAATGTGTTACTTCACTAAAATACAGCGTTAATAACAATAGCTAATCCATACTTGTTTTTGGGTTGGGTCACATGGTACGTTAGTTTAATGCCAAAATTTGTCATTAATCCTCCACCACCCAACAAAGATGTTATTAACACATGCCAATATATTTCTGGCATTAGACTTTCATTACTGAATTAAACAAATCTAAATATGACGTTGCGTTCAAACTGCTTTAAGCTCCATAGGTAGTGAACTCGTAAACTGAGGATGCTTAAGAACCACATTCTCCACAGAAGTCATAAGGCGGTGGGCATCACTCAATCAAAAACTATGGGGTCCACAGAGACCTGCACGACTGGGACGGTTGAAAGACGCATCACCAGATTCATCTCTGCAGAATGTAACAGTAAAAATGACCACGTGCGTGGACAGCTCTGCAGTCAATTAATTACTAGATGAGGGCCTTCCCAAGCTGTGCGGGTCGTGGGAGTTCTTTAACCGTACTTCACCACGCCGGTCAGTACGGCTTGAAAGCAGGGGAGCATTTTTCGATTTAAAGCTTTCGTGACTGCAGCGATTCATCTTCTTGGTTCTTTCGGTAAAGTCACGTAGAAGGGAAATAATAAAATAATAATAAAAAATTACATAATAAAATAATTCTCACGACGTTTCGGCCACAACGCAAGCAGCCGTCCTCAGGTGAAGAAAAAAAAGACGCTGTCTTTCCGACAGATCTGTTCTTCACCCGAGGACGGCTGCTTGCATTGTGGCCGAAACGTCGTGAGAATTATTTTGTCATGTTTTATTTTTATTACTTTATTATTTCCCTTCTACGTGACTTTACCGAAAGAACCAAGAAGATGAGCAGGGGAGCACACAAGCACAGCACGACTGGAGATTCTGCCGCACTGCCCTCTGAGACGCTCGCCACATAAGCACAGCCCCGCAGCCTCCGATGGCAACTTGGCGTGCACAAATAAAATATACCGCTCGTGATTGAAAGCAACCGCGACGAGGGCACCGATCATCATTGAGCAGACCTCACCGGAGTGTTCAGCCACCCGTGCAAATGCACACAGCTCACTTCCCGCGAGCAAGACCTCGGCGTGCCAAGACCTGTTTGGCAACGGCGGCGCGGGGTATTGAAGGGGCAGTGGTGGGTGGCTGCCGCCGTCTCCCCCCCCCCCCCCCCCCCCCCCATGCACACAGTCCCAAGCCGAGCCCTGACTGGCAATTAGATCTCCGTTTTGGATGCAGCACTTTGTGAAGTAGGCTTACTGCCGTGGAGTAACGGTTGGCACACCGCACTCGCAATCCGGAGATTGTCAGTTCGATTTAATCGCCCGGCCGTGGCAGTTTAAACAATGGGGAAAGTTTCTTAAATTCACCCCGTTCCTCCACCCAGCAAGGATAAATGGCTACGTGAGTTAGTTGATCTGCAGCTTGCATGTGGTGGGGTAAAGTGTGGGTACTCCCCCCCCCCCCTTTTTCCCTCGAAGAGGTCTGGCGAGTGTGGATTAGTAGGCCAAAATACCCTCGATAGGAGGCCCTTCTGCAAGCAGTGGAATGAGTAGCAATTGCAGGGCCGCACACTTACTTAGACCGAGTAGTCTGCTTCTACGCATGCTCGCCGAGATCTGGTACTGTTGCATCAGTCTGAAAGTTTTTACAGCGACTTTGATACACATACTCTTTGGTTCTTTCGGTAAAGTCACGTAGGTGAAAATAATACTACAAATAAAATAAAAAAGTAAAAAAACAACTAAATTGTTGTGATACACATGTAGTGTATGTGTTGGCAGCAATTGGTGTGCACATGCATGGGCCATTTTAGCTGTGAATGCATGCAAATGTTGTGTTGTATGCACGTATACGTTGAACTTCTTTCGCACCGTACGTAGTCAACTGTGATCATTATTACCAAGAAAAGAGAATGGAGGAGATCGCTCAGTCTCATAGCTCGTGAAATTAGAGTTAACGCTCGATTATCTGTCGGCAGCATGTTACCCCGGTTGCAAAATAACAGCGGTTGACAAATTAAAAATATAATATATCCGAATAAATAGCTTCTCCTTATTTGTTGTTGATCAGTACACAGTACCCAGGTGATCACGGGCACGTCGGAAAGTAAACCGATTAGAGTACTTTAAAAGGTAACAATAAATAGATGACCCCTTATTTATATTCAGACTCATTTACATATGCCTCGATAGCTTTACGTAGCCGTGATTTTGAGCTTTGTAATATTGAGATGAACACCAAGCAACATGGCACAATCCAAAAAACACACCGGTCAGCTAATTTACATATGTTATGGATTATCTGTGTTTTTGTTTAGCTGCACCACAATCCTCAGATAATGACTCTCCAAATGGGGCGTTTGGGCTGTACCGGGTAACAAATGCTTAGGATCATCGTGCCGATCCTGAATAAGCTCCGAGCACGAGGAGTGAGACATCAGAAAAACCATGCCAAACAGCTGGCGGCAACAACCAGAAAAGATATCGAAGAGCTGAGCAGCACAACCGTGACAGCCTACACGGCAGTGTGACTGCACACAACAGCCCTCTCTTCCAACGCACAGGCTCACGACCATGCCGGCTCAATCTTCGCTTCATTTACATTCTTTTCGATTTAAAGCTTTCGTGACTGCAGGGATTCACCTTCTTGGTTCTTTCGGTAAAGTCACGTAGAAGGGAAATAATAAAATAATGAAAACAAAACATAATTAAATACTTGACTTTACCGAAAGAACCAAGAAGATTATTTACATTCGTTTTGCATCGCGCGTGGTTTTGTTTTCTCCGGGCCACCCATTCTTCGTTCCTCCCTCCCATTACCCTGGATAACCGAGTGATGATTGTACACAACTGCCACCTATTCTGAATCCCAGGCTCGTTATCGTGCGTGCATGTGTGCATGCGTGCGCACGCGTGCCACTGGGTGTTCTGTGACAGGCAGCGGTGGTGGGGTGGGGCGATGAGCTCACGGGGATGATGATGGAGAGATCGTCGCCGGTGGGCAGCAACACTCGGACTCTCCTCCTTTCCTGCATCCTGCGGTTGTTCTGGAAACCCAAGCGGCCACTCATGGCTCAGGGAAGACACTCGGCAAGGGGGCCCAGTGCGGGGGGGGGGGGGGGGGTTGGGGAGAGGGGGTCACAGGGAGATTTCCCAACCCCTCCCCTTGAGATTTCTAAACTCGCCTTTCACTGAACCCCCCCCACCCTCCTCCTACACTACCACCCCCCTTTCTCAAAAACCACTCCACGACAGACACACACAGCTTGTCCGTCCGTCCGGGGTTTGAGATTTGCTGCCGCAGAGTGAGCAGAGTGATCGGGGCCTCAAGGTCCAATAACGTGAGGTCGCCAAGCCGTCAACAACGCCATCGCATCTGCGGACAGAACACATACGATTAACATTTGCCAAGAGCCATGATAATAATACGATGAATGATTTACAGCCCTTGTCAATGAATTGCTGGATGAATAGCTTCCCAAGTCACGTTGTGTTTGATCCAACTTCACCACGTTGGTCAGCGCAGGGTTGGTGAAGGGGCAGATGGCTCACGACTGTTTCAGATATCACTGGTCACTGATGTTAGCCGTGGCCATGAATTGAACTCACCGAGTAAATAGCACTGTGCACACTATCCATATATATTAGGAGCCTTTTTTATGTTAAGCAATTAATGTGAACCTGTGTAATACTTAGAGGGTTATTTTAATCCTTGTTTGAGATTTATTGACAAGCAGCTCACAGCTGATTACAGTACATCATATTCTCTCTTGACAGTGGGTGCTAAGATAGCGTTTTGAATGTTTTAAGCTCAGGACCGGCTTGCCTACAAGATTAGCGTAGTCTCAGAGCCATCCTTGCACAGCAGTCGTACGTTGTTATTATTATTATCTTGAGCATTCACCCGTGACATTTCATTTTGCCTTCAGCATGTTGGTGATAATGGCAGTTTTGGTTCAATGAAACATATCTTCATAGGACATTTTATGTAGCCGGGGTGGGATGATTGTTATGGTTGGAGAAACATCTACAATAGTCTTGAAAAACCACCGTAGGTCTAAATGCAACTAATGTAGTTCCAGAAAAAAGTCGAAAGAGAAAATTGGTTTTCATGAGGCTGCGGTGCAAACTTATATTCATGTCCACATTCTGACATTAATTTAGCATGACTTTATCCCGTGTAGAGTTATATTTACAATAATATAACTCAAATCTGCTACTTTATTTATTTTATGAGATGGAGAAGTGGTGTAGTCGTTATTAACGTACCGTAATATGAACCTGGTGAGCCGAGTAAGATTTCCCTGCCACGGTAAACAGACGTGCCACGTGATATCTGAACCAGTCCTGGGTATATTCCACATGTACCAACTGGCAATGACCAGCCACGGTAAAGTATGGTAAAACAAATCCCGTAACCAACACAGCATGGCAAGGCTTTCATCAAGAAGCAGCGTCACAAATGGCCTGTAGTTAATGTCGCTATTATTAAACACCAACTCTCAATTGGAATATACAACTGAGCTTCATATACTAAGATGGTAATTTTGCATATAACTTTAATGCGTTTAATAGCGCGGAACATTTATAAGACATAGCCCGCACTAATCTGTGTATCCTGCAGGGTTTATATTTTCCAAATCAATCAGATTGAAAATTACAAAACAACTTTCATTCGGCAACAACAATAACAACCGACATTCGCCACTAAGTGGCGGTGACGTCACCATGGTGCTTGTGGCAGGCTGGGTGCACGTTAAGGCCACGTGAAGTGTCGAACGCCTGTTGGCAGGTCACGGGGCAGACCCAGGTGTCATGGATTGACTGACTGAGATGACTAGCCGATGCACCACCTGTGCCCCCTACTGTGCCATTTCATTCGGCACACACACACACACACTACTGCCCCTTCTCAAAACATCTCGCCACGCTCAACCACTCAAAGCCATAATCTCACCTCCAACCTTTAATAAGATGAACTATCAGCCTCAAATATCTTTCAAAAGCATAGTATTCATATATATTTATTTTTCTAAAGTGCATGCAGGGGGGGCGGTGCGGGGGGTTAGTCCGGACACAATGTCGACTGTATGCTCCCCCCAGCATAAAAGGAAATTCCACAAATTCTCCGAGCTGAAAGACATTGGATACTGTCTCCGCAATACAATTGCCGCTTGTTGCACGCCTTCCTGGCCGCCGCGACGTATCATCGCTGAGATCACTGCGTAAGTCACCGAAGCAATCCCGGCACACAATTAGCGGTTAAGTAGAAGCCTCGGACACACTGACTGGTATATCACTTTGTTGAGAAAGTTGCCAGGATCTAATTTCACAGAAGTAGATTTTGTTTTTTGTTGCTGTAACGTTTTCATACCCTACTCCTTTTTGGCAGCACAGTCTACTGCGCTTTGCTTTTGTTTGGACTTTTTAGCATGGGAGTGCTCATGTCGCTTTTAGCTTGTGGAGCAATATGCTGATTTACAAAAAAAGCATTGTTTATTTTTTTATGTACTTTATTCAGGGCCAATTTTTTTTAAGGTTAATGTAAAAGGTGCAGCCCTGAAATGACTTACACACACCACTGCTGGAGGAAGGGTCTCCACGAGATGGAATTCAATGGTGCCCCTCTTGAAGAAGGTGTTTGGCATACTATTCTACCATGGCCAGGCATCTTGGCAGAGGTGCGAGAACCCACCATTTACCTCGCCACACGTGACCGGCAAATCAATGAACTGTGGTGTCACCCATTTACACTGGCGGGGAGGCGGGACGGAAGAAACGTGCACCATTGTTTCAAAAGCCACGGCGCGCCCAAGGAGATTGAACAAAACTGTCAACCTCTTGATTCCAAAGGCCAGCGTTGCTCACAATGACACTACAGCATCGTCAAATTGCGAGGGTAGAGGCACTCAAATTGAATGGATGGTTTGCAGGGATGTGTTCTCAGCTTTTGTTTTCTGGGAATGTTGGCCAAAGGTTTTGGAAAACACAGACATTCACTTCTGATAATCCAACACAGGAAACACCCCAAGAGAATGGCCTGAACCAATGCACATCAGTGGATGGGATCAAGATCTGGCTGCTGCAGGGCTTAACTGTGCTCGGCCCTTAACTAACTGGGATGCTAAAATAATAATCACAGTTCTGGGAAGGATATTTGAGTCCCACACCCCTTGTTTATCTCAAAATCTTACAATCAGATAGCAAGCAGTACCATTATAAATAGTAAACAAACTTTGAAAGGAATTTTGCAAACCACAAGCTTAATTAAAAAAGATGTCTTGGCTAGAAAAACACTCGACAGGATAGGTTGGTAAAAACTGCAATGTAAACTATTCCTAATTGCTCACACGTATAAATAACGGCTGTAATCATGGACAGTACACGAGACCGGACCAGACCTAATTCATAACAAGATGCTCAAAAGATGCCTCCTCCGTTTTGGCAACAAATTAAAACACTTAGACCCATCTTGAAAGTTCCATCTTAAATGTTTCAGGCTATTTAATTAGATTGCAATGCATCGGAGGAGTGAAGCAGTGTTTGGCACACTGCGCTCTTAAATCCGACAGCACCTTGAACAACTTGCACTGACCAGCGTGGTGACGTAAACTATACAACTATAAACATTTTGTATTTTACCAGGTGAGGCCCACTGAGCAATATATAGCTCTTTTTCAGAAGCGACCTGGCCACAAATGATAGCTCAACGAAGCGGCTTATCACGTGGACATTTATAGCAGCCAAATACTGTAAACCCATGTTTCTAAAACCGGAGGAGACAAATCCACGCGACCACAGGCGTCAGGGTCGGGATCAAACCGACGACCTCCCGTATACCAGGCGAGATAGTTAACATCTCGCCACCGTGGCACCCAGAAGTACGATCAAACAGTCCTCGTGGCCGACATGGCATGTCATTCAACAGTGGATTTAGAAAACTGTAAATGATTATCATAACAATAAAAGAAGATATGACTTTAAACATATACATCATTATGATTTTGCACGTAATTTAGGATATCTATAAATCATTTGATAATCCTCCGTATACAGTAACAGTGCTGATACAATCGCAGTACTCTTCCACGAGCAACGCTGCCGTGTTTATCATCGTTTGCAAGTTGACGCCACGGATTCAAATACAGCAGATGGGGCCCTGAGCTGTGGAACTCCTCACAGGAAATTGCTGGAATTTTTCCCAAATCACAGAGAACAGAGCCTCAGCACAACCACCACAGCCAATACGAAACTTTTTTTTTCCACTCTCTCCATTTTAATACCCGAGTGGAGACCTACAAAAAACCACAGATTTCAGCAACACTGTGCTGAAGCCACGTCGAACATATTAACGAATTGTGGGTGCCCTTAAAAATCGGGGATTATCGGGAAACAAGGGTTGATGCTGATTGAATGTGATGCCCGTTAGAGCAGCAAATCCTGGCTTTGGGGCTGCACACAAAACCGCCCCGTGGAGTTACACAGATGGCTAAATATCTCGGCGTGAGACACGGGATAGTCTCTGCGGCAGGGGAGCCAGTTTTTAATCCAACCCCCCCCCCCCCCCCCCCCCAGAATGTTCGTTCTCAAATTAAAAAACCAAAGGGGTCAAATTTTAAAAAGAAAAAGTAGAAATGAACACACAAAAGATAAAGATCCCGCATCTATAGCCTCAACCGACGTTTCGGGCAAATGCTGTTAGCGAGTAGCACCCATAAAGCTAAAGCACGATACACGAGGGTGGTGGGATGGTCAGGACCACTCCCGGCCGCCTTTGTCTTCCCAGTGGCCGTGAGACGGGAATTTAACTCGGGTCCGCCGGGTACAGAGTGCGAAACGCGCAAACCACGACAGACACGGTCGTTCGCACGCACAAAACTACGCCGACGTCTGGTCAAATAAGCTGTTCGTCGCGTCATTAACACTCACGACAAGAGATCTGTCTCTTGTCTCGCTCGCTGCATAGCACTCGGATCGTGTCGTGACATTTGAATAAAAGAGCAACATTCGTAACAAACAAAAACAATCGCAGCCGAAACGCGCCGAGACCGCTACCCACCGCCCCAACGCTTTGATTCCGTTTGCTTCATTTTCCTTTCAAAAGTCGTCTCTCTCTCGCTCCGTCCTTCTTGTATCTGCACAACTTGCGAACAACACTTTTCCTCCTACGGCGTGACAATGAACCAGCGAACCGCGGCCACCACCGCCGTCACCACCGCCCCGTTACACGCGGCAGAGTTTTGTGTGCGCGCGATACAAAAAAAAACCACTCACGGGTCGCGAAGAACGAAGACGACGTTTCCGCTCGTCTGCAAGGATACTGGAGATGGGGGGGGGGCAGCCTCCTTACACTTCTCGTCATCACCACCCCCCCTGTCACACCGCCATCCTCGTGGTAGAACCCGAGCCACTCGGGAGACGCGCTCTGGCGCTGCACTCCGCGTCTCTGGAACGGTCCATTCTCGACCGCAGATGGGGGAAGGGGGTGTTATGCGCGCATGCCAAAGGGGTTCATCGTTCACGTGCCAGGAACACGACGAAAGTATCCAACTAAAACCGAAGCTTTTACTGTGGAATTTATTTCATGTTGGCGATGATAAAAAAATTTGAATCGTACGAATTGTTAGTTGTGTAAACGGAAGGCTGCACAGGTTACTAATACTCAGAGTGTGTGTGAGTGTGTTTTTCCTTCCCCGTGCATTCGGTGTTTATGAACACATGGTACGGTCTTGGGAAGAAGAAGAAACCCCGAGCATAACACTGGCGACGCGCGTGTGTGTGCGTGTGCGAGTCTCAGGGAATAAAGCGAATAACGTTCCCGTGAACTTAAGGTGTGTTTTTTTTACAGCTAACATGAGTGATTTAAAAATGCTCAGGTTAAAGGGAACTATCTCGGCGTCTTTATGTGCCAATAAACACCCAGGTAGCACGGGCAGGAGGGAAGTAAAACGTGACAAGGCTCAGCCGATGGAGTCCCTTTTAATAAACGGGCTTTGTGAGTGAGATTGAGCCCAGAGTGTGGCTCCGGTGATGTAACAGAGCAGCCCACACTGTGATGCTTCTGCTGCTACTACTCATCAGAAGCCAGGAGGGGGGCTTCAGGAATTATCCCCAAGGTGGCGAAGCGTTTTGATTTTGATGGCGTTTAAGTTTGATGTGCTCGTTTTTTTATCCCGCCCTCGCTTGTAATTTTTGCCACTTGTGGTTATTTATTCGTTAGTATTCATCATTTGTCCCTTTGTGCTGCAAAATTGTAGCTTAATTTTTTACCTATATATTTACATTTAATTTTTTGGCCCCGTTTTTCCGAAGTTTAAAACTTTTTTTGATTATCATAACATTCACTTTTTGATTTGTATAGCTTTCTAATTGTTATTCTCATTCACAATATTGTTAACAATTGTGAAATGTTTAAGATACCTTGTTCGTTACGAGTCTACCTTTGTAAAAAAAAAGGTGGTGTAATTGGCCTACAAATACGGTGCATCCCTTCGTCAATCCACCATTGGTTAAATGCCTACCCTTGCTACATCATTCAAAGGGATTGTTTGACCATACTTTACCACACTTTATTGGTGATGTGAAGGCCCCTACACTGGTTCATATAATCGCTCGTGAATGATGCAAGCCGTGGCGAGGAATCGAACTCGGGACACGGGTTTCAGAGTGCAGTATACAATCTCAACGTGAGCAAAGCAAGTCATGAAACTAAACCAAAAACACATTCCTTCTCTCTTTAAATAATTGTTATATTAGCAGCACCACAGCCGCCACCGTTATAATTGTCACGTATTACAGAGGGGTCAAAGTACTTCAGATTATTTCCCTCGGTTTTGTTCACAGCCTAGAGAATATGTTTCAAGGAAAGTTGCGGTTAAAAGTATCAAAAATGTTGAGAGGGAAATATGTTAAATGAACGATGCAATGACCCGTTAGTGCTCTTCTCTCTGCTGGAATTTATCCGGCTCGCATCCCAAAAAAGGTTGTGAAAAAGAACAACTTTTCAGGCTCAATCTCACGCCCAACCACCACCCATTGCCTCTACTTTTTCCTTTCATTATCTAATTTTAAAACTGCATTTGGAATAAAATATCAAACGGCCAAAAACTACTACCAAAGAAGAAGGCCGAAACAAATGCTAAATGATCGAGTATCATTTCATATTGGAAGAGGAGCTTCAATGTGTGACGGATGTCGAGAAGATTTGACACCCCGGTCACTCTGCCCTCAAGCCATATTCGCTGCCCCACCCTAAGTTTGCTTCATACAGGGGTGAGACACCATTTCCTTACTGGGGCGCCCCAACACGACTTTCACGCAAGAATACACACCACTCATCACTCATGCCCGTCACTGCAAGACCCCCTCCGAAGTGACCGAGTGCACTAAAATTATAAAGTGTGTTGCTGGTCGATTATAGGCTACTCTAGAACACTGTTAGTTTGGTTAAAATTCTTCTAGCGATGGATACATATCATTTGCGGGCAGTGTCAAAGTGGTAGACCGTATGTGGCCATATGAAATTAAGTCATGGACCAGATATGGCCCATGGGCTAAAAATTCCCTCATGCCTATTACATAAATTAGGTTTCATATAAACATGGTGGGTAGTGGTCGTGAAGTGGTTAGCGCACTGTGCTACGATACCCGTCAACTTGTGTTCGATTACTGGTTATAGCGAATATCAGTCATAAGAAATATAAACAGATGCTGCCTTCACTAATCCACACTGACCTGTATGATGAAGCACGGTCAAACAACCACCATCGTGCCATGGGGAGCCTTTCATCCAGCAGTAAATTGACAAGCTACACGCATGTTATATTTAGTAGTCAGTAAGTACAGTTATAATTGTGAAAAATTTTAATCCGAGGTTATCTAGGTGCACAATTCTCGTGCATTGTGAGCCCTATTTTAAAGTTCAGTCTTGGATATTCTGCAGAATATCTTGAACGTGTGGCGGTAGTGAGTTCCCGATTGATGGAGCCGCAGACAGAGAAGCTGCACGGTCCAAATGTGGAGTAGCAATGATGAATATTTTTTATAGGAAGACACCAGTGTCGTGTTCCGAAACCCAGCTTTCAATTTAAATTGTTAATCTTAAAGCAAAAAAATATTTCACCTCAATTCTACAAAAACATGAATTCTTCCAAATACTAGACTGTCCTCATATATTTAATTATATTTCTGCACTTTTCAATAAACAAAAAACATCATAGTATTCCGTTTCATAAATAATTGAGCAAAATAAATTAAAACTCTCTAGGTTGCGATATAAATTTTGTGCAATCGTTGGTAACTATGCTGGAGACCATAAACCCCGTTGCTCACAAAAATAATCCACAAAGAGGAGGAAATATCCATTTCCTTTTTCATTTCTTCCACTCTCGTAAAGACCCAAACCCCTTGGCTCTTCTGCCTTATTTCCAACAGACACTGGAAACTGTGCTGGAACAGTGCTCGATTGAGGCCAGACTTCACGAGCCCGCATTTCCATGACAATCCTCTCGTGCCGAAACCGATCTGATGTGAACCGGGGACCTTAGTCCTTGTGGCACCGTTCGTACACCGTGCCACAAGCCGATAGCCACAATTGGCTCCAGGCCGACCTCAGACCCACGGCGTCACTGGGTCAACTCAGAAGCAAAAGCGCCCACATATGATGGCACGTGCTCGGCTCAACTTCCCTTCCCAACCATGCTTGTCTTCTTGGTTCTTTCGGTAAAGTCGCGTAGAAGGGAAATAATAAAATAATAAAAATAAAAAGTACAGTGATAATTGTATTTTATTTTTATTATTTTATTATTTCCCTTCTACGTGACTGTACCAAAAGAACCAAGAAGATGAATCCCTGCAGTCACGAAAGCTTTAAATCTAAATTCAACCATGCTTTTGTTATTATAGCATGCAAGGAAATTAAAAAATTCAGCGGTATATTTTACTTTATAAATCGTGTAATTTAATCAATGTTTATATTCAAACTTTGTTAAATGCAAAAAAAAACGATTTACAAACCCTACTCCAAACTCTGGAGCAACTTCTTGGGGGAGGCCTTCATCCAGCAGTGGAATGACCATGGCTGATAATGATGACGACGACCTCAACCCCGTTAAGGGCAGGGAGTGGGGCGTAGGGGAACAGCCAAGCCTAGGGAGCTCCAGGACTCATGGAACACGGGGACCTCGACTTGTGCCTGAAGGAGTTCCTGCATCAGAACTGGGTCATCCATGGGCCAGTGGAGCCTGATTTGTGGAAACGATGCATCAGAGACACCAGCTCGTCACCTAGAGATGTATACAGGCCCACCAAGTCACACGGCCTCCTCCAGGCAGACTGTTTAAGCTCCCGAGAAAATTAGATTGCAGCACATACCAACATGACTCTCAACTCAGACATTTCCTACAAATTCCAGTGACCTGCAGCCACTTAACCCTGTCTGCTGCTAACAAAAGGGCCTTGGATCTGTTGGTGGGATTGATGTGCCAGAGAAGGTGATGGTGCGTTGAGGAGGGCCAACCCTTTCGTGACCCTCCCAAAGTTCTCCTTTCCAAATAGTCCTCCCTATCTGCAACATGCGTGTGGGTGTCTGGAACTTTGCACGAAAAGCCAGCAGTGACAGCTTCACAAACTTCACAAACAGCAGCCTTCAGCCCCACGCACACCCACCCACCGTCTCATCATCCATCCCTCTTCTCCCCCCTCCTCCCCCAACCACAGACCCCCGTGTGTCCCTTGTCCAGTGATAGACATCTGCATTCAATCTCGCATCCCGCTTCGCAAGTCGAAAGGAATGTTGCATATAATAATAATTATTAGTTTGTATTTTTAAAAAGGCTGCAACACGCAATTATAACTAAATATAGTACCAACAATAAATGCAACATAGGTAACAACAATCGTGATGTTTTTAATCTATAATAAATAAAAGTAAAGTTTTGGATGAGGAATTACAATGTGGTCTTGTGGGCCTCTGCAAAATAAAAACAAGTAACTCGATAAATGTGCTCATTTCAGGGAACAGCAAATGATAGTGTACGACTGCTGTCTGCAAGCAATTAAATTATTGCCGGTGTTGGCACAAAAGTAGACTTTTCAAGACTCCTCAAAGAGGCGGGGGGGGGGGGGCTCAGCACTGACCACGCAAGAAACACCTAAAAATGGACAATTAAAGGGTGGAAATAGTTGTTTTTTTGCTAACGAGTCCACTCGTGACTTGGAATATCAAGAACATCAAAGCACATCAGCAGTGGCAAGTGTCCTTCAC